CATGGTCATCTTATCTTTTCGTTAATATTGTAAATATATTTTTTGTTTTTAAAAGGGGGTGACACGTGGCAGAATGGTTTATGCAATATGGTGCATTTGGAGCCAAAACATTTTAATAAGAAATTGCCACATCAGCATCATGTTTTCTGCTTTAATAGGGTAAAAGGGATAAGTTGGGGGATTGGGAGGAAGAATATGGACGGATGATAGGAAAACTTGAGGTGGGTTGGATCAATAGTGATTATTAAAAAAAAAAAAAAGAAAAAAGAAAAAGGTGGGTTTGCAAAAGTTTCCTAAAGTGAAAATAGCAGGATAGTAGGGATGAAAAGGTCGGTAGGTTGGGTCGCTATATATACGTAGTAAATCCTCAAGGCCAAGCCAAGCGCTAGTTAGTTGCCCTAGCTACCGAAAACAAAAACAGGAAACAAAAAAATCTTTTGCCGTCAACCTAAGGGAGTAGAAGGCACTCGGGTTTCTCCATCACCAATTCCTTCTCTATCGGTGGAAACGACGTAAGTAGGTTAATTGCTTTCATCAAACACTAGTTGATCAGAATTTTTTTAGTTGAATTGATGTACTAGGTTTCTTTGGTAACTGACAACGCAGGAAACAACACCATATATGATGGCTCGGCCTCGGCAGCGGAAGAGATTGAGGATCTTTGTGGCAGGATTTTGTTTTTTCATTCATTGCTATCTTGTCGGACGCGGAACCCTGGATGCGGTGAATTGGCTGGAGACGCAACATCAGAATTGGGTCGAGGAGCGCCAGTTTCTTTCTGAAATTCTACACAAACTTCAAGACGGATGAATTGATTAATTTTATATTTTGGTGCACACTCTCTATAGAGTAGTCCCAGTATTTGTTATACTCCAATCTGGAATAACGGGATGCAGCAATGCATATTCATGATTTAGTTTCCCAACTATTATTATTCTTTTCATCCTTCATCATTGAGATTATACTTATTTCGCCGCAACTCTTGATTAAACAATAAACTACTACCTAAATTTTGTACCCTCCCTTTATTGATTATTGTTGGTACTTGTTTGCACAATTTTTGTCCGGAAAGCCTTATGCAAAATGTCTCAAACGATTGTGCGTAGTTTTTAATTAAGTATGCTAAAATTTGAACTAATTGTGGATATGCCGGAGGCCAGATTATATTGGAAGTTTTGAATAGTCATGCAATAAAAATTAAGAAAAATGATATATATATATATATATATCTTGAACAAAAATAGTGACAAAACATATTGACTGATGTGGACCGTTGAAGTTTTATTTTTACCCAAAAATAAAACTCCTAAGTTATAGAATGAAGTAACCTTGGCGGTGGCAGGCCAGTGAAGTTATCAGGCCAACAAGATGACAAAGCAAATTTGAAGGTTAAGAAGGTAAGTAAATTTGAAGGTTAAGAAGGTGGATGGTGATTGATTTGAACTTGGAAGGAAAAAGAAAAACCCTTTTTTCTATCCAATATTTGGAGAATGCATCATCACTATAATGAATCGGGGCAGGTTGACTGGTTACGGTTTTTTGGTGGCCAAATTTAATTAATCATCCATAATCAATTCCTACCAACATATTGGCAAAAACAATCCCCTTAAATATTTTTTCGTCAATTTTAGTTAATTTAACAGAAATTTTCTAAAACTAATGGGAGAATGCCACATTCCGTTAATTTCTCTTATTATATTTATTTATATACTGTTTGTGAGACTTACTGTTTGACCAGAAAAAAAAACCAATAATGAAATAAACAACAGAGGAACCAAAAACGGATTTCTACATTCTCATTCCAGAATCCAAAAATAAAATATTTTTTCTTTTTTATTTCTTTCTATTAAGATTTTAATACAATTAAAAAAATAACAAAAATCTTTCGTTTTTTATCCTTTCTCCTTGCCACACTCAGAATCATCCCACCTCCGCCCAATCTTGATTGTTGCACAAAATCATCGATATATTGTTCTTGTGGCTTGATGATGATGCCAATAGAGAAGAGGTAGTACTGGTGTTGGTGGGTAGAAACCAACATTATCTATATTTGTATTGCATTTAGGAGGAGACAATCTATAACAAGAACATTTATCAACGTTTTTCTTTGCAAGAAGAATTTTGGAATTTAGTTTGATATGAAGTAAATTGGGAGAATAACAACTTCCTGGGACCAAAATTTATCCTGAAATGAATCAGAATACAGAGAAGGGGGCAAAATTAAACGAAGAGGTCCATTTTTTAAGAGGGATTCATTCATTTCCCTCAAAACTTCAAGAACCAAACCAAAAAAAAAAAAAAAATGGGTTCTTTGCTCTGTATATACGATGGTAAAAGAACAAAGCCACCAATTTGAGTCACCACAAAAAGCAGTATCACAATTAACTAACCACAAACTACAAACACCAATTATGTGGCCATGGGCTTCAACCCAACAGGTTAAACTGTTGTACAGACGAAGGGCAAGTTTCTACAAGACTGACGGAAGGCAGTAAAGGCGGTAGCAGCTGAGGGAATTCACACATCTGGGGGTGCGTGAATTGTATGCATCTGCAAGGATGGCATCAGGGAGAGAAGACGATGCCAGCTGAAAAAGTATGAAAAAGTATGTCAAGTGAAGAGTAAAGGTGCCGGTTGATTTTGATACACCTCTCCATCGAAACAGAGCCTCGAAGGGAAGTCTCACCAGAACAAGAGCAACCACAAAACGCTGTCTATTTATTTGTATGGGAGAAATTAAAATGGGTAAATTGATCTAGGTAACAAGAAAAAATAATCTCAATTTGAATCCCTCAAAAAATTATTGAAATCTCTCAAAAAACTTCAAGAAATTAAAAGATGATAAACAGAGAACAATTAAATCAAAAGGCCACTTCTCCGATGAGTGCTGCGTATGAGCCGACGCCAATAGCTAATTTTCCGTTTCTGTTATTGCTTTCTTGAAGTTCTCCTTCTATTGGACTTTTTTAGATTGAAATTGGAGATATTCGTTCCCTTTATCGATCTTAAATTAAAAAAAACAAACAAATCAAAAGGCTGGAATCAATCAAATCCCCCCGATTTCATGGAGAAGGAGGTGCGGCCGTGCAGGTGATTCTCAGTGGAGAAAAGGGTTTAAAAAAATGATTTCTTTAAATTATATTAGATTTTAATAAAAAGAAATAAAGAGAAAAAAGAATTTTTTTTGGTTAGGTCGAAATTAATGGGTCCTACCGTTCTGAAAATTAATAAAAAATTAAGAACTTAACGGAAAAAAAATGGTTGACCCGTTAAATTTGAAAAATTCTATTAAATTGACCAAAATTAATGACAAATATATTTTAGGGGATTTTTATCAGTTTACTTCCGATATTCTTGGTTCCAGATAAAAGATGACCATGAATCTTGATTACACAATATACGTCTATATAGACTGAGGCATTTATATCATTTCATTATATGCTTGGTGTTCCATTCTTAAATTTCTGTTATTAATTTTATGACGAAAATCTCTTTTACCATATTAAAGCAGAATACAGGATGTTGATGTGGCAACTTCTTATTAAAAATTTTTGGCTCCAAATGCACCATATTGCATTAACCATTCTGCCACGTGTCATCCCTTTTTAAAAGAAAAAAAAAATTCTTATCTGGAAAAACAAAAGCTACTTTACAAAAATAGCTACATAATTTTAACTCCTAACATTTATCATTTATCAATAAAATTAAAATAGTATTTAAATTTGTCCATAAACTTATCCCCTTTATTACTCCATATTCTTTTGTATGATTTCTGAATCGTTGTACTTTTCAATATCTTTTCTCCTTTGGCAGATGATTTTTTTATTTTTATAATTATTTTTTGCTAAAAAAGGAAAAAAAAAACCAAATGTGTAGCTATTTTATTTTTTCCAAATCAAAAATTCATTTATCTATTAATATAAAATTAAAGTAGAGGGGCGACCGGGCATCTGCCTGGGCCAACCATCTAGTTTTGTTTATGATTTTTAAAGTTTCCCACGGTGATATGGTCAATTTGTCAATGCTCAAACTATTAGGAAGCAGTTGATTGAGTCTTCCAAAATTAAAAGTTTTGTGTTCCGAAGATCATAGGAAAGTGTATTTTTATGTTTTTATTTCGTCGTTGCACCTTTCCACTATACTACTGTATAAGCCTTAAATGATACTAATTCTTATCAAAAGTATTTTAGTACATTTAGAATTGCAGGATTATTCCAGCAACTCCAGCGTTTTCAACGTCCAGGATTTGAACAGCAAATGCGAGCACTCTTTCTTGACGATGGTTCTGTGTTGCACTTCTTTCTGGCATATGGCAGGCGAGGAATTCAATGCAATTTGAACAAAAACATCTTACTCCCTGGTCCGTGGTTCTTCAAGCAAGCAGAGTTATTCGAGATTTTTCTTCTCAAGGGACTGATCCAGAAAGAATAGATCCCTCCCTTCATGTTCTTCCTGTTTTCCAACCGCCACCGAATAGCTGTGCTCGTGTTTTCTTTGATGGTGCGATCTCAATTTCGAGAAAGTGTGTAGGAGCTGGTATTCTGATTCAGCATGCAGATGGCAGTTTTACGTGTGGTTTAGCTCGCCAATTCATGGACATAGTCGACTCCAATGTTGCCGAAGCATTAGCTCTTGGTGAAGCCCTGCTTTTATGTCGGAAAGTTGGCCTTTCAGAAGCGGTAATTCTTGGTGATTCCTCCTTAATTGTGTTAGTTGCAAACCAAGAATTGGATGATCCTTCGGCTTGTGTTCCAATTCTTGAAGATGTGATCTTCCTTTTGTAAGGATTTACCCATCCGTTACATTTCCAGGATTCCACGCCCTGAAAATGTTGTTGCACATTCCTTTGCCAAATTTGCAAAATCATCTGATGTAATTGAAATGGTTTGGAATTCACTTCCAAACTTTGTATCTCAAATGCTTCTGGACCGTTTCCATTAATCTGAATGCAAGTATGTTTTCTTAAAAAAAAATATATATATATATAATTTATAATATATGTATCAACATAAATGATATAATTTATAAGAAGTAATTAAATTATGTTACACAGAGTGTCACAAAAAAAAAATCACAAATGAGATTATTTTTTTTTAATTCCTATATCTTAGGACTAATTTCCTAATCCTTCTTCAGAACCCTGTAAATCACTCATTAATTGTGTACAAAATCTTCTACTTGTATTTCCTTTCCACCTAAAACCCTCATAAAATTCCAAAAGCAAAAACTAAAAACACTTTTCCCAATCTATACATAGATTATTACACACAAAAAATAAACCCAGAAAAAAAAAAAATTGGTATAACCTACTCGGACCTTGTTGCTACAAGTATAAAAAACGGCTTCTCACTATTGCTTTTCGGGTTACAAATGGAGTCTCGAGGTTACAATTCTCTACCAATATTAATGCCTCACCACAACGCTTGCTTCCCGGGATCAGTACTTCTCCTAATGTCTTCACTTTTTGTTGGTCCACTTGAGCTGTACTGCAAGCTAGATGACCCTTCTGTGGAAGTAGAATAAGACATCTCAAGCTTGTTGAATGCATTCCGCAGCAAACTGCTTGTGCTGCTGTAAGACCCGGCACTACTACTGGAATTGGCTGCTAATACACTCGCATTCACAAATGGGGGTTGATTTGGTTCAGGGATTTCATGGTTTGGATCTGTCAGCATTTGGACGACTTCATCCATCGATGGTCTCAAAGAAGCCGATGCTTGAGTGCATAAAAGGCCGATTTTCAGCACGCTGTGTGCTTCTTCTGCTGGAAAATCGCCTTTCAGACAAGGGTCAACTGATTCCCAAACCTGATTCATTTTGTACTGCTTCCAAACCTAGAACAGAAGACACAATACAAAATTTTGAATTGCATTCTCAAAAGGGCAACTAATATTGCAGAGCCTAATAATTGTTGATCAGGAAATTAACAGATTTCAATGATTAAGCTTACAGATTGTAGGAGCGAGCCCGAGTCTTGAACGAAAGCATTGTTCTTTCTACCACACACGATTTCGAGAACTAGAACTCCATAACTATATGCATCTGCTTTCTCCGTTAGTTGTCCTTTGACAAGGTATTCAGGAGCCATGTAACCTCTGCGATAAGAGAATACTTAGTTAAAGCACCATTAATCTCAGGGAATTGAACCTAACTATAGAACAATTCTGAAATCCATAGAAAGATGCATTTTGTCTTACAGTGTTCCTGCAATGCCGGTACTCAGGTGAGTTTTATCGTCTGCAAAATGCCGGGCCAAACCAAAATCCGCGATTTTGGGAGAGAGATTTTGATCAAGAAGCACATTGCTGCTCTTGATATCCCTGTGGATTATTCTGCTCTGTGTTCCACCATGCAGAAATGCAATCCCCTCTGCGGTTCCCACGATGATTTGATACCTCTCTTTCCAACTCAGAATCTTAATCTTGTCCTTATCTGCAAAACATATGAAATTCCCGTTTCCATCAAATCTTACACTGCAACATTCAGCTACCCATTGAATTGATTACAAGATTACATTGCCGGCAAACATTTCCGGTTAAAATAATGATACAGCGAATGATGTGACCAATTAGACTAATCCAAAAGTAGTTTATTATGTTTGAAGGAAATAAATCAATTACCAAAGAGATACTGTTCCAGGCTCTTGTTGGGGACAAACTCATAAACCAAGAGGCTCTCAGGGCCTTCAATGCTGCAACCCAAAAGCTTCACGAGATTCTTGTGCTCAATTCCGCTGATTAAATTCACCTCATTAAAGAACTCATCCACCCATTGCCTTGTGCTAAAAAACAATCTCTTAACCGCAACAACTTTCCCATCTGGAAGAGTTCCTTTGTATACGGAACCAGCCCCTCCTTGGCCCAGTTTCGTCTTGGGATCAAAATAATTTGTGGCCTTTTCTAAGGTTTCGTACTTGTAGTTCAAATTAGACTTATTGTACAAGCTTGAAATTCGACCTAAATTCTTCCTTTCTGCAAAACATTAATGCTAACAATCAGCCCTTCATCATCGTAATGTTAAAAAGAAAAAAATGATGACATTATTGACTCCTATAAAAACTGTCATTTCTGATCTTGTGACTATATATATATACCTTGTTCCTTTTTCTTTAATCTTGAACGAAAAGCATAGGCAGCAAATGCAACAAGCATAACGAATACGGCCACAGATGAGGCTATGGCTACCGTTTTCCCAGTTCTGGAGGCTCCTGAAAATTATAATTTACTCTTAAAATCAAACCATATGTCAACAGTAGCAAATGCTAATTTAATCTTTATTTCAATCTACAAACAAGATCAAGCTCCTGTTAACTTTGGATATATAATTATTTCTTAATTTCTCTCTATCAATGACTACGAAATTGAAAAAAAAAAAAAAGAAGAAGAAGAAGAAGAAGATCATACTTTAGTACATTTGAAAAGGGGAAAAAATAAAATAAAGAACACATCCATTTAGGAGGAAAAAAGAGTAGTATTTTATTTTATTGTAAAGTAAAGAATAATCAATCCCGGGTCGTTTAAAATCAAAAAGAAAACATGCATGCCCAACAAGTCAGCATCGCGACAACCAAATATATACGTGATCACGAGAATTGCTAATTAAAAGTTGGAAAAGTCTTAATAAGTGCTATATTACCAAGTAGCAGGTTTGCTGCTCCTCATAAGAACGCTGACAATGAAGAAAGTGTGACCGCCATGGTATGCATATAAAACAAAAAAAAAAAAAGGAAGCTGAAGAAAACAAAAGGTTAAGGAGTAAGGACCCCATGAAAATTTACAGAAACCAGAAAGTTACCAACTTGTTTATGGTCCCAATTAATAACGGTCAGCAACTAAGCATGTTTGGTTCTTGATTCTGGTTTAATGATTTCAGGGCTAATCATTGTAATAAATCCGTTATTATTCTTATTATATCCTGAGGTGAATGATGAAAATCAATCAGGTCTCTCAATCCAATCCCATTTAATTTGTACAGGAAATTAACCATCAACGAAAGAGTTTTCGAACATCAATCAAAAACAGAGGAAGATCAATTAAAACAGAGTGTATGAAACAAATTACAACAATTCCATTTCGGTTTTAAATTTGATCTAACTTTAAAAAATGTAAGAAGAATTGAGTAAAAAAAAATCTGGACAAACACAATTTGTTTTCCAAAGGAGAAAATGGGATGAAGATCAATCAAATTCCCGCAATAACACACAGATTAATAAAGATTCCGGCAGAACTTACCAGAAGTGGTAGTGGGAGAGCCATCATTGTAGAATTTCCGGGTAGAATACCTCAAATAACACCCAGTATTCAAAGCCCTGCCTTCTCTACTGGGAGCACAACTCTGAACATTTTTACTGGCCTCATCCAAACACGCCTTACACCCTTCTCTGCTCAAACTGTTCCAACACTGCGCCAATCCATACAATCCATTCATTTCCTTGGCCGCAAAATACCCTCCATTCATCACCGCCGCGGAGCTCAGATTTCCGACCAACATTTTCACACTCTGGTTCAAACTCCGAGCTTCGTCGTCGCTCGCCGTGACGCCGACGGAGCTGCTACAGTTGAGCCGGTCCTGGTTCGGGTCTATACTTTCGTTGAAGAAGTTGTAATCGTCGTAGCGGAGGAAGCATCCGTCGAGGTAGATTCGGGCCGACAAGGAAGGGAGACAACTGGGGAGCTTTGTCCTGCTGGCGGCGAAACAGAGGAGGCAGTCGGTGTGGATGAGGTCGCCGTAGCATTGGGCTAAAGCGAAAAACGACATGTTTCCTTTTCCGTTGGTTCCGTTGATGATTCCGTTGTGGCCCCAGTTGTTGGTGTCACTGTTGTTGTTGGTTAATTGGGTGGATATGATCTCCATATCTCGGGTGAACAGAGGGAAGAAAGCGGTGGTGTCTCGTGTCCTGTTTTGGCCGCAGAATAGGCCGGCTTGGGTGATCCGGGGATCGGCGTTGCAGACGGCCCATAAATTCAGGAGGATTAAACTGGAAACAGCCCATGTCGATTGGCGGAGACTACCCCATAATGCCATATTGGCATGGGATTGGGCAGAGGAGGAGGATTTTAGGGGCGTGTCTGAAAATCTGGAAATTTGAATATAAGAAAAGGAAGAAGCTGCTGATTCTATTTGTCCTTCCTTTTTCCTTCTGGAAGATATACAAACTTTTTGATTGTTCTCTAGTTTCTAGGAATTTGCGGTAAAAGTGAAGTGGTTTTACTAGTATTATTATTCTTTTAAGGATTGGGTGTCAGCTGGAGCATCATCCTTTCTCACAACAATTTTCAAATTGGTGCAGCAAATTGTGGTTTTGATGTCAATTTGGTTTTGATTGAATTGGAGATGTTTTTGTGGGGGGTGGGGTAGCTAGGCTCTCTCTATATATGATGAACAGTTGGATCCTCGTAATTAATAATAACAATAATTGTAGTAGCACCAATAAACTGCAGCAGCCTCTCCTCTTATTTCTGTTCCCCACATCATCAAAATTCATAACTGTGAAGAGAAGAAGAGACTGATGCCCGTATACGTGTGCAGTTTGCTAGTTGGTCATTTTGAAAATTCTTGGAATCCACTCATATTTTTTATAAAATAAAACTTAAAATATAAAATAAAGGGACCAGCCTACTCCTTTGCTCCAGGTTTAAGTGCCATCAAGTTTCATTTCTTTCTTTCCCTTTTTTTTCTCCATATTCTACCATGAGAAGAAAGGATACGAGTACTGTTTTTTTTTTTTTTTGCCTCCAAAAGATTAAGTAATAATAATGTTAGACATACTCTAGGAAAAGAACTAATCAAAACCATTAATTACGGATGGGAGTTTTGGCGATTAGGACTTAGTAGCGCATGATTAACACAAATGTGAGGGATAGGCACATAAACACGTGCTGTCGCGCTCAAAAATGATATACCCCCAGGCCCCCCCCCAAGGTCTCATTATTTGATATTGTTGGCCGATTAAAACCAAACAAAGTATTGAATGTCCTCCTCATAACTACATTTCATATCGCATACTCTGGATTTTTTATTTTTTTTTCTTTTTGTCAATCAAATTTTGGTGTTAGTTTCGTGAGTTTACACGGTTAATTTAGCTGCTTTCATGTCTCTACTCTGATGTTACTGGATTTAGTTGTGTGTTAGTTTTTAGGGGTTATATGAAAGTTTTTTTTTCCTCGGTTTTTCATAGATTTGATGACCAGTGATGGTAATTTTGATATGAAAATCGAGTAACAATAACGTTGAAATCATACGTTTTCTTTCATTTTTTTTTCCTTGTGGTAATAATCTCAAAAAATTCACTGAAGATGAATAAACAAATATTTATAGTTTATTGAATATGAATTAGAGCACATTTTATTTGGTGGATTTTATGAAAGTATTTCACATATTGTAACTTCATAGCTTAGCCACATAAATTATTTATTGAAGAAAGTGACCAACCGATCGACCATCATCAATCTCTCGTATTCCACGTTATTTACTTTTTCGTCCACTCATTTTATCAATCAAAAGAATCATCTAAACAAAATTAAAGAATTGTTTTAACATCTTCTGTTTTTAATAAAAAATGACAATTTAAAAATAACAAAATAGTAAAAAAAATTTCAAAGTGCAATAAACTAATTATTAATTTATTTATTTGAAATGACCGAACTATTAAATTCGTTACAATTTGAAATTTCAAACAGCTCCTTAGTCAACCATTCAAGGGGAACAAATAATGCAATCTTTTGATCTCTAATTCCAACTATTCCCCTACATTCAATCTCCAAACTTACAAGTCACAAGTCGCATTTTTTCTTTTATTGTATCAAACAAGTTACGAGTCTAATTATAATTAGGTTCCACCATTTGGATTCTGGTGCGTGCTAGTAAGCTTTCTTTGTACTACTCCATCCGTTTCAAATTATTGTCCACTTTAAGTTTTCATTTCTAGTATAAATTATAACTCAAACTGGACAATAATTATGGGACAGAGGGAGTACATTTTTACCCATTTAATTGTGGGGTCACTGACCAAAATTATAAATTCCTTGATGAGATATGACGAAACTTCTATTTCAGTAAGTTCCTTTTTTTTTTTTTTTGGTGTGTGTCATTTTGTGCGCTGCGTTTCTTTCTTGTAACCCAAACACTTAAAACAAAGACTTTTTCAAACTCCGCAAAAATCCATCCGTTGCTGTCAGTTTCTCTTCTCCAGATGCAATACATAACCACAATGTGGTCATCCAACGCAGAAAACGCAACATTAATTTAGTAATTTGATAATAAAAACGCCAAAGATTGGATTGGATTTACCTAATGATGGTTACAGCCTATATTAATTTGCAATTAGTTTGTTTATTGGCATTTTCTTAAGTTGACAATCAATTATATTTGAGTCGCGTCGTTGTTATCCTTTATCAATTTTCCATTTTGTTTTTTCTTTTTGGTGCGGTTTGGGGATTTGTTTCTAGAAAGCGAACTAACTAGGTGGGGATCAGATCTATTCCAGTTTGCCAACAGTTGAACTTTCATACTTTTTTTTTGGCGTTGTTGAACTCTCTTCGTTCAGTCCAACCATTTTGTTGATCTCTTCACGCCGACGACGCGGAGCAATATATCTCAACATGATATGTTGATTAATAGGAGTACTTGTTAGAACACAACCTTAACCAAATGTATATTGCGACGTAATAACAGTGCCCTAGTCTCTAGTAACATAATTCAGAAATGTTCTTATAGTGTTGATTTTTTATTTTTACTCTTTTTTTTTTTCCAAATAAGACGTTGTCGATTCACACATTCGTGTTTGTCCCCAAATGCGATTAATATGATGGTCATATCGATGAGTTCATAAGATTGCGTATAAAGTTGGTGTGTGTGTGTGTAGTTCTTATTTTCCGAATCCTAGGGAACAAACAAACAATCATGAAGGGAATTAAAATATTTTGGGGACCTGAATAAAAAATGGTTGGTTTCTGTATCTTACGCTGTTACACTATCATATATGTAATGTAATACTCTCTCCATTCCAAAATAAATGTCGTCCTACACTTTGCACATAGTTTAAGAAACTCTTAAATAAGGTAATAAAATTACTTGAATATCCTCAACTAACCCCGTTACAAAATTGTCCACCAATAGCATCAATTCTTTTGAGGGTAATTTTGGAAACTTTTGACAAAAAGTGCATTGAAATGTGAGAACGACACTTATTTTGGAATTTCTTCATTTTGTTAAAACGACACTTATTTTGGAATTTCTTCATTTTGTTAAAACGACACTTATTTTGGAATGGAGGGAGTAGTAATATGGTTCATCAATACAGTTACGGTTACAGGGGAATGTAATGCAAGTGGACTTTGGTCTGAAAATCTTCTCTCAATTTAAAAGGGCGGATTATGACAATTAATAATAGACGGCCGGTCGCCTCACGTGTTCCTACATTATTCCGGAAGAGTACAAGAAAAGAAGCAACCAAAAAGTCCAAAAGCAGATAATGTCGAAGCACTTTTGACTCGGTGAATGTTGATGTGTCAATTAAGATGTAAAGTAGTAGTAGTAGTAGTAGTATATAATCAATCAAAATACGAAAATACCATTGAATAGAGAGATTGATTATAGCAGGGAGAAAGAATAGTACGTGAGGTCAGAGAGAAGGAGTTTGGATTTCTTTGGGTTTCACAAAGTCAATGGTAGGTACACAATTTGTTGTCGTCGGTCCCTAATAGTATTGGAGTATTATAAATTCAAAAACATCGGCGCTAAAAAGTTGGTAAAAACGAATTTCTTCAATCTACAGTTCTTTTTTGTACTTTGGTTTTGTCCAATCCAATGATCCCATCTTTCCATCTCGACAAATCTTTTTTCTTTGAGGTAAAATCAAAATATTCCAATTTAGACCATCGGTTGGTACAGTAAACTGTTGTTATACTGACGCTTCCACATTAAAATTTCTCGTCAACAAATGAAGGAACAAAAGTCCCTTCTCTTTTTTGTCTTTAATAATTGAACCAAAAAATAAGGATGAGATGGTGTTGTTGAAAAGTTAACACTTCATGGGAGACTCCCAATCGCCGATCTAAGCGACAACTTGAATCACAGAATGGCTTAATAAAACAATTATACAGTATGAAAACTACAGGTCCTAAGAAGGAAATTACTTTTTGGGTTCAAGTCCTCACCGTCAACTACACTAAAAAAATATCTGTTTCCCCACGAAGCTCCTTAATCTGAGATGGATGGAATAAGAGAGTGGATCCATAATTTACAAAACTACCGTCAAAGGTTAGTCAATTCTGCTTCTCTCCAATATACACTCATACTGCCGGGACTATATCGCGGTATCCGTTAATCTGAAACTCGTAAACCCAGGATATGCCAGTCACTGCCAAAACTAGCTCAGCATCACCCACAGCTGCCTCACTTCTTCTGGTCTGAGACCAAACACATAACCGGAACCCCCTTGCTGCTAAAGCTCGAACATTTCACCTGTAACTCCTCACCAACTTCAAAATCCTTCTTCAAACCATCCTGCACATCAGTGTCATGTATGATCAGGGAAAAACGATGCTGACAAATTTCTTTTATTTTATTATTATTATTATTTTTTTGTTTCTTATATTGAAATCATGATTCCAAGATATCACAAATATCCCACCCACTACATGAAAATCAAATGCCAATACCTCGAATCGAAACATCCCTTTAATGCCACCACCCAAGTCAAGGACTAGGCCTCGTGCACGAATTTGATGAACCTTCGCCGTCAACTCCATCCCGATCTTGAGATTCTTTGCACTCACTTTCTGCTCCGGACTATCTTTGGATTCTGAGACATCGCCACTCTTTGCTTTAGATGATTTCTCCTCTTCATCACACTCAGCAGCGCTCCGTATTATAAATGCTGGGGGTGCAGATGAAAGTTCTTCCTTTGTTGCAGTTTCCAAAGGATGATCCTCTGGAAGATGATCCTCTGTTCCCGGCTGTTCTTGCAATTGGTTCACAGTTTCCGCAATGTTACCCCTTTCTTCAGCAGGATGCATCAACTCTTCGATTCCAAGAGCAGTTTTTAATTTGGGTACAGTTGCCGGCAGGGTAGCTTTAAGAGATAACTTTATGTTTCCTCGGGTATCCTGTCCTATGCACATCAAAGACAGTTGCTGGCCAACAGAAACCACATCCGAAACTCGATTCACCTAGCAAAGAGAAAAACAAAGATAAATCCTTATAAATAACCAGGTTGTCTCAAGAGCTACCATGTCGAACCTCTGAAGATTGTAACATCAATAAATCCTTACACATACTGACTCAAATTCTATCAACAAGGAACAAAACACCCGTGAATCACGAGAGAGATAGAGAGGGAGGAGCATACGTGCTCATTTGACAACTCAGAAATGTGAAGTAGCCCTTGTTGACCTCCATTAAATTCCACAAAGGCACCATATTCTTTAATTGACATGACGATGCCTTTATAAATTCCACCAACTTCAAGCTCACGACCAATTATTATATCAATCTGATTGACAAAAAAAACAAGGCAAGCAATCAACATGACAGAAACTGCAGAAAAAATCAGCATGCAGTTGACAAAGTTAAATGAGTAAGCACTCAGAAAAAACATATGCATTTACTTATGCCAATAATTGACCAAACATGAGATTTTTCATCAGGAATGAGAAAGAAGATGTGCAAGTTCTTCTGCGAAGCTGTTGTTGATAACTCCAGCAAGGAAAATCAATATTTTTTCTCTCACAGAACCCCAAGCACTGATCCTGAATATATGTTTTCTGGCTCTTCAGCCAAAGCAGGAGAAACTATTGTGTGATATTAAATTTTAAGTGAGAGATTTTAACTCACGAATAAATCCTGGAACTAAAAGTAAAATCAGCTCAAATTTTACTAATCTACAATCTCACGAACTCAGTTCTTTTTATTAGAACATTTCACATACTGAACCACAATTCAGATGTCATTTGCCGTAGATATTTCTACGGATAAACTTCAAGCACAGACAGATGCTACATAAAATGGCAAGAGAGGAGAAGATCAACCCTTCATGGAATCAAATGATAAAACACGAGGTCACGGATGTGAAGTACCTTCTCTTGTACTTTGTCCAGAACTGTTTGATTTTTAGCAACTACTGTAATTGTTCCATCACTCACTAGTATCTTTCCACCTGTAACATTTTAAGCACCATTGCAACATTAAAACGTCATGAAAACTTTCAAAGACAGGGTTACCACACACAAACACATTGCTTCCAGGAAAAAAAAACTAGCAAACTTCAAGAAGTGGCATAATATACGAAATGAACACTCAGTTTCAAGAAGAATATTCAACCAGTACACTACCGGAAAAGAACACGGGAACAAAAATCATATCAGACATTTTCAGAACTAGGACCATGCTAAAGTTAACGGTAAGGATTGTCAATTAATAACAGAGACATTATCTGAGGAACAATGGAACAGTTCTCAAACAACATATTACCTGTCTCTTCCTCAATTTTTCTCTTCAAGGCACCCAGAGGTCCAACCAAGCGACGGATTGCCTCATTGTTGTACTTCAATATTACTGGAAAAAAAGCCACAAACTCCTGAGTTTTACGATCTTTCCTATTTTGACAAAACATGTGTCTATCTCTTGTTTATCAAAGAATAGCACAGATAAACCAACTCAAGAAAATGAGAACTGAACTCAACAGATATGAAAGCTAAGAAAGTATTGTCAACAGAGAAAGGGCACCTACCTAATCGAGGAGAATTTCTATCCCCCTGTGTACGCGGTTCTCTAATCTCTTGTTCCATATGATCAAGTATTTGAAGTCGACCTCTTCGTGCAGGTTCAAGGCACTCACAGATTATGTCAAGGGGAATTCCTGCAGGTTTTATATCTAACTGAATTGCTGTTACTCCATTTCGAGTGCCAGCAATTTTGAAGTCCATATCACCCAAATGATCTTCCAGACCCTAAGGCACAGAAGACAATGGTTATAGCTGAGAAGAGTGGGAGAAAAGATGACGGCTAAAGTGAAATGTTAGAAATTAACCTCTGCAGTGGAACTATAACGCATAACCTATATCCACGTTAACTGTTTGGATATTGAATTTTGCTAAAGTTGAAATATAGCACCGAAGGGAAGGCAAAAAAGCTCCGCACAAATTCAAATACAAGGGAGAGGAATGGTAATATAAAAGAGAAACTTCATTAAAGATGCTACTCTAACGGATAAAAGGATGCATCTCACCAAGATGTCTGTCAAAATTCGGTAGTCCTCGATTTCACCAGTTTCCGGGTCAATTTTGCTAACTAAACCAATGGATAAACCTGCAACATGTTCCTTTATCTGAACCCCAGCATCCATTAGCGCCATGCTACCTGGAAAAAAAAAAAAAAAGAGACAGAGTAAACGCTTAAAATAATGAATTTGACAAAGAAGTCTGTACAGACGGAACAAAACTATATTTGAAATTCCATATACACTGAGGTTGATATCACTAGAATTTCAAAGATGCACGTAAATGTGACCCAAAGTTGCACCTAGGACATAAACTTAATGATCTGGTCAAAAATACTTCAATTTCAAACTAATAAATAGTGCAGACACAAGGAAAATAACAATAAGCAAGTATTTAACACCAGTACCTCCACATACACTTGCCATCGATGTAGAACCATCAGATGCCATAACTTCAGCATTGATTCGAACAGTATATCGCAGGTAATCTTCAGGAGGTAATACAGATAGTAATGCTTTCTCAGCAAGAGTTCCTGCGTAAAAAAAAAAAAGAAGAAGAAGAAGAAGATCATTTTAATACTAGAATTTATTAAAATCAAATGATCAGATCACTAAAGAAATAGATTCTTTTGAATTTGGAAGCTGAAATGGAAGGAATTTACAGCTGGACTAAGGTAAAACAAAACTTCAAACAACAAGTTGCATGAACAACATATTGACCGTGAGCATCCACAAATTTTTTTAAAGTAGAAAAGCATAACCTAATATATGAGTTTTTAGAAAAAATGTTCGAAATCTATTCATACAAGTTCAAACATAAGTTAAAGCTCATGATTAACCAAGTCCAACCAAAAACGTATCCAAATGCCAATGATTTCCGTAATCAACAGAGTACGACAAAGCACTAGAAGAATTACAAATGAAACAAAACATGTCACACAAAATTCTGTTTCACTCCTGCCAAAATGGAAACTAAAAAGGAAAGGCCGTAGGCACAAACTCACCATGTCCCACTTCACGTCTATTCAAGCCAACCCGTTTGCCTACTTCATTTATACAAAATGGTGGGAAACTATAATGAAGCATGAAACGCTTGGTTGGAGGACCAACAATTGAGTCTAGACGTTGAGCTTGTCCAGGAGCACCAAGGGTTACAGTGCAAAGAACCTGCATCTCATATTATTTAGATGATCACAACCAAAACACAGATGTCTGACATATATTATCCAATATAATTCTTTCTCCACCCCCCACCCCCCGGGGCTCGCCTTCAGCAAAGTCAATGCTTGTAGAGTACCACCTTACCTGAGTATCTCCTCGCGAAAAGATTGACGATCCATGTAAAATAGGCAAGTAACCAGCTTCACAATAAAGAGGTCTAACTTCATCAAGACGTCTTCCATCAACTCTTAATCCATCAGTTAAAATCCTTCTTCGTACAACCTAATTTGAATGTTGATATTCGAACAGGAGAAGATTTAATCCATTGTAGAATTTTACTACATAAATGGTTAAGAGTGATAGAATCAGATGAAAAATCATCTCACATTTTCAGCTACAAGTCAGCTGAACTTCAAGCAACAAAACAGGAAGATATTTTAACAGATTACGGTAGAGCTGGCAAAATATCATAGTCTATTATGCATACCTCTTTCCGAACATTGTCGACTGTCTTTGATAGCACTACCAAGCCTTCTTCATCACATTCTTCCTCAAGAGCTTTCTTGACATCTTTAGTAATCCTATCTAAGGCTTCTCCGCGCTCAAACTGAAAGCCCAATGAAAGGAAATAAGGCAAATGACCAAATGCGGAAGGAAATAAGCATGAAAGGGTGCTTTTTCAAAATGATTTACACACACCTTGCCATATGTAGGATCAGTAAAAACAGCTTCAATTGGTGCTTCAGCTAGACTTCGGATCTTCTCCTTAGTCTGCTCTGAAACCATTGATAACTTATATTCCTTCTTCGGCTTACCAGCTTTAGCAGCTAGCCTAATTTGAGGCTCCAAAAACTTCACTGCCTGAGAGTTATTAGCATCCAATCAGCACAATAAAAGCAAACATATGAAAATAAAGAAACTCAAAAAACCCATCAAAAGCAAATGTCACCTCAGGATGAGCCAATCTAAGTGCAGCTTCTAAATCCTTCTCCGAAATCTCCCGCGCATGTACATCTATCATTAAAGTCTTATCCCTTGTGCATGCATACACCAAATTGAGATCACTGAGGCTAAGCTGTGACACGTGAATGTAAATGACAACCATTACAAACAATGGCATGGAAAAAAAAAAAAAAAAAACCATATGTTACCTACTAAATACAGCGGTAGAAATAGAACGTCAACATGAAATTTTCATGGTTTACCTCATCCATGCTTGGATTTACCACGAAATCACCACAAATCCTCCCTATGCGAATTACTCCAATGGGGCCACCCCATGGAATATCTGATAGCATAAGGGCTGCAGATGTAGCATTAGCAGCCATCACATCAGGATCGTGCTTCCCATCTGAAGAAAGTACGGATGCCATCACCTTTGAGGAAGCAAGGGAAAAAACCAACATTTCATCAATAAATTGTTGAATCACAGATACTCGTTCCTTTAAAGACGAACATAACAAAGCACTGCATATCATTATACCTGCACTTCGTGATAAAAACCATGCGGGAAAAGTGGCCGAATAGGTCGATCAATAAGACGACCGCATAGAAGTTCCCGCTCCTTTGGGGCACCCTCCCTTCTCATGAAAGTACTTGGAATGAGACTTTGAGCAAATTGCTTCTCTTGGTAATCAACCTAATAGAAAATATATATATATATATATATATATATATATATATATAAACAATCCCATCAGGGGAGAGCTAAAACAGAGAAATTTAAGTTTATGAATCACCAACAAATACTGAAGCATTATAAAACATTTCGAATGCGAAGGTGCTAAAAACATACGGTGAGGGGCAAAAAATCTCGAGCTCCATCGCTCTGGGCCGAAGAGATAGTGGAGAGGACTTTGGTGTCTTCCATGGCCAAAACAACGGCTCCATTAGCGAAACGAGCGATCTTCCCGGTTTCAAGCGAAATTTGCTGCGACCCGATTTCAAATTCTTCCTTAAAAGTCTCAATAAACTTCACTCCGGCAACGGGGGTATCGGAATCAACCGGCGAAGCGGAAGTGGAGGAATAGGGAGCAAAACCAAGGCGGCCGCTGCAGATGGTGCGAAATCGGAAGGTGGGCCATGTGAGAATATGAGGTAAGGTTGAGATGAGAGGGTTGGCTTTGGTCCTTAGAGACGCCATTGCAATCAAATTTGGTCCCTGGCCGGAACCCGGAAAATTAGTTAACAGTGAGGGTTCAGTCAGGGTTTAAGGAATTCCTATTCCAAAATGTTGCTCCCCCTGGGCTTATGTGGGCATTGTTAGATCACGGCCGTTGATTTAGAGCAAATTGTGTACGTGGCAAAACAAAACAAAAAAAAAAATAGAAAATGAGATAGACAATAAAAAATGAAAAAAAGGGAAGACTCTATTGATCATCATTATCTTTAATCAAATCTCTATAAGCCTAGAATTAATTGGTACAAGATCGAAACTCAATCAATTAGCAAAACCCACCGCCTCCCAAGTTCAAAGAACAGTACCACTGAGTATTATAAACAGAGTGGAGCTGTGTAAATGCCGGCGATAAGACCCAGACTTCATCATCGAGCTTTTATCATGTCTTCTTCTGCCGCCTCCTGTTCATCGTCCGCTCTATTAGGCCGCAAAACCCATCTATTACCACCCACTTATCATCATGGTTCCAAGGTGTTCGATCGATTATTTTCCAGGACCCGTGTTTCCTTCCCCACCCGTTCTGCCGGCGGTGCTGCCTCAGTTCGCTGCTTCGTTTCTGCCTCATCTTCGACCAATTCCGTGGACAGAATCAAAGTCCAAAACCCTATTGTTGAAATGGACGGTAATTTTTTCTTTGCAGCAAATTGTACTTTCGTTAGTAAGCACTGGAAATAACCAGTCAGTTTGACTAATATGTTTTCTACTTCACGCGTTCAGGTGATGAGATGGCCAGGATCATGTGGAGTATGATTAAGGACAAGGTCTTCTTCTTTCTTTATGGCTTTTCTGGGTTTGCGTTTTTTTTTGGCTCTCCCCTCGCCTTTTTGTTTGTTTAATTTGTGATTATCCTATTGTACTTGGGTTGCAGTTGATACATCCTTATGTGGAGCTGGATATCAAGTATTTTGATTTAGGGATACTGAACCGTGATGCTACTGACGATAAAGTCACCGTCGAAAGTGCTGAAGCTACTCTTGAGTAAGTCTTTTGGTATGACATTATGCCTCAGTATCGCAAATGGCTGGGTTAAAACCCTTTAAAATTATGATATGCTTGGTTCGTATTAAGATATCTGATGTTGTAAACTGTTCTGTAGGCACAATGTTGCTGTAAAATGTGCTACAATTACACCAGGTTAGTCGTTTGAGCTTCTCAGTTTTCCACGCTAACAAGGACCCCCTCCATCCCGAAATGGTTGTCCAGTTTGGATCACTGAAAATGAAAATTCCAACTGGATAATGATTTTGGGATAGAGGGAGTATTTTTCAGTGTTGTCCAAACACTAGGAAACACTGGAACACTATTAAAGCTTTAGCTTACAAGCTATGCTTTTCTTTTTTGGAAAAGCTATCTTTGTCGTTCACCCAAAAGAAAAAAAAATTGCCTCTGTTGGTTATGGCTGACGTGCTCTTGTCCATTCAGATGAAACCAGAGTGAAGGAATTTGGGCTAAAATCCATGTGGAAGAGTCCCAATGGCACGATCAGAAATATTTTGAATGGTATGAATTTCTCTGATAACATAAACTGGATGATGGTGTTTTTTCTATCGATATGGCTGCCTTTTTTGAATGGTTTACTTCGCTGCTCTTTGAGATAATCTATCGGTTCTAAGAAATCTGTTGCTCATGAATATTTGTCATTACATTCTTCCATTTAATTTCGAGGGTTTATGTATGGCTACAGTGAGGTTTTTGCATGTTCATAATACATGAGAATGAAAATGTGATATGGTCACCTAAATTAGAATAGTTGTTTTTGGGTAAGTTGGATGTCGGTTCTTGGATAAAGGATAGAAAGTGACATTTATACTTCCATTATCTTGAACAATTATCTCTCGGTTGAGTTTTCCTTTTCAATCAATCAATTTTGTTGGTGATTATCTTGTCATGATCACTCAATTTGAAGTTAAACTTATTAAACTTTTGATGTAAATCTTTTCTCCAGGTACTGTTTTCCGTGAGCCCATTATATGTCAGAACATTCCAAGAATTGTTCCTGGTAAGTGTGTTTTAGCTAGATGCAATTGAAATGCTTATCACTAGTCTGTACGGAGATCTATTACCGCAGTGATGTGATTTCTGAATGATTTGAAGGTTGGAAAAAACCAATTTGCATTGGTAGGCATGCATTTGGTGATCAATATCGTGCCACTGATACTCTAATTAAAGGACCAGGGAGGCTGAAGATGATTTTTGGTGAGTAAACCACGAATTGCTCATTGGAACTGCTAAGCAAATCTGTGGATTGAATTTTGTTTGTAGAACCTGGATATCGCTCTTTAAAGTTTAAAGCCACTTGTTCTTGACAGAGCCTGAAAATGGGGATTCCCCAGTTGAACTAGATGTATATGATTTTAAAGGTCCTGGGGTTGCACTCGCTATGTATAATATTGACCAGGTTTGTCCCTACTCTTAAACCTAGTAATATGCCTTTAAAATGTCTTCTAACTCTTGGAATTCTCTGAAATTGGTAGTCTATTCGAGCATTTGCTGAATCATCAATGTCCCTTGCATATTCAAAGAAATGGCCTCTTTATTTGAGTACCAAAAATACAATTCTGAAGAAATATGATGGCAGGTAGTCTTCTCGTTTCTAATGTCAGGTTCTCTTTATTCTTTCCTCAGTTGATGGTATCTATAAAAACATCTTTTTTGGTCATATTAGGTTCAAGGACATCTTTGAGGAGGTTTATCAAGAAAATTGGAAGCAGAAGTTTGAGGAACAGTCCATTTGGTGAGCCTACATAAATTATTTCCTTTTGTTTTGTTTTTTTTTTCACTTCTCTTCTCGTAGATTGTAACATTAATTGTTGATTTTAGGTACGAGCATCGTTTGATAGATGACATGGTGGCGTATGCAATAAAAAGTGATGGTGGTTATGTGTGGGCATGCAAAAACTATGATGGAGATGTTCAGAGTGATTTACTTGCTCAAGGTGATGTTTCTAAGTCCAATGTTATCTTGGATGGATGCCCTAAAGCTAATGTCTTATATAAGTTTGTGTCGTGTGGGGAATCCTTACTCTAACGAAGGGAGGCTTTTAGGCTACTGCTTTTTTTTTTTTTTTTTTGGTTTTCATGGTTAATCAAGTCGCTCTGGTTGTTTCCCCTATTGCTCATTCTCCTTATTTGTCCAGGAAATTAGTTGCTAGGTCAGGAAGTCAGCTGAAACTTAAAATCACATTGGTTGATGTATCTTAGATTGTGGGGAGGGATAATTGTAGGGATTGGACAAATATGGCTGATTCTCTGTTAGTTTGATTGGCTAGATGAGAAGACTGATCACAGAACAATTGCCGTTCTGCTGCGATCTTAATCTACATATAATTTTCCTACCTTTTGCCTTTTGGTCATGAGGATGTATAATTGCTGACTTTGGTCTGCTTTACTTGCATCTTACAGGATTTGGTTCTCTAGGCCTAATGACCTCTGTTCTGGTATGCCTTGGTTCTATTGTTGCCTATTCTTTAAACACAACCAGTCTTATTTCTAAATTTGTTGCATTTATTGTGCAAATGGCTTTTCCAGTTATCTTCTGATGGTAAGACATTAGAAGCCGAGGCAGCTCATGGAACTGTAACTCGTCATTTCCGTCAGCACCAGAAAGGTCAAGAAACCAGTACAAACAGTATCGCTTCCATTTTTGCTTGGACAAGAGGGCTAGGACACCGGTTAGTGCTCGAACTTTTGCAACCATACGGATTCGTTTGGCATATCTCCATCATTTTGCTAATGTGCTACAAATAATGTTCTTAGGGCCAAGCTTGATGAGAACAAACAGTTACTGGACTTTGTACAGAACCTGGAAGCTGCCTGTATTGGAACTGTGGAGTCAGGGAAAATGACCAAGGATCTTGCATTATTAGTACATGGACCCAAGTGAGTGACTTGTTCTTTATATTTGTTTCTTGTCGGCCATTCGCAATGGTTAATTAATATACTGGGTTGTGTCTTGAGACTGCATGCACCTCTGGTTAATGTTAGGGACTAAAATCTGTCACTGAATGTCCTTGTTATCTGGTATCCTCAGGGTATCAAGGGAGTTATATCTGAACACTGAGGAGTTCATTGATGCTGTTGCACAAAATCTTGAGAGTAGACTCCAATCTTGTACACCTGTTTGATAAAATCTGCTGCTTTGCCTTGTCAACATGAGAATTTAGAGAATCTAGGGTTAGGAGAATTTTGAGCTTAGACAGTTTTTAAGTTTTAACTTGCTATATTTACATAAAAGAGTCAGCTAGTTGAGCAATAGTTGTGGAATAAAGCGCTGTGACCAAGGCAAAAGTTTGAGATGCGGATACCGAGTATAACATAAGTTATTCAAAAGCTATTAATTGAATGATTTACTACTCTCTCAATTCCAAATAAGTGTCGTTTTAGTAAAATGGAGAAATTTCAAAATAAGTGTCGTCCTCACATTTCAATGCACTTTTTGTCAAAAGTTTCCAAAATTACCTTCAAAAGAGTTGATGTTATTGGTGGACAATTTTGTAATGGGGTTGGTTAAGAATATTTAAGTAATTTTATTATCTTATTTAAGAGTTTGTTAAACTATGTGCAAAGTGTAGGACAACACTTATTTTAAAATGGATGGAGTAATTTTCAGTTGTCAAAATTTGTTACTGCTATTATTCATCGGGAAAAAGGTACTCCTAAATGCTGATAGAGTGATAGGTGTGGCCGTGTTGAACTGATTAAATTACAAACGCAGGACTGGACCAGTGATTAAAATAATTGAGTTAAATTTTGACGAGTTTACGTGAACTGTGCAGTGATAACATTTTCTGGAAAATTGATGCCATTAGATTCTCCATTTTGTCTGACCAAGTAAAATGCTGAAAACAACTGCTTCTTTTTCTTTTTCTTTTTTTTTTTTTTTTGGCCTAACTTCCAAATGCATTGAGTTGAACTAAAAAGAAGAAATTTTCTAAAAAGAAGGAATTTTCGCTGCAATGAGTTGAATGCAATTTTCAAAAAAAAAAAAAAAAAGGAAAAATCTGAATGCTTGCATCCAAATCGAAAATCAATTAAAAGCAGCAATCTGCTCTTTGACTGAACAAATTGACCATAAAATTATCAGCTTGTCGGGCTGGTCAGCTCTCTCCAAATTATATGGACACAAACACGATGGGAGACAAAAGACCAATCATTATTTGGGTGGACTGCTAATTACTCTAGTAATATATTGGCCTGTTAGAGAGATGATAAACAGCAATTAATAAATTGGAGAGTGAGGGCCCAAGTCAAGTCGACGTCGACCGTCGACCACGCGTTTTCCCGAAAATCCCCCTTTAAAACTGCGCAGTCACGGACGTCAGACGGAGTACGCGGAGTCGGTTAGCTGATTCTATAAAACCATCCCACTATCATTTCCTTCAATTCATTCAATCTTCAATCAATTTCATCGATCCCATCCCAGTGAAAGTCATCCAAATCCAGGATAAAGAAATGGCTGCTGTCCAGAAGGCTAAGGACTTGATTTCATCCAATCCTGCTGTCGTTTTCAGGTTCTTCCTTCTTTTTCCTTTCGCGAATTTCCAGTTTTGTTTCCCCTTTTTGGTTTTTGTTTTCGTTTTTGGTTTGGGATCGAAATCCGGCTCACAATAAATTATTTTTGGGAAATTGCAGCAAGTCATACTGTCCGTTCTGTATGAGCGTGAAGAAGCTTCTGACTGATATCGGCGCCACCTTTAAGGCCATTGAATTGGACACTGAGAGTATGTTCTTTCTTCCCCTCTCTATTTTCTACTGGATTGCTCGTTACAAATTTTATTGCTACCTGACAAACCCTAGCCGATTTTGACTCTTGTTTGAAGTTACCTGGCATCTGGATTTCTGACTCCTTTGTCAAATTCTGCCACATTTCTTGGGGATTCCTCGATTAAATTTTAGCTGACTGATTACTGTTTGTGTCGATGGTGATTTGATTAATATCATTTTGCTACTATGGGTTTTTTATTCATCACTGCATAATTTTATCCATTCTGGTCCTGACTTAGTTCTGTTCATAATATGAAACTAAATCTTGATTCTGATTCCCTTTTTTGGTTGCTATAACTGGATAGATGTTGTATAGTATAGGTTTGAAAACATATGTTCTCGTTTGTTTGGTGATCAAGCATTTAGTGATTGAATTTCTTTGGGGGTAGATTGATCATCTGCTTTTGCTTTTGATATATTCATACTAAATATCAGAACATGTTCTTTTGGGTTAGATATTGTTGTTTTCTGATAGTTTATTGTCTTATAGATATAGATCTATTCATTTGCTGTTGATTTAGGTTTGGCTTCAGTGGTGGATTTCAGTGGTAGATTGTTGTGTTCGAACAAGTTGTCTGGATGTAATATATGTCTTAGTTTGTTGTGACAGTGGTAGATTGTTGTGTTTGAACAAGTTGTCTGGAGGTAATATATGTCTTAGTTTTTCAACATTAGTAATCTCATTATCTGTGGAATCATGCAGGTGATGGAGGCGAGATCCAGAATGCTTTGTTTGAGATAAGTAAACAGAGGACTGTTCCTAATGTGTTCATCGGGGGAAAGCACATCGGCGGTTGTGATGGTAAAGATTTATTTCATCTATTTGATCATTCGTCAGTTTTTTTTTAGATTCAGTAATTCTGTAGTATCGTTTAGTTCTTTGACAATATGGAAACTAGTGGCTGCTCTGATAACGGTGTTAATGGTTGGATTTTGTAGACACGACTGCCTTGCACAAGGGTGAGAAGCTTGTTCCTTTGTTGAAAGAAGCTGGAGCTATTACTGGGGCGTCATCCTCTTAGACGATCTCAGGGGGGCTCACTGTTTGAAGATCACCAGATCAGATAGAAATAAAAGTTTAGTTCAACGTTTCCAGTATCTTTGTGTACTAATGTTAAAGCTGAATTTCTAAACTGTGTGCGCTTGTGGATGGAAGTCATTTTATCTAATCATAAATATTTCTCTTGCCTAAGGCTCCTGTCTCCAGGCCATTTCGATAACGATTCTTAACATTTACATCCTCATAGGAAAGAATGCATGTTTTCTGTTATTGTCCTACCACTGAGGTGGTATTAGTGATAAAGCTTTACTTTCACGGCTTCTGATGAGCAACCAAACCTTCGGTTTCTTTGATCATCTGTAGCAGCAGTTAAGAGGAAATGGATAAATGAATTATAATATCAACAAATTAAGGAATTGTTTGCACAATTTAAGATCTGGAGTGAGAAATTTGACTTACTACAGAGATGTGTCTCCAGGAGTATAGAGTATTTAAAGCTTCCCCGGATTCATGCGTTTTTTGGGCTAAAACAACACCATCACCTAAACTACCAACACGGCCAGACACGTATAGCGCTGCTGCTGCATTCAATACCTAAAATATTCAAAATGTTGAACCATTTTCAGTCGCGGACATTCAATTGAAATCAAAAACTTGAAAATGCTTATTCTTACGGTGTAACCGGAGAAGGAAATGCAATGTGGCCTGGCATAAATGACATGCCAATATTGTGCCGGAGACTAGAAGACATGAAAGAGGGTTACAACTTACAAATGCATCTGCAATTGGCCCCGGATCACCAGATAGGACTCGGGTTAGTGCAGTAGCATTATGATCAGGATTTCCCCCTTGCAAACTGTCAAGCGTGCAGCGTGGAATTCCAAAATCCACTGGAATATAGGTAAAACAAGCTGGTTACAAACCCTCAGCCAAAGATATCTAGAGCAATCTATCACTATGTCTGAACTGGCATGTCTTCTTCCAGTTTTGACTTCTCTTCATGACATGAAAGAGAAATGTAACTGAGAGCACTTGCAATACATTAGACCTGTGATTCTTAGTTTCTTACATGGATCAAAACAGAACTTTTCGATCTTTTCAGGTGTAACATCCAACACCAGTCCTGGTCCTGTAAATTTTGTGAAAATTAAGTGTTGGAAAGTATAATGTATATGTGAAACAAAATGAATCAACAGATCCGGAATACTTCAGCGTGTCGAGCATCAAGAATTTGGTGTAAGCTTACCAAGGGGGCTGATTTCGTCCAACCCTTCAGAGTGGACAACTAATGCTCTTCTCATGCCATATCTTTGCAAGGCCCTTGCCATCTTGCTTACCTGTTCAAGCCAATGGAGGGAGTTAATTACCAGCTAACCATTTGATGTACCCAGAGTTATTGCACTACAGAAGCTTACCACATCTTCTTTGTATACACCAACAACTGCAAAAGAGATCTGAGCTGGATTCAGCATCGGACCAAGGGTGTTAAACACTGTCTTTATTTTAAGCTTTTTTCTTACAGGTGCGACTATCTTCATTGCAGGATGATAGTTAGGAGACATCATAAATCCAATTCCAACTTCTTCCACACACTTCTTCACCCCCTGAACATGTCAAGCATGAGTGTTAAGAGACACAAAAGGTAAACCATATTTGCTTCATTGGAGAGATTATGAGCATACAAGGAAGACTTTTTTATGAATTATCTATCAAACAAAATATGACATTTTCGTTTTAAATAAACTGAATAATAGGATCTCTTATTGACAAATCGTCATACGTATGAACTGAACTGCGACTAGATATGGTGGTGTGTATGACAAATATATTATCACTAGATTGAAGATAAAGCTGTGTTTCGGATGGCCATGAAACAGTTGAAAGTTGTCATTTGTCAAAATGTCGTACCAGTCCATATTCTTATACTCCTACTACATATCAGTTCAAGTTGTGAATATGTGGCCTGGTGCACTAACCTGGGGTGCCAAGTCAATTGCCACTCCCAAGGCTTCCAAAACATCAGCACTTCCACAAGCAGAAGAACTGGATCGATTACCTTGCTGAATACAACATAACAATAACCTTTATTATTCAGAGAATCAGCACCATTATTCCAGTCATGATTTCGCAGAGTAAAAAGAAAGACGTTCTGTCCACCTTAGCAACTTTAGCACCACAAGCAGCAGCTAAAATAGCTGCACCAGTTGAAATATTCACCGTGTTAGCTCCATCACCTCCTGTTCCGACTATGTCCACTAGACCGTCTAATCCCTCCACCTTCTTACAGCATTTGATCACCGCTCTCGCAAACCCTGCAATCTGCACCAATTTAAAAGCCATTCGTGAAAAAAAAAAAGAGAAACGGCCAAAATGAAACTCATCATACAGTGAAATACAAGTGATTTTAAATGAAAATTATGAAAGCGTGATATGGAATCTCGATTCTATCCTGCAGATATATCTGGAGTCCAAAATTATTACGTATACTATGAGAACCCTAAGCATTTTACTACAATCCAAAGTTGTTTTTTATGTGCTCATAAAGTTCTCTGTGTATCTGATAAATGAGAATTTATGATTATACAACTAAATGATAATCATGACGAATTGTTCTTGAATCAGCTAAGTAACTGGAACAAAAGGATGTCGGAAAGGAAAAAAAAAACAAGATCACTTCTTTATGGATAAAATCCAAAGATTTGGTTACCTCTTCAAAGGTTTCACCTTTGGCTCTCAAGAGAACAAGGAAAGCACTGATCAAGGCCTCACTGCCATTGTCAAGCAACCAATTCAATGAAGCCTCTGCTTCTTCTTCACTCAAGTCTTTCTTAGCTAACAAATGCTCAATCAACTAGATCCATCCAATAAAAAAAAACAAAATGCATCAGCAACCAGTTCATTTTTCATGCAAAAATTTTGTCAATCCAAAAAGCTCTAAGTCCAGTGTCCTGCACCTGTGTGGGAGATGAAACGGGAAGTAGTGGTTGCAGTTCTGGCGAAGAAGGAGGAGAACAGCAGCAGCGATGCAAATGAACTGGGTTTTTTTTCCTCCCCAAAGTCAAAGCAAAATTATGAATCTTGAAGTTTTTGCAAGGATAAAGAACAGAGGTTGTTGATGAACCAAGATGTGTTGAAGAAGAACAAGAACTGTATCCATTATTTCCAGGCATTCCCACCATAATAACATCCATTGGAGTCAGCAGAACAAGATTTTTGTATCTTTTTGTTGTAAGTTTAGATTTCTTTTTCTCAAGTTCTATTTGGTTAGTTGGTTGAAATAATAACAATATTCCCATTACAACTTTTCTTCAATCTTCCCATGTTGATGTCATGTCAGGAGGATTATAACAAGAGCAGTAATGGCGAATGTGATCACTGATCATACATACCTGCTAGGGCATTAATTGAAAAGGCACCGAGTTAGGTAGGTAGAACTAATACCAATTTACCTCTTGTTTTTTTTGGGTTTCGTCTTAAAATGATTGTTAGAATTGTTTTATGATTTTACCCAAACAATGGTTCTTTCCGGGGGGGAGTGAGTAGATAGAAAATGACTTTTACCAGCTTCTTAAGCCTTAGCCGTCCAAATGGTCTAGGATTAGGAAACTCGTTATATTGAATTTGCATGAGCATGTTGGCTAGTACTAATTGATTACAAGTGATCGATATAGTTCGGTTCATGCCTAAAAAACGAATTTGCAGTACATTGGGTGGGCTCAGTCGGCGTGAAATGACAATGGAATTTTGTATTCGGCGGATTATTACAGTTTGATGAATGAACACGTATCATGATCATCAACTTCAATTTCTCTACCGGTTTCATGCGTTGAAATTCAACTTATAGTTGCGAAGATGGAGTTGAAGATTTAAGGCGTCATTGGCACTAATTTTCATTTTCATTGCAACTGTAAAAGCGAAGACCAAAATCCTTAGAGCTTAAACTAGCCATGTGAGAATTTGTTAGTGGACCAAACTCTAAACACTCCATACAACTCCTCTTTTTTTTCCGAAAACACGTTTCGTAGTAATCGCTATCAAACTTGTAAAAATCTTTTAGGGTATGTTTGAATTGTTTTTTTAGTGTATTTTTAGGTGTTTTTTGTATTAGAAATATAAAAAGTTGTATTGAAAATGTAAAAAAGTACTTCTTCCGTCCCATAATTATTGTCCACTTTGCCCAAAAAATTTTGTCCTAAAATTATTGTCCAATTTGACTTTTTATGGATCAAGTTACACATTTGTCCTTAGTAAAAAACATTATCCATAAAATCTTAGTGGTTAAACAATTACTTGTGTAGGGGTATATCCGGTTGTTTAAGGTAAAATATAATTAAGTTTGACTAAAAATAAAATTTTTCATTTTAGTAAAACTGGACAATAATTATGGGACGGAGGGAGTATGTTGGAATGGAACAAATAATAATAATAAAATATGAAAAAACCATTAAAAAAAAAACAACAACAACCAAACAGAGCCTTAAGTTTTAACCACGGAAATCCCAACCAAATTTCATACCATTATTCTCCTGCCTTTTTTCTCAAATATATATATATTTTTTGGGCTAGATATACGAATTTAAGTCCTTTTAACAAACGAACCGGTGACGTATTATTACATGGTGTGTTGGTGCTGAAAGCGGCCGGTTTATTTATTTATTTTGTTGTTGATAAATTAGATAACTAACTGGCCGTGTTAATTGCTGATAAATCCTATTCCGAATTCGGAACCCAACTCTTTAGCGTGAAAATTAAGCGCAACCGGTCGTCGTTTGATCCTAGGTGTATATGTATTCATATTGCAAGCTTCATTCTCTATCATCAAGACCGGGTTACGCTAGCAGATCACAACTGTGAAGGTCAGAATTCCTGTACTCGTTAAATCCCTTTTTCTGATTGTTTCTATTTTCTTGTAATTTGGATATAATTGTAGCTATCTGATCGATTCGAATTCCTATTTATTTGAAATTGTTCCTACCTGATTTGCTCCGATACCTTTGAATATCTCGTTTTCACGCCGATGAGACTTATCAATTTGCTGTGCTGCTTGTTGAATTATTGAATTGTTTTTCTTGAATTCCCATTATATGTGCTTAATTTAATTGTAGTTCTGGGAAGCAGGTTGACAATCCCGGCGAATTTGGCGGTCTGAAAAATCCAATCTTGATGGAGAAACCCGTTGAAGCCTCTGATGAAAACCCGGTGAGCAATAAGCTATCTACTACTTATTTTCTTCCCTTTTCTTTTCTTTTTTTTTTTTTTGACATTACATTTGCTAATCTTATTAACTGTTATTGGATATGGTATGGGAAAACAGCTCATTGAGGATCGGATTAGTCAGCTGCATCATGACATTCTTGTTCGTATCATATCTTTCTTGACGTTGAAAGAAGCTGCAAGAACTAGCGTGTTATCCAAATCCTGGACAGACATTTGGAAGTCTATTCATCGGCTCCATTTTGATATTCCTGAAGTCTGTATAAATTCTGGGACATTCTATAGACCAGACGAGCGCGCTAGTTTACTCGAAAGCCAAGGCTATAAGCATGCTGAATGGATCAACAAGGCCTTGCAATCGCACAAGGCCTTTACGTTGGAGGAATTCAAGATGTGCATCCGATTGGGCCGTTCAATGCAAGAAGAGATTGACAAATGGCTTTGCTATGCTTTTGCTAAGAAAGTGCAGAGGCTAGAACTCGAGACTTTGAGTTCCATTCGAGAGCCTTATGTTTTCCCTGAGGGACTCCTTGATCTGAGTAATGAAACTACTCTAGATAAATCTTTTTCTATATACTGTGGTAATTACACTCCTATCGACATACTGGGTGGCTTTAAGTCAATCAGGTCATTAAGGTTATCATGTGTGAGTGTTACTGGAGACGTTTTCAAAATGTTTCTGCGTGAGTTCCAATTTCTTGAACATCTAGCAATTCATGGCTCGCATGATTTGACAAGTGTTGAAGTTTGCGGTTCATCTATCGCACTGCAACGTCTGGAATTATGCCTCTGTACGAAATTACAGTCTGTTATAGTATCCGACATAAATTTAGTCTCACTTAAAGTGTCTGGATGTTGTGAGCTCATTCTTAAGAATGTACCCAAACTTCGGGATTTATGCATTTTGGAAAGGTTCTTTGAGCAAACCTTTTCGTTGCTTTCTGGCTGCCTGGAAAATTTGGAGATTCTTACCTTAGATGTCTGGGATTATCCGGTTAGTGTCAACTATTGTTAACATATTTATTTTGTAGTTATTATAGTGGCTGCATGTAGATACTGATGATTCATTTTCCTTTTCTCTTTTTGCCTTTTTCTGCAGAAAACAGAACATTGGATCCACAAGGTTCCTCAACCCAATAGACTGAAGCAATTAAACTTCAGTGCCCCTCCATTGCAGAATGAAGGAGGTCTGATAGTTTTTGCTTATTTGGTAGGCTTGTTTCCCAACTTGGAGAAGTTTGTATTGAAGGTATGTTCTTTGAAGATTTCAACTTTTTCCTTGTTATCTTGTCGTAGATTATAGAGGTTACTTGAAATGACTGCGCATTCAGTGCAAAACTCAGTTTCTACCCTTTGCAATTTCAAAACCTTTCCATGAGCTTTTGTGAGACTTTGGTCATGAATCAATCCTTACAAGATGCGAAGCAGAGATACGTAGTCCAATAGATTTTTAACTTCAAAATTGTTGTTAATCTGTAGTGTTTATGTCATAGGTTTGTTTTTCATTTTGGGCAGTCCGTGTTTCTTGTTTGTGGTTACCACGTTATCTTTGTTCTGTTTTTTAGTTGAGACGGGCCTATAGCTACGGCATTGAGTCAAGAGCATTGATTAGAGCTCCAAGTCTTCCTCTTCAACATCTTAAAGTGTTTGAGGTGCATGGATACCAAGGTCGTGGACTTGAACTTGAACTAGTCAAGTATTTTGTAGAAAATGCCATGGTCCTAGAGAGGCTTACTGTTGAACCTCAAGTATATAAGGGATATGGGTGCACCGAAGTAGCCAGATTGAAGGCTAAAAGGCAGTTTGAGGAGTTAAAAAAGCAGCTTGAGGAGTTGATACCAAACCCTTCATGTATTGACTTAGTAGTTTTTTAGCTCCAAACATGTCAATATATGCTAGAGGTTTATAGGTTTGCTAAGTTAAATTTGTTAGGCAAATTCGTCACATTAATGAAGTGAAATGGTACATTTGATTGTGTACCCACTGCAGGGTGAGGTTCTCCCCCTCTTCATTTCCATCAAATTTGTACTTCAAACAAGTTAAAAAGGCTTATTTGATTTGTGGGACAACAATCCCTTGTGTAATGGTCATTGCTTCAAAATGAAACTTATTAGTGTTACATTCAACATACAGAACACATTACACTTCACATCCTCTAACATTTATATATATATATATATATATATATATATATATATTTTGGTGGACAAAGAAACCTCAACATAAAAGTTCCCTAACGTAACACACTTATACAGCCTGTTTTATTATAAGACAAACAAAAAGGAAGAAATGATGAGAAAATACAGTATTTTGATAAGAAAACTGAAACACGACAACTCTGCAACTATTAGCATAGCCAGATGCTCGCTCCCTTTATTAGCTCTGAATATTGAGTTAGACAACTCTACAGACTTGGTGGCACCCAAATATAGCCGTGGGTCTGAACATAACCAGCTCGTTGCAACAACTCATCGGCTTCTGTGGGGCCCCTGCTGCCCGGCTTATATTTAACACACTTCAACTCTCCACCATCTATCCTGTGCAGAACTGGGGTGAAGATCTCCCAGGCTTCCTGGATTTCATTCACAATGATGGTGTACATCGTTAGATATGATTACTTCATCAGGTGGTAAAGACTCTTTGAATAGTTATCGGATTCTTGAGTCATTTTGCCAATTAAGTTCAAATTAAAATGAGGAGATTTTTTGACAAAAGTGTTTTACAGATGCAGGTAGAGTTGCAAGTTATTTACAGTACCTTCAACTCGTCTCGGCGAACAAAATGCTGCTGATCACCTCTTATTCTGTCGAAGAACAAGTCATTTCATGATTTCAGAAGCAAATTCAAACCTCAGTGTCGCTAAAATAATTCTGTTTTGGTTTGGTATTCAAGTGATAACTTGAAGTCATAATAAAAGTGAAATGGAACTGAAAGAGGTCATACGTATCAAGGATTAGGCGCTCGTACGCCTCAGGAATCACAGCCCCTTGATACCGCTGTCTGTATGACAAGTCCAACTCACTCTGAACTGTGGACATTTCCAGCCCTGGTTGCTTGACCTGCACAATAGCAGTTCAAGAAGTCCAAGCAATTTTCAATCTTCCCAGTGGACAAAAATGAATTAACTACAAACCAAGAAAAATTGCAATTCCAAAGCTATTAGCCTGCAGGAGTAAAACTCTATAATATATTCCCCCATCAGGAAGACTTAAAAAGAGTGGTTCAAGTTCCAATTCAAATACTTAAATCATGATCTTGGAGTTATTTTAAATATCCCCAACTAAGTGCAGAAGAATTCTTTAACAGTAGAGTTTGAGGTTAAGATTATTGATTCAACTCACCGTCAACTTCATGTACATGGCTTCTGAAGGTTGAAGACGAATAACAAATTCATTCCTCCCTTGTTTTTGACCTGGACAATGAAACATGTCTTTATTACAGCAGAGTTCACTGGAAGAACTGACCTTTATAGACATCCATAGCCAACATGACTCACTAACTAATGTTCAAGAATCGCCAAGATTTAAACTGATTTATGTACTCCTCATATGAACAACATTAAAACATAATTGCTTGCAAGATATTCAAGTACCAACAACCTACATAGTATTTCATTTTAACTATACTGCAGAAAAGGAACGTACATTTAAATATATCGCCAGGCACTTCCTTAAATTGTATACGCACGTCAGCCTTTCTTGAATTCAATGCCTTCCCAGCCTTAAGTATAAAAGGCACACCTGTAGCAAGTATTTAGAGTAAATTATTATGGGGAAAATTGGAGATGCATTTATGCGTTTAAGCCATTCTCTGATTCTATTAATTAATATGCCACAGAACAGGAAAGCATGTCAGTCATTTTAAAATGAGAACACTGTTCAATGAATATTTCACCTTCCCACCGCTCATTGTGGATCCTCAAAATTACAGATGCAAAAGTAGGAGTGTTGGAATTGTCTGGAACGGTGGGATCTTCAGTATAGCCATCGTATTGTCCAAGAACAACATCTTCATCCTTAATTGGTAATACTGATTGAAGCACCTATATGGCAGAGGCCAGCAGACAGTTAAAGGCTTGAAATTTTTATGCAGTAAAGAAAAAAAGGATATGGACTACCTGTGACACTAGAGGGGAGTAAGTAGTTGAATTTGCCAACGTGTGTTAAACTCTCTAAAGCACGCAATATGTAGATGACATAACTAGTGCACAAGCAATTTGGTGGTCAAAAAGTGGGAACCCAGCATCAAATTTACATCATCTGACCAACCACTGAACTAGAAAAATGGGAATATGGTACTTTAACTCTTTCAGGCTTTCACATTTTAATCCTAATCCTGATCCCTTTTCTGTCCCGATGATGTGTTTTGATTGATCCCAATGACTTATAACCAACCGAAATAGTCGGATAAAAACTAAGTGGTTGTGTTAGTTGGTACATAGAAGTGAGAGCTAGAAATGTTTTACAAATGCATATCGTTTAAAAATTCCATAAAATATAGAAAGCTACATATATCGCCAGCAGAATATGCAATAAAAACTAACCTTCACTTTTTCATCTCGTATATGCTCTGGTTTTATTGAAACAGGCTTTTCCATGGCAAGGAGACAGAAAACCTTTCAATCAAAAGAATACAAGAAAATTAACAATTTATAAATGATCCAGAAATTAGAAAAGCTTAACAGTAGAAAAAACCATTCCATCTGGGTGTCAAGTAATACACACTATTTCAGAACTTAGGGAACACCATACCAACGTTGCTCCGGGACGGGTATTTGTGATCTTATACATTTTATATTAATCATTCATATGCATATATACAACTAAAAGGAGTTCCACTAAAACCATGTCCAGATAATTGGTCATGTACAGTTTGGGTCAAACTTCGTTAATCTGTAATGAAATAGTAGAAAACAGTATCTTCTGCTCTGAATAACACAATACATTTGGAAATTAAAACTCACCTGTAACAAGTGATTTTGAATAATGTCACGGATAATTCTGCAAGATTATCAAACAAATAACAGGTCAAATGACAGCATAATCTCCTTGTCACTGTGATAAACCTATGAATAAAAAGTTGGATAAACATACCCATATTGATCAAAGTATCCACCACGGCCCTCAGTTCCAAAATCCTCTCTGAAAACAATCTTCAAAGAAAAAGGGGGAAAAAAACCTTTAGCAGAGCAAAGAAATTCCAACGACTAGAAACTAGACATGAAGAGGAAAGAAGCCTATGAAACAGTCATCTTAAGATGAAGAGAGGAAGACTAGACAGTTAACCCCGATTCCTAATCAACTTCAGTACAAAGTTCCGCACCTAATGTTCATCACTATCCTCCAAAATAACAAACGAAGACGCATTACATGAAATATATAATAAGACGTGTGCTGGAGATATCTTTGATTCGCTCAAGGTTAATATCCATGAGAATAGTAAAGGACACTCAGGTGATAGATTAACATGCGCAGATAAAGAGAATATCACAGTACAATCAGCGCTTACCTGAACATTATCAATGTGGTCACGGTTCCATAGTGGTAAGAAGAACCGATTAGCAAAACGCAGTACCAACTGCATTTTTTACAGGAACATTTAAGTACATTACACATTAGATATACAGGATAAGTATTAGTAATTCTAGAAATGCATTACCAAGTTCTGCACCAATTCCTTTCCCAAATAATGATCAATACGGTAGATTTGGGGTTCATCAAATAATGCTCCAATCTGGGAACTGAGTTCTTCAGCAGATGCCAAATCTTTTCCAAAGGGCTTCTCAACAACAACACGCATCCATCCACCAAGATCAGCTACAAGAATCACATCAAAAATATCACATTAAAAAATTGGAGACAATATGCAAAAGGGAACACACACAGCTCGTCCACGCAAGTCATCAAAAATAGACATGTCTTCCATCCTAACTCAAAGTAGTTAATACGTTAAAATAATTGTAATCCTGGTTTAAGTTCCCTGGCAGGATGTACTCAAGGAAATTTCCCAGTTGAGGCAAGAAATTTCAACAACATTTGAAAGTAACCTGGCGTGATGGCAGAACAGTAGATACAAGCTGCATTTCAATAAAACATGGATGAAAATGAGTTGTGTACCTTTGGGTGTGCAATAGAATTTGATCATTTTGCATACGGATGGATATACTGAAGGAGGAAGAGCAAGGTAGAATAGCCTTCGAGGAGACTCTCCTGGACTCAATTTTGATGCTTCATGCTCAGCGATAGCCTTATCCAGTGCTCGGAAACCCTCCTCGGCATCATAGGCACCACTTACATATTTAATCTACAAAAGAGACCATCATCGGAAAACATCCTAGTAAATGAATATTTCTCAAAAGTTCAAGAAAACAGATGCACCAACCAGTTGCAGAAATTTCGTTAAATCTTCAGTATTGTCTTTGCCATGGGAAAGATACCTGTATACAGTTTCCTAAGATCAATTGCATTTCAAAGTACCAAATAACATAAACGAGCTAGAGGGAAGCAAATAAAACAAGTCAATAGGCTATCAAAGGGGTTCAAATTTGTACAGAAAATCATGCATTGAAATCCAGAAACTTGATAAATCTATATAGTGATCAAGAAGATAAGCCAGAAATGCATCTAGAGAAGAACAAAAAATCTCACCCTCGAATCCGATCTCTCAGCTCATCATCGGAAAGCTTAGTCCTTGCATAGCCAAAAATGGCAACTTCATCAGACTGCAAGAATCCCTGTAATAGCAAACCGTCCACTCCACATTAAAAGGCCAAGTGTAAATAATTTAAGATTTGTACTTGTATTTTTCAAGAGGAAGCAAATTTAAGAATTTGATACCTAACTAGAGCTACCTTAAGTAGGATGTAATATTATAAGCATAAGTAACAGTGATGGAAAAGGAAGGGAAAACAAGACCTGGCGATAAAGATTGAAGAGTGCAGGGAAGGTTTTTTTCTTGGCAAGATCACCAGAGGCGCCAAGAACGATGATGGCGAGAGGACCAGTTTCAGGGACATTTTCAGTTCTAAAAGAATCAGTAGTTTTCAAGGAACCCCTTTTCTCCATAGTCCCAGCATTTGATGCTGCCATTTTCTCCGGATCTCCTGGAACAGAAACCGAATCAAACAACACCACCCTGATCGGCTCCACCAGCAAGATAAACAAAATCCCAGCAAAGTAATTCAACAAAAAATGTGATCCAATTACCAGTTAACCGGTTCAAAACTTGCAGATAATTCTGTTTCTAACGAGATTCTGGTTTTACACATAATAAGCTAAGACATATAGAGTCGTTGTAAGAAGATAAGAGTGAAGAGACAAACCTTAAAGAGAGATTCTTTCGATACAATCCGGCGTTAGAATTCCCACAAAAACCCGAATCAGAAAAGCCCAGATCGGGAGGAAATTGAGGAAGAGGAAGTGAGATGAGTTTGGTTTGGTGCGAGTTGGGGTTAGTTTATGAATGATTGTTTGCGGGTTTAGGAAGACTTTTGCTAGGTGTGGAGTGGAAAGGAGACTGGCACAGATTTGTCAGTAATCAGGTGGGACCTCATCTTTTACTATTCTTTTTTCTTTTTTATTCTAGTAGTATTTTTTTAGTTTGTGTTACGTAGCTCATTACCATATTTTTAACTTTTCGCCGCCAGCCAGTCTTCTTATGACTTATCTAACTACAGTGGTAGTGGCAGTAGTATTATTCATTCCTCTTATTACCTCTCTCTTGAAAAATTAGTCAACATTGAATTTTTGAATTTGTACTAAAAATAATATAAAACTCAATATTGAATATTTTTGTGAGACGGAAGACTTATTATATTCCATTGTTCAAAAAAAGAAATTTCCACCCAAAAAAAAAATGACTCTTACATTTCTTAATCCATTGGTATAATTGAACGTTAATTATATTTTTCCCATAAATAAGTTAATAATGAATATAATCTATCTGAATATTTTAGGAAAACTTTATAATTTCAGTAAATATACAAAATCCATCCAAAACAAAAAGAAAACTAAATTAATGCAAGCCATTACAAAACCATTGCCGTAGTGGACTGCTTACCGCGAACCAACGTGCATAAAAGAATTACCATCCCCCTTCTTTTTTGCAAAAATATGTGTTCAAATTGGAGTTTAAAATAGCAGAAAAATGGAAGTAGATATTTATTATTGATCGTCTCACTGGACAGAACCAATGTGCGAGTTTTAATGTATATAAATATAAAAAATGTTGCACGTGGAATTGAATTAAACTAATGGCACCAGTCAAATAATGCTTGCGCTACTAATTATTCTGATTTGGAAGTAGGAAAATAAAATAGATTAGATTGATTGAATCTCTAAGAGATCGGAAGACTAGTGACAACAAATGACCGACTTTCGAAGCAGAATAAAACAAAAATACAGATTAAACTAATCATAACGGTACTGGAAAGTAATGGGTACATTAATAATGCTACATGTACGAATCAACGCACGAGATCCACGACTGACCAGCCTGTCCAACGGACAAGATTAGACTTCACCTGATTAACCAAGGAAATGTAACCAGGGCCCACCTTGTTTCTTCTTAATTTTAAAATACTTGATACGCCATACATTACAGGGCTGCCCAGAATTACAATTGCTGAGTTTTAGAAATTTGTACGTACTGCAAACGTACAAATTCAAAATTCAATTAAAATATTATCTTACTCCTTCCGTTCCAAAAAGGATTGTCCAGTTCGTATTTTTATTTTTAATTTAATTTATACTAAAATAAAAATTTAAATTGAACAATTACTTTTGTACAGAGAGAGTATATATCATTTTATAAGGCAGCCATTAATATTAATTTTGTCTCACCCGCAGACCACAGACAAGTCCCCCACACGCACACAAACACACAGTTTGAATTCTGTGTCATAAAATAAAACCAAACAAGGTTCCACACATCCAAAGAGTCCACATCATTACATGAGTCACCACTTTGTAGCATTTTATCCGACCTTGCATCCTCTACAACCCAAACTTTATATTATTACAATTTTATCACAGTTTCAACCACTTCGGCTTAACAGCCTTCTTTTCAGCAGGTTTGCGCTCTGGAGCACCTGCACTCGCGCTTCTGGGTACAGCAGGTTCCGGCACCGGATGAGGCTGGGTAGCCTCTGCTTTCTCATCCTCATCTACCAAGCCCTGCAAAGACATGACCTCATCTAATAGGTATGGACCTGATGAAGGACTAGCAGCGCCACCTGAATATGAAACCGCAACAAAGTCATTTTGGAAATTATCCCTTTGATTACAACAAATATGATCATACTTGAAAGTTGAAACACAAGTATACAATAGTAGAGACTGTATCCAAAAGGCCAATGCCAAATACCATCAACCTAGCAGTTCTTAATAGTTATTTCCCACTAGAGAGATTAAACCACCCCCCAAAAGTTCACCTTCCTACCATTTCCTATATATGATAAACTCATAATATCTAGCGTATCTGTTTAAAATGGTTAGAAGGCTCTTGCCAGTTTTTATCAACGCATTCTTTTACACCCGATAGTTAGAATTTACGGCAGTGCACATAAGCAACATTCAATGTCAGGGCAGGATGCATACGATCAAAATATTCCCAGATTAAACAGCATTCATTCTTGATCAACTATTCTAGTTCCCAATCTTGATGATCCATATTACCCCCTCCCTTTCTCCATTTCTCCTTGTCATGAAAGTAAACAGATTGAACAATGACCAACATAAAATTCGAAATACTAACCTTGATTTGAATCATATGCATAATACACAATTGCACCGGGCACAAACCCAGCTGTGTGAAAATCCTGTGAAGTGTCTTTCAACGGCTTCTTTGGAGGGGTAGTGTCTGACAAATCAAATGTAGAGGATGAACTTACAGCAGCTTCATTATGCTATACTTATTCCATGGTACTCTTGAAACATAAATTAACAACATCAAATGAAATACAAATTATTACATCCTTACATAAGTAAAATGGCGCTTCAGGATGACTGATCACTTTTTTAAGAAAATCAACAAGGCTTTGAATTGTTTCTGACGGATGAAATACAGCTTCAAGTGTGTAGTTATCAGGAAAACGAACTCTTATCACAGTCTGCACAGTGATTATGGAAGGGAAAACAAATTAGAGCATTTCACTTTTGTCCATGGTAGAATAAGGCTACCTATATAATACAACAACAAATATAATAACTCCAGGGAAAGACAGTAGCACCTTCGTTATCCTTGATCTGCGAGCAGCCACCTCAGCTTCCCGGATTTTGCGTGTTTTCAAATATTTATCTGTTTAACAACTCTCCATGTAAATAAGAGGAACAAAAATTGAACCTTGTGCAAGAAAGAACAGCTTCACAAAAACAGCCCCTTCAAAATCTGGTGTAATACACAGAAAATCATCTATTTACCATAATTTATTACCTTCTTTTTTTGTCGCCATGAGTTTGTAGTAATCCTCAGCAGTGAACTCATAAAAATCATCTGTCTCATCTGAGATTCAGCTCCAGAATAATCAAATAATACAATGAAAACAAGTTAAAAAGAGATAAGAAGGATGGAAAGGAAGCAAAACTTCCCCACAAACTCATTTTATACAAAATAAAAACAAAGTTAGACGGAACATTCACTTTAGCAGTCTGATTTTCCCTAAATATTTCAAAGAGCAGTGATACACTTAACAAACCGGAACTTTGGGTTGCAAGTTATGATGAGTGATAAACATATAAAGAAAAAAAGTTAGGTAAGAACTAAAATGTAGCACACTGTACCATTGTTCAGACTATCACTGCTAGTTGATGAAGAAGTTATTGTTTCAAACACACGGATTTCTCGGCCAAATTTCTCTTTAGCAGCAGCAAATTTCGCCTGAATTGTGAGGATGGAATGAGAAATCAAAGAAAAGAAAGAGGCTTTTCAATCCTACAGAGGATGAATATGCAACTGATAACTGCCAATCCCCCACAACCCATATAATTTTACATTTTTCATCGATCTTATTTCAGATACTTTGGATGGAAATATGAGCTCTTTTTCACAGCAATGCATTTTTTATCACATTGTTTTCCTCAAATTTATATACAGTATCAAGGCCCAAATGAGAAAGATAAAATAAGATTAAGAAGTTTGATTTATAAAAGCCACAACCAGGCAACCCTCCCTGCGAACCCAATATTAGTATTTTAAAAGAAGAAAAAAATCTAAATACGCAAACTACTTATAATTGATACTCAAATTCAAACATTGAGGTCCAATATCACTCCCTACGTTTGTACTGGAACAAAAACACTAAGCAAGATTGGATTACAAACTCTACAAGATTAAATTACTAATAATTGAAAGAAAACACTAAGCAAGCATCAAAGAGCCCCTTTTGCCAATATCAAAAACCAATCCACTCCCAATAAACTAAATCCCAACTCCCAGAGAAGAAAAAAAGAAGGGTTCAGAAGCATAAATCATTAGTAATCCATCTGATACCCAAAACCCCAATTTCAATAAAACCCAAGACGATAGAGTAAAATTCAGCAGACTCCATACGACGCTTGCGTAAATTAATTCAGACCAACCTTGGCGGATTCGGATTCCATTGAATGAAGGGTAGTGAATCGCGTACGTTTAACAAATGGCTGATAATAATCAGCGTTCATCAGCAAAAGTTCAGCTCCAAATCAACAGTAAAACTGGTAATCTCCTTTTCGTCTTCTCGATTATCAAATCTTGTTGGATATTGAAATTCTTGAGAGTCTTGTATCCCTTTTTTTTCCTCTCTGTATCAAAATATATCCTTTTCTTTCGTCAGACTCAATAAAGGGCCTGGCCGCGTAGCAATCTCGTACAGGCTTTATATAAGAAGCCTATAAACCGTCTTGGCCCAATCTTTACCTGTCGCGTCGGTGATTACGTAATCTTTATTTTTTGGGCCCAAGCCCATTTCTCTTGGCACGCAGCTGGACTTTATTTTTTTTAGCTCATCAATTTATTTCTTTTTTCCTGTTATCATTGCGTGGCTTGATACTCTCTACGGCCTTTCATGTAAAATACTTTGATTTATCATATATTTGACCCAGTATGTAATTATAATTGAAAAAAAAAAATTAAAAATATTTTCTAATAATTAAGAAGATACAACGAATGTAAAAATACATTTTAAAATTTTTTTCTTCAATAAAAGATATATATTAGGTGAAATTTAGGACAAATTAAAATATTTTATATTAAGGTCCGGAGGGAATAAATGGCATTGCTTCTTCCTATTAGCAATTTGAACTTTAAACTTTGGTTTCATGGTAACAAGTGGGACTTTTCTGTATCAAAAAGATTGAGCTGTTTGAAATAATTGACTTCACCCAACATTCAACTCTTCTATATATTCAATGTTTTAAAGATTGAGCAATGCAAAATATTGCATCCATTTAAATTTTACAAATAGCTAATTCCATAATAAATACAACAATGACAACGACCATTTGTTGTCACGTTTTGTAAAATGTATGTATAACATACATCTTCATCGACATTATAATTACTTGGACGTAATGCTCTCATGTATGCAATTATCATTTAGCGATAATTTTCATATATGCAGTTACCGTCACGATATAATGTAACATTTGCATTTACACGGTTTAATTGACAAGTATGCGTAATTTTGATGTAATATCACTAACTTGTGGATGTGCGAATGCAGCAAATGTATACGTAAGATCACTTTGATGTAATTTTGCACTTGGTGGAATAAGTGTTAAAGAAAGGGAATTACAAGGTGGAAAAAGAAATAGGAAAAAAAAAAAGAAAAGAAAAATAGAGAGAGTCAAGAGATAATAGAGGGTAAAGAAAAAGGAAAAAGAAAAGAAAAACATAAGCAAACGACGTGAAGAAATGCCAATCTGGCCGGCCTACGACAACCATTCGGTCTGATGACGAAATAATATTTCCATTTTGACAATTTAACCCCTCTGCACGAACATTTCAAATTCTCCCGGGCCCAATCCGGGGACCGCACAAAAACTCAAAGAAAATAAAAACTCAATTTCAAACTGAATAAAGTAATTATACATTACGGTACCCCCGGGTCGACTCTTCAATTTTAAAAATTTAATAATTTGCCAAAGTAACAAAAAAGGAAAAAAGAAAAAGAAATGAAAAACACGAATCAAAATTGAATCTGGAGAAAAGCCCCAACCAGAAACCCGACCGTTTCAAATCGGAGAGAGGAGGAGGAGGTGGAGCCGAGGAGGGAAAAAGGGGAGGTTAGTGCGTGAGTGCGTGAGAGAGAAAGACAGAGTGAAAAAGAGAGAGTTTAGCGTGTATGTGATTGTTGTTGGTAGAGGGTGGTAATGACGATGGACCGAGAGAAGGAGAGAGAGATAGAATTGGAGAGTGCAATGTACACTAACTGTTTGTTGTTAGGGTTGGATCCGGTGATCATTGGATTCGGAGCTAACATCGGCGGCACTCCCCGGGTCGGACAGTTCCGTCACTCCAATCCCAAATTGGGAGAACAGCTCCTCTACTTCATCTTATCCTCTCTCAGAGGTCCAGTTCAATCCGCCAAAGTAATATACTTCTCATATTTTGTTCCCTGAGTTTAACGAAATTTTAAAGTGTTCATTTGATTTATTGATTTGTACTTTGGCGATCCTTTCTTCAGGACTTCGATAAAGTTTGGCCTATTTTTGATTCGGCTCAATCTCGTGATTTCCGGAAGGTTAATAATGCTTCTTTAAACTTCCGATGTAACTTTTTTTCCCCAAATTATTGGTTGAAAATGTTGTCTAACTTTTGAAATCTCTCTAGGTCGTGCAAGGAATCATAAGTGAGCTGGAATCACAAGGAGCTCTCCCCCGGAGCAATTCGAGGGTTTCATCCCTCGCAACTTGTTGTGGACCTAGGTTAGAATTAACATAGTTTCACCACTGTTATCAATTTGTTTTCCCCCAAGCTATGAAGAAGTGGAATACTTAGTGTTGGTATTACTTTTTTTTTTTTTGTGATGTTTGTCAGTTTGATGCTATTCCTGGTGTTTAAGATGAAATTTACCCCTAAAATTTTGTCTCTGCGCAACTGCCTTTTTTTATTATTATTTTTTTTTTATGGCACTTCACCTTTTCTATGCTTCTTTGTAAGTGGTTGGCAGTTACCCTGCTGTCGGGTAGTTCATACAGAAAATAGTGTCGGTTTAGTAGCGGGTATAAATGATCCTTCATATGGATAACATTATTCTTTGGAAGCTTTCTTTTTAAGCATATATAGATTCCTTTTTTGTTTCTTTAGTTTGTTGGTGACCATGTCAATCGGAAGTGTCATTCATGCCTGTCAGAGTTTTTTTACAGTGGCTGTCCTGCATATGCAGATTTGTTGAACTTCTGTGGCAACTTTCATTGCATGCACTGAGAGAGGTCCACAGGCGAACATTTGCGGCTGATGTAGCTTCTAATCCCTTGCCTGCTTCACTCACAGATGTAGCTTTTTCACATGCTGCAACGCTACTACCTGTGACCAAGGTGAAATCCCTTTTTCTTTCTGTTGTCATTAGTTGAACTGAGCTGTGTTATTTGTGACGTCTAGCAAAAGTAAATCTCATAAACGAGTGAATATGATGGCATTGGCAAAGGAGATATAAAAGTGGTCAAGAATTTTTGGGGTCGTAGTGCATGTTTGAAGACTTGTTAAATTCTTCTATTTTCATTTTGCTGAACCCTGTTTTTATTTCTTCTGGAAGTTAATGAAGTATGCGAAGTATACACTTTCCTATCGCCATTATAGTTGTTGATACTTTTGTTGATGCATGCATGTATATTGTGTGTGATTAACCTCCGAGGAGGTTTTAGGGTAACGGATTTAGCAACAAACTCACGTTATGGTTTGGTCTCTTAGCTTCTTTATCTTAGTTTAATCGGTAAGAGTTGATAGAATTTGAGAGTGTGAACTGTGAAGAAACTAATCTGTGGGCCTCATATTATAATCCTTGTTGAACAGGCTAGAATAGCTCTTGAAAGGAGAAGATTTCTGAAAAATGCCGAGACAGCTGTTCGTAGACAGGCACTGTGGTCTAATTTAGCTCATGAAATGACTGCGGAGTTTCGGGGACTTTGTGCTGAAGAGGTAAAGTTGATTATCGGAATTGTTTTATTTTAATTGTTTCATCAATTATGGGGTAATTTTCTCTACAAATTGGTTTCCAGGCATATTTGCAGCAAGAGCTGGAAAAGCTTCATGATCTGAGAAATAAGGTGAAGTTGGAAGGAGAACTGTGGGATGAACTTGTATCTAGTTCAAGTCAAAATTCTCATATGGTTCAAAGGGCATCCCGTTTGTGGGAGTCTGTATTATCTCGCAAGAGTGAGTGAAAACCTTTTACTTGCATTATTTCAGTTGGTAGTCTATAGATACTTCTTTCTTTTTCCCCATTCTTTTGTGCAACATTCTCCGCACTTAATTTATGTGTTCTTCCATGTTTTCAGCTCAGCATGAAGTTCTTGCTTCAGGGCCGATTGAGGATCTTATAGCTCATCGTGAGCATAGGTAATCTTTCTCCTTGTATGTTATTGCTTCTTACCTGTATAAATGCTCTGCGGATTAACTGTTTAACATTAATTTACAGGTATCGCATCTCTGGTTCATCATTGCTAGCAGCCATGGATCAGAGTTCACTGATTGCATCTTCTGAACTAGCTTCATCTCAATCTGACAATAAAGAACAAAGTGATGGATCACAAGCAGATGTAAATAGAGAAACGGATGTGCATGGTTTAGACTCTTCTAACATTCAAGGAAATGAAGAAAAACTTTCTAGAGTAGAAGACAGAAGTACAAGAGGTCACCCTACCGTGGATATCGCTGAAGTTTTGAGGCGTTGGACGCATGCTTTGCAACGAATTCACAAACAATCACTTCTTTTGGTATGGTTTTCATGAGTCAATCATGTTTTAGTAGACCACCCTCACCAGAAAAATATACATGCTTGTCATTCATTCTGTGGCATATGAGTATATCTAAGTTGCTCAGAGTTTCTGTACAATCACTTCCATTCCCTTTTGGGCTTTTTAAAAATCTGGATTGATATCATTTAGTTGTCGAAAAGCCAATTCGCAGTTATAGAAACAGGACACTGAATGATCAATTACTTCCCTGATCCTCGCAAACAATTGATACTTCACTTCTTTTTTTTCCTTTTCTTTTCTTTTTTGGGGTTACATTCTATAAGCGATCAGCCGTATACATAGTATACTTCTCACTTCTCACCATTAGGCAGAATTATGATTCGTAGCATTGTAAAGTTGCTTCCGATAGACACATGGATTTTTCCTTAAAAATAATATGACGCCTGTTGGTATAACTTTCTGAATTAGTCTAACTCTGGTGCTTGGCCAAAGTTGCCTAGTGATAAGCTCTCGTTGCAGCTGTAGTTACTTTTGAGGCAAATTTTTTACTTCTATGTGTGTATATTTATATATATATATGTGTGTGTGTGTGTTATAATCTTTTTTGTTCTTACGAGCTAGTATCCTACTAGAGTTTGAATAATGCATGCTTGCTCTCTCATTCATGCAATATTGTGCAGACAAAAACCAATGATGGAGAGGGCCCAGAACTCTTATGCAATGCTCAGAATGGTGGCGCTAGTGGTCATGCTGAATCCTTGGCCGCAACACTTTCAGAACATAGACAGCACCTCGCTAGCATCCAGGTTTATTCACATCTTTCTTATTTTGTCTGGAAAAAATTCTTATATAGCATTTTGTTATTTTACTTGGCCATTGTTTTTTCCTCTGTAGAGATTCTCTTCTGTTATCTACTTGTCCTTGTTATGTCTCCTTCACCGTGTATACCATTGTGTCAGTGGTAGATGTATTATTTTCTTCTCAGTTGTTGGGTTTGGTAAACCGAAGTTTTACCGTTTCTCTTTTAACTGAAAATTTTGTAGGTTCTCATCAATCAACTTAAGGAAGTTGCTCCAACTATACAAGATTCGATATCAGAACTTACGGAGGAAGTTAATATTCTGTCATCCAGTCTACTTCCAACGGAAAAAAGTCATGGCAGATCAAACTCTCCTATCCAAGCCCACAGCGGTGGAAGGAAATCGGTATTTTTCCCCCTGACTTGGCGATTGAAGTTTAACTTTGCATTTCCTGCTTAATTTTGTACTGCTTTCTGAAAAGCGAATTTACTTCATGAAATATATAGGAAAATAGCACTGATGAAGTCGCCGAGATGGCTTCCAGATTGTCCACTGTGCAGCTTGAAAAGGCTAGTCCTCCTGCTGCTCTTAAACTTCCACCTTTGTTTAGTTTAACACCAAATTCAGCTGGGAAAGGTGGTAACCCGCAAAAGAGACAAACACAAGCACAAGCCTCCCAAACAGATCATGTGTCTGACAAAAGGGCTCTGGACCTTTCTCTCCCGAACAATGACATTGATGGTGCATCCCAAGGTTTGAATCATCCTACTCGTCTTTACTTAGATTTTGGAATCTTTGCGGAGTATATTTAAGGTTTTCCCATGTCTGCAGACAATGACCGGTATTTTGTGCAAAATTTAAAGAGATCAGTCAGAGAAGCTGCGCTTGCATCGCAATACTACAACCTGGAATCATCCCTAGACAGTCGTTCTGATGATAGCTCAGAACATTACTTTGTACCCTTTTTGGATACCAATTTTTCACGCCCAGTACTGGAGACAAAAAACAAATCTATTCGAACAAAACGGTTATTCACTCCTCAAGCTGACTCTGAAACTCATTCAGACAGCCGTGCTGGAAACAAGTATGATGGACACGAAATATTGACCGATCTTGATTCACTTGATGATTATGAAGGTGCAAATGGATTTCTTTCAGCCGCTGGATCAAATTCTTCTGTTTCTGAGGCACATAGATCCTTTTATGATCTGGATGAAGGTCATGATCAAGTATTTTCACCTCCTCTGCTGATGGATTCTTCCTTGGCGGACTCATATGAAGACCTACTTGGTTTGTTAATCTATTTGCTTACACTTTTTTATTTTTTTATTTTTTTAATGTTTGCATCACATGTTACTGAATCTGATATCCTTATTAGTCAGTTTATGCGTAGCGTCCTAGATGGTATCTTTATACTGAGTGCATTTCCACCTCTTGACTTTTTTACATTAATGCCGTTAAGTCATTTAATGTGTTTCTGGAGCACTTGTTTGACATATTATGACTTTTGCAGCGCCGTTGTCCGAAACTGAAACTGCCTTGATGGAGCATTGATATTGATTCAGCCTGAAAAATTGAAGATGTAAAAGTCAGGAAAATTTGCGGATGTGCATCCACAGATGTTGGTACATCTCTTACTTGGTTGGAGTGTTATGCCTTGCCCGTTGTTTTTATGTGCTTGTATAATGTTGTGATACTTGCTCTTTCGATCACTGTTACCTCTACAAACTTTGTCAATACCATGTCTTCAAATGGGAGAATAGGTGGCTGTGACATCTGTATAACCTGCTTGGTTATGAAAACGCCCGGATTTGGGTGTTGGTAATTTGACAAGAGTGACACGAATCTGCACCGTCAAGCTAAATTGACTTCCGGTCTGATTATCATGATTTTCACGGAAGCGATCTGACAATTGGTTGAAGTTGGGTACAAAGAAGACCCAGGTATTTGTTGGGCAATAGCCTTCCTGACAACTGGGAAACTTGTGGTGACATTACGGTGTTTTAACCTGTATCCTGTAGCAACTTTCTTTAACTCGATGTAATGTCAGTGAAACAGTGAATACATTGTTTTAGTGCATTAGTTGGTGAAAATTTGTGTTCTTTGAAGCTGTAGGTAGAAAAAAAAATGTCAGCTTTTACATGTTGTAATTTGCAAAGCTCATTGTATAAATTGTCAGCTGTAGATTATGAGGAAGAAGTGTAGCATTGAGTTGTTGGTTTTATCTGCTTTACTGGGGACGCACTTCATATGTTTTGGACATCATATAAATGCAATTAATTCAATAATTGTGAGAGCTTACAGTTAGCTTACAGTTGGGTTATAGGTGGTTTTGTTTTGTTTTTTTTTTTCCGAAATTGATAATGCTAAATTGCTGTTGGCTTTATATAATTACTATTACTCTAGTTGTTTTTGCCCCAACTCTCCAAATATTTAAGTTGGTAAACTTGTAATACTCCTTTCGTTCTATAATTATTGTCCAGTTTGGGTTTTCACTTTTAGTACAATTTGAATTAAATAATTATTGTTCAGTTTGGATTTTCACTTTTAGTACAATTTGAATTAAAAATGAAAACTCAAACAAGACAATAATTATAGAACGGAGGGAGTAGTAAATTAGTTTCGAGGAGGTATATTGTACATAGCCGCTGAAGACCATCTTGGTTTTCCTCTTGAATTCAAACTGGAGACATGTTTTCGTATTTCGATACTAGTACCATTCCTTCCTTGAATGTCTTCTTTGCCCCTGAGATGTAAGAAAGTAAAAGCATTTTTTATGTAGAGTTGAATATGGCCACAAAATATTGTTTAAGGACCATAATATTTTTAAAATAAGAATTCAAATTAAGAAACCGCATACTTTTTCTTTATATATACAGTATATAATAACTTTATTCCTTTTTAGATACCATATAAGAAGAAGAAAGGAGTTTCTTTTTTCTTTTCTTTTTTTTTTTCTCCTTTTCTAATTAGTTAACTGATCCTATTTTTTTCCTTCTAAAATTTCTTACAAACTATACATCGTCAAAAACACCATCCAGAGATTGCTTTCCTCTAACCCATCTTCCTAAAATTCTCTCTCTAAAATTCTCTCTCTTTCTCTCTCTCCCCCTTTTGAGTTGGTCTTTCTTTCAGATTTCGATCACTTACCCAACTCACAAAGACTCAATCTTGCAACCCCGTTTAACTTATTTTTGCTTCGGCATCTTCTCAAATTCCCAGTTAATTTTCAACACTTCACGTAAGCTGCTTTTACCTCTTATGTTGCGTTGGCCTTGTTATTCGTACTTACTTTTGCCCAACAAATTTTTCCTAATTTTTATAATTTTAGGGGCGGGCAAAGACTTAATCTGCTTTTAGAATGTTGCCATGTAATAATGTTTTGTTTTTTGACTTTCTTCCATGTTGTTTGTTGGCCATCCTCTTTTAATGCCGCTTTTTTCCAGATGATTCTTGATGAAGAATGAATTATTTGCCTGCTTTTTTGTTGTTATGTAGATCATGATGCCCAGATCTTGATGGTTATTTGATCTAGTCAAAAAGTAGGATTTTCAGACTGGAAAATTTGTGGGCAACCCAGGTGATTAATGACTTTGACATTTTTGCCTTTATATCTATATATATGTATGTTGGAAAAATTGAAATAATAATTTAAACATCAAAGGTGTCAAATTTCTTCAAATTTGTTTTGGGATATCTTTTGTAGTCGTAAGGGTTGGTTAATTTTTTGATCATTTTGAACATTTTGCTGTGCATGTTCTTTGTCAGGTCGGTTCTGTCTAGAAACGGCGAACTTGTCTCTGTGAGCTCTCTGTGGCCTTTGTGTAACAAGAGGGCTCGGAGCTCTTTTTTAAGTGTTTCTTTTGGCCCAATTTTCTTCCCTGAAATGTTTGTAACAAATATTTGTGAAATCTGGTCTCTTTGGGACGTCTGGAATTTGATTTCAGTGTGTCTATTCTTACCACAGAATGGGAGGGGATTAAATCTACCCAAGCTGGACCTCTTTGAAAGACTGCGCGGCATCAGGTTATGGTACTCTTTTCTTCTAGTTTAGTTAAAATATGAGATAAACTTGTAAAGCGGGGATGGACTATTTATAGGGGTGAGTTGCTTCAACTGCTGAAGAAGATCTGGGCTGTTGTTGAGTTGCTCTTTTAGCTTTCCCATTGGCCATTTTTGCATCGGACTTTATATTGCTTGCAGAGGCTGATAAGGTGGTTGTGGGATTATTGGGTAGCTAAAGTTATGATCAAGCAGATACTGAATAGGCTGCCGCGGAAGCCATCTAAATCAGCGGAAAATCGTGATGGAGGAACCCCCACCTTTTCCTCAAATACTTCTACTAGTTCAAGGAGCAGTGATGTTTCGGGTTCTCGGTCTGGAAATTCATATTCCTCGGCATCTGTGGGTCCAGCTGCTGCCAGCGGTGTTTCTAATTCGGGAATAAATCATGTTAATAAACTTCCACAAGCTGTAAATGCTAAGGTCAATGGCAATTTAGCAGGAGTTTCACATTATGAGGCTTTGCCTAGCTTCAGAGATGTCCCGAATTCAGAGAAGCAAAATTTGTTCATCAAGAAGCTTAATTTGTGTTGTGTGTTGTTTGACTTCACTGATCCTACGAAAAATTTGAAAGAAAAAGACATCAAAAGACAAACATTGGTGGAGCTCGTAGATTACGTCACATCTGCGAATGGGAAGTTTTCCGAAACTGTCATGCAAGAAATTGTAAAAATGGTATCGACAAATTTGTTCAGGACACTGGGTACGCAGCCCCGTGAAAACAAGGTGCTCGAAGCATTTGATTTGGAAGAAGAAGAACCACTTATGGATCCAGCATGGCCTCATTTGCAAATTGTCTATGAATTTCTTTTAAGGTTCGTAGCTTCTCCAGAGACTGATGCTAAATTGGCTAAGAGATATATTGATCACTCCTTCGTTCTCCGATTGTTAGACCTCTTTGATTCAGAAGATCCAAGAGAAAGGGAGTACCTGAAGACGGTATTACATCGCATATATGGAAAATTCATGGTGCACCGCCCCTTTATCCGGAAAGCTATCAACAACATATTTTATCGGTTTATTTTTGAAACTGAGAAGCATAATGGTATTGCAGAGCTTTTGGAAATTTTGGGAAGCATAATAAATGGATTCGCCTTGCCATTAAAAGAAGAGCACAAACTCTTCCTGGTTCGTGCGCTGATTCCACTCCACAAGCCCAAGTGTATACCTATGTACCATCAGCAGCTATCTTACTGCATTACTCAATTTGTAGAGAAGGATTGCAAGCTTGCTGATACTGTAATTAGGGGTTTATTGAAATATTGGCCCATCACAAACAGTTCAAAGGAGGTTATGTTTCTTGGGGAACTTGAAGAGGTCTTGGAAGCTACTCAACCGCCTGAGTTCCAGCGCTGCATGGTCCCGCTCTTCCGCCAAATTGGTCGGTGCCTCAGCAGTTCACATTTTCAGGTTAGTGATGGGTTCTTGTGTTTTTATTATTTTTTATTATTATTATTATTATTATTATTATTATTTTTTACCTCGTTTTGTGCCGCTGTTGGTTGTAACTCTGACTTAGCTTACTTGAAGTATCTATAATGATTAAATTCCTTGGTTTTTGTACTATCAAAATTAATCTTGCTATTAATTAATATGTTTGACGTGCTTTATCTCTGCTTACATTGGTCACACGCAGACCAGAGTTCGGGTTTAAAGCTTTGTAGTTCTTAGGTCTGTGGGAAGCTCTTTTCGTATGCGAGTGCTTTTACTTTCTCAAGGCCCTGGAAAACGTGTACCATTCTCATGTCTAGCTTGCTATGAGCTCAGTGTACTGTCTGTGGAGTTTCGGTTTCCTGTTGTTTTTATGACACTTTAGTTTGATGTGACGTCATTTTGCAAGATCATATGTGTTCGTGCTTCTTAGATGAAAACTTGGAAGTTGATTGTGGAGATTCTTTGTAGCCTAATCATTTTGTTACTCTAGTTTTGTTAGGATGTCGTAATGTACATCACGATCTAGGTCTTTATAAGCCTTCATGATGGCATTTAATTCCATTTTTCTTAACCGAATTGAATTGACTCAGCAAAGACAACCTTTGTGTAAAGTTGATACATTTTTTTTTCTTTTCGAATTGATAAATGCTACGAGGCGTTTCATTGTTTACAGTGTAACAATTGCCACCAAACATGTTCTTCTCCTATCATATCTTTTTCGGTTAGTTTTGGCCAACCAGGAAGCGTATTTTTTCTTTAGGGACATGACATCTCTATTTTTCCTTTCAAGTTCCTATCGTGTCTTTTTCTGTCTGGACTGTAGTCGCGTTTATTGTCATATGATTCAGCTCACTGAAACCTAAATCACAAAATAAGGAACAGGCCAAGCAGGCTTTTGAGCATGCGATATTCTTTCTCTTCCAAAAGGCGTGGCTTGCATTTGTTTTTTTCTGATCTGACGGTCTTTTTTTTTTCTTTTTATTTTTTCTTTTCCCCTTTTCTTTTGGCAAATTGTTACTGTTACCAAACATACTGGTGTCTCATAAGTGGTACTTTTTGAACTCTAATTCAACAGGTAGCTGAGAGGGCTTTGTTTCTATGGAACAACGATCACATAGAGAACCTGATCAAGCAAAACCGTAAAGTAATTCTACCAATTATTTTCCCTGCCTTGGAGAACAATGCAAGGAGCCACTGGAATCAGGCAGTGCAGAGTTTAACGCTCAACGTGCGTAAGATCTTCTCGGATGCTGACCCCGAGCTCTTTGAAGAATGTTTACTCAAGTTTCAAGAAGATGAAGCTCGAGAAAAAGAGGTTAAGATGAAACGTGAAGCCACATGGAAACGCTTGGAGGAGATCGCTGCAATGAAAGCTTCAAGCAACGAACCTGTCCTTGTTCCTCGCAAAATAACCCCCCACGCGCCATCTGGCTAGATAATATTGAAGCTTCACATGAACTGTTTCCCTTGACTTTTCTGACTGGTGTGCTGACCAAGAAGTGGTGTTGAAGCTGTAAGGTGAGAAGGGTCCACCTCCCTTCTTGTACTTGAAATTTTTTGGGTCAGTTTCCTGCGGTAAAAAGGAAACCTCTGCGCAACCATAAACTGCTCTGATACTGGTTTCCGGGGCAAAGAAAGACTGTATATATGGAACTGGTTCAACAAAGTAGATTGATGTTTATGGCCTGCATTGTTATCTGGATGCAAATTTCCTTTGCAAAATTTCTGCTTTTTTGGTTATTAGGTTTTAGTATGGTGATGACATGGAAAAAAGGGCATCATTTTGGATCAGGTATTGGTTTAGATATTTTTTTTAATATGGTTCCATTTGTGCGCTCTACATGCAATTCTATATATGTGTATCATTGAATGCGTTTGACAAATGTTGCCTGATGTGATGATTCTGTAGGTATAATAACTTGAAACTGTGAATAAGCTTTGTCTTTGAAGCCATTCTCTCTCTTATGTTGCCTTGATCACTTGGTTATTTGGAATTTTTCTTTTTTCCCCCACAATAGGAGAAAAGCTCAGCCAATTATCCATGGCAATCAACGGATATTAACTACTTATTTTGGTTTAAGTGAGAGGGGTTATAAAGAAAAAGCCCCTTTCACCAGGAAATTTTTAAAGTGAGTAGGAAGATAACTTTTGTTTAATTGCATTTCGCGGAAAGAGCTGGAGTGCACCTCCTTCCTGGTAAAATATCTATATCTATCTATTTATATTATATTATAAAGGAGAAAGCAGATAGAGAAACCGGTGTATCCTTCCTAAAATGTTATATAAGAAAAAATTTTATGTGACATTATTCTATGAATCCAAAATAAAAGAACTTTGTGAATAAAGTCCTCATAAGTTTAAATTTAAGTACAATATTAATTTGCTTAGTTTTTTCCATACCATTATAAAACATAATATGACTTCTACTTTCATTAACACTAAGATTAAATTTTTTCACAATTTACACAATATTTAATTTGGCGTTACATACAAATTTGTATTTTTATATTTGTAAATAGCTCATATAATTTATATTTAATCATATCATATATACCATCGCAACTCATTAACATCATTTGTGTTTGTTACAATTTTATTTTTCCTGTCCAATGCACGGGTTTAACATCTGTTAATAATTATAATAAAGTGGCACTACTCTTTGTCACCGCCACGTAAGTTCTAAAAGAGAACTACTAGTATTACAACATTAACATGTGATAGGTTAATCATAAAGCCTCTATTCTTCTCCCGTTTTCTCGAGGATGTTTGTCCACCGTTGATTCCCCACACGATTTGAATGTGAATTTCAGTGGGAGCTTTTAGTAAATTTTCTTCTTTAAGATTTTTCTTTTTTCAAATTCCATACTGTATGATTCTTTTGCAAAACTCTTTGAAAATAGAAGGAATCCTAATAATGAAATTCACCACAGAAGGCTTCTTTTTTTTTTTTTCCGAATAATATAGATTTCCATTATAAGCAACAGGTTTTATAAGACAGGCTTCAAATTCTATATTTCCCGAGAAACATCGATAGATTTGTTTTGGACATTGGTGGGTAGCCCGAATGGCTAACCAAAAACAAAACCGAAAAGAGACAAACTAAACTGACAAAATGACGCCCCACTGTAATACGCATCGTACACAATGAAACCATCTTTATGTGTATCTCAAAAAACCCAGTTTGCTTATAACTAGGATTAGTATACTACCACTATAACTAATCTGGATATAATAATAAAAGAAACAGTGTAGCCTATAGAATACAGCACTACGGATTATTGATGACTCATGATTACTCTTAAATTCCATGATATATATGCTCTGATGATAATAGCTGCTAGCTAGGTTTGCTAGTTCACCCAAAAAAAGAAGGGAAAAAGAAAAAAAAGAATGGATTAAAATATAAAAACAAGTTAATTTTGGAAATCAGAAAAAAAAAAAAAACAGGAATATATCCATCAGAGATAAACACCACCACCATGATCATCGCCTCTGTGAAATTCATCAATTAGGCCAAAGAAACCCACCACCCCAACCCCTCCTCTCTCTTTCTCTTTCTCTGTCCTCCATTTTGATTCATCATCTCCAAGGAAGTTATCCCGTTTTACCCATGAGCCCAACATAAAAGAAAAACCTCAAACCAGATCAAATTAATTGCTTCCAAGATTGGATCTTTATCATCGCAAATCATCAAGCTGAGGCGGAGAGACGATCTGGGTCGTCGTGGTCGCCGGCATGCCTTTATTGCTTTCCAGATTCAGGTAAGACGGAGGAGAAAGAAAGAGAGATAACAAGGGATACATCAAAGAAATGCCGAGTGTCGGTGTGAAATTGTACAGTTTGTACTTCAAATTCATGTTGAACAAACGGTTGCAGAGCCGAATGCAACAAAATCCTCATGCCACCGGCGCCGTCGCCGAAGACGGCGGTGGCGGAAGCTCATCTTCTTTCGGTGTAACGTCCCGTCCAGGGGAGGAAACCATCGCCGCGGCGAAGCCTTCTTTCACCGAGGGCGTTGCCACTAAGGATATCCACATCGACCCATTAACTTCTCTCTCTGTTCGGATCTTTCTCCCCGAATCCTGCCTGGAATCCGGTAAATCTAGGGTTAAGGACAATGCTGCCGGAAAAAGATCCGATTTTGACATAGGAACGGATCCGAACCAAGTCCTACTTCGCCGGAACAGCTACGGTTCAGCCAATGGAACTGTCCGGACCCAAAACCAAAATAATCGGAGAAGCAGCTACGGGTACAGCAGCAGCTCTGATGATACAAATTTTAAGTCGGGGGCCAATGGGGCTGGTGTTGGCGTTTACGGAGGATATAACCCGGGGAGTAGTAGTACTAGCCGGAAGAGACTCCCGGTGATGCTGCAGTTTCATGGTGGTGGGTTCGTGAGCGGGAGCAATGATTCAGTTGCCAACGATTTGTTTTGCAGGAGAATTGCTAAAGTTTGTGATGTGATTGTGTTGGCAGTTGGGTATAGGTTAGCTCCTGAGAATCGATATCCGGCAGCTTTTGAAGATGGGCTTAAGGTGCTGCATTGGCTGGCCAAGCAGGCTAACTTGGCAGAATGCAGCAAGTCATTAGGTCGGGGCAGGGGCGGTGGTGTTGGGGCCGATGTTGGGAGGAAGTCTGATTTCCACAGGCACATTGCCGATGCATTTGGAGCATCCATGGTTGAGCCTTGGTTGGCAGCTCATGCAGATCCATCAAGGTAAGCCGAAGCAATCGGTCATGTTTAGTTTTGCTTGGCAGGTTTAATTGTCGTTAACTTTCATGTGGGGATCAATATAGTGAAAGAATGATTCATACATACCTGGTGTTAAGATTAATTTGTAAGTATAACAAGTCAATATGGTCCAAGCATGATTCATACATACCTGGTGTTCAGATTAAATTGTTAGTGTTATGTTACACGTTTCTGGTTTACATTTGTTCCTTGGGGATATTTTTGTAATCGCCCTATTTGAATTGACGATGTTTTCTGGTACCCGTCGTTGTTCCTGGTTTCAGGAGCTTGTAGTAGGTCTACTTGGGCAAAAATAATTTTGTTTGAGGTTCAGAAGGTTGATAATGTAGTGCAGGACAAGTTTACAAATTTTTTTTCCCACTTAAAGGTTCAAGATAAGAGTTAAGATGTCACGATGACTTTTCGGTAAAGCTTGAATATGGATATGACATATATCTGCCAAAAGGTGTTATTCAAGTAGAAAAAGGCCTTACCTGATGTTTGCTTAGGACCCTTCTTCACGTTGATTTTTTGGCTACCTTACCCGATGAGCCACACTAGATATGTTCTTTAGAAATGCCCTGCAAGTGGATGCAAAGGGTTTCCTTCTGGTGTCATAGAACAGTGTGATTGTTTATCATTCTTGGGACTGTATTTCCTCTGCATGTATGTGAGCACTATGATGCACTTTTAGTGATTGGCTATCTTCTATTGGCCCTCCTATCGAATCCGTCCTTGTTCTATTGCTTACTTTCATACTAATCCTATGCTGGTGTATTTTCAATTAGCTGTCCTGTCCGACCAACCCATTCTTCATTTCCTCTTATGCATTCATGTAAGCACTATGCGCTTAACACACCTTTCTATTTTTAATCGAAGGGAAATTCGGTTATGCTTTCATGTAAGCGCTATGCATATTAAGCTATGGCTGCAATTTTGTGTTTCGTTGCTTCCTTCTGATCCGATTGGCCCTCATTTTCTAGGATAAAGTTGGGGTCATACCATAGATGTGTGGATTAACTGTATCGCTGTCTTTGCCCCAGGTGTGTTCTCCTTGGAGTGAGTTGTGGAGGAAATATTGCCGATTATGTCACTAGAAAATCAGTTGAAGTGGGCAAGCTTTTGGATCCAGTCAAGGTGGTGGCACAGGTTTTGATGTATCCCTTCTTCATTGGAAGTGTTCCAACTCACTCTGAAATACGACTAGCCAATTCCTATTTCTACGATAAGTCAATGTGCTTATTAGCATGGAAATTGTTTCTTCCCGAGGAAGAGTTCAACCTGGATCATCCTGCAGCAAATCCTCTTATCCCAGGGCGTGGACCACCCTTGAAGCAGATGCCTCCTACTTTGACGGTTGTCGCAGAGCATGACTGGATGAGAGACCGGGCAATCGCATATTCTCAAGAACTACGCAAGGTAAATGTTGATGCCCCTGTTTACGAGTACAAGGATGCCGTTCATGAGTTTGCCACGCTTGGAATCCTGCTTGGTAGCCCTCAAGCCCAAGCCTGTGCCGAAGACATCTCCATCTGGGTAAAGAAGTATATATCACTCCGAGGTCATGAGTTCTCTTACTAAGTTTCTCTCATGCTGTACAATAGGTTTTATATTACGATCTCTTGCTAGTCTAGGTGATTGGCACTCACAGGTACGTGCTTCCTGAACGGAGTTTATGTGATGTGAAGCTTTTTACTTGGATCTCGGTAAATGATCCATCATCTGCACGAGTCAGATTATGTTGTTTACTAACGGCGCGCGGCGTTCTTTGGTTCTTTTTGTAAAATAGAAACTTGCCTGAGCTGTTTAGGAGTCAGATTGTTGTGTGTGAGATACTGTGTTGGAAAACATGCCAGAGAGATGGCATATGTCAGAATCGTCAATATATTAGCTTTTACATTGATCTTGTGATAAATAGAATCCATCATCATTTCCTCATTCCTTTGTTCATTTACATTCAGTACACTCTTTGATTTTTCTTTCTTTTTTGTTACCTTGGCAGTAAGCTTTTTTTCTTTTGACGCAGTTAAAAGGAGGCAACACGCTTATAACATCAAATACAATTGACTGTGATGGTGGATTAAATAAACATAATAATCATCGTAAAATACTATGGTGATGGGTTGATGTAGCGGGACTAAGAATGGCTCTGGTAAATAATAAAAATATTAAAAGGCTTCAATTATGGCTATTTTTTGTTCTTCTTTTTTAACGTTTTGAAATTCAAATTTTTAGTTTATCTTTCTTGAACCTAAATAGCAAAATGTACATATATTAGAAATAAATATACTAATTTATACATGAATCAACTATTACTCGCTAAGTAAGGAAGTCTCAACACTCGGGATTTCACAAAAATGGTCTGAAGATGGATAGAAAACAAAATGGCTGAGAAGCTGTTTGTTTTGTCATGCCGAAACGGAATCAAGAAACGGCTTTGAATACTGATGAAATGGTTCTTCTTGAATGCTGATGAAATCATGATTCTAATGGTGCTATTTGTTTTGAAATCTAGAATAGTTTGATTATTACCTCTGTTTAGCTAATCTTGGTAATGAATTTCAAGTTCAGGTTGTACTCATCATTCCATTGAAAATTTGCATAGATTTCTAATGCACACTACATTCTAACAATAGTATAGTGAATGTTGAATTGGTTATCTACTTAATTTTTTTTATTCCAATTTCTGTTTCCTAAAAAAAGATTTGTGCTTTTTAATAAGATAAATTTATTTGTCTAATCGTACGTGACTATTAAATATTTTGTGTTTTCAACAAATATAAAGGGGTCTATGCGGCTAAATATTGGGCTCTTAATTTTTGGTTCCTTTTTTTTTCCTGAAAAGAAGTCTATATATATTTTATAATAAAGCAAACTTCAGAGAGAGAAAATCTAAGGTATCATATCATGCCACATATACTAAATCTTATGTGGCAAATTTATGACTTTTTGAACCAAATTTTAAAATTATTTTCTTAGAAAATCTAACTTTAATTCGAAAAAAAAAATGAGCAGGATGGATTTGACATTTGCAAAAGTGTCTAGAAAGATATTAATGAAGAAAAAAATAGGTAAATAATATTCGTTAAGGGTAAAAAAATAGTCCCACTCTCACATTTTAAATAAAATATTTCTGACAACGGGTAAGTTAATTAAACATAAATTATTAGATAGGTAATGAGAAATAACTAAATCAAACGAACAAATGAGACTAAAAAATAAAAAATAAAGGAAAGTGAGAATGCATCATATATTAAAAGGAAAATAATAAAATAAAAAAAAAACTGAAAAGAAAAGTCACTCCGAGACAAGGAATAAAGGTCCTGATATCCAACCTTTTTTTAATTTTTCTTATTAAAAAATTGGATGACCTCTACAACAGGTTAGGGTGTTGTTTCTGTAGTAACCATTCCTTATCATAAACCTTTTCCAAAAATAAAAAAATAAAAATTCTTATAATAATTTCTTAACTACCTTAGCCAACCTTTCCACCCCAGACTACTAATATAGTCTACCAAAAAATATTGCATGATATATAATTATTTAATTCAAAGTTCAATTTTTTTTAATTTCTTATCAATTTTTTTTGCGTTAAATAAATTACCAGTGTATTCGTTTGGTAAAGTGTTGTCGATGTTTGTGTTTTATATTTTTCAATGAATTCATTATATATTTTATAAAAATTCAAAAATCTATACAAATATTAATATTTTTTGATTTATTTGTTTAGTAATGTCTATGTACATGTGCTCCCCGTCAATCGGACGGGTCTAACACCTAATCTCATCTAATTAAGGAAACCAGGAAACTCACCGCAAAATACACTCTTGCAGACATGTTTTTTCATCTTGGCTTGGCTCAAGAAAAATACATTCTTGAGTCTGCAAATTATCAAAAAAAAATAAAAAATATATATATATCCATTTTGATCTCATGGAGGAGTTTCAGTTTCATTTTATTTTTCTGATAATTTCATCGCAAACGATTCTTTTGCTTATTGTTGTTTTTTTTTTAACCTGTAAAGGATTTTATAATACTCGCACTCGCAGTTGTCTTCAGACCCAAAAATTGCATGTGAAGACATAACCGGCCCAAAGCCACTCCAAGGTCGCTGTCTTTTTCGATAATCCAGTAGTCCAATGCCGTGAGCATGCGTCCAAATAGGAACCAAAGGGTTCTGTTGCGATAATTACTAAGTACTCATTCTTTTAGTTTTGCAAAAAAAAATAAATAAATAAATAAAATCAAAATCAAAACAGTTGCTTTTGTACTTAACGAGTTTGGCCCAGTTCAACCTCGCACCTAACGAGTTGCTTTTGTACTCTAAGTTTCGACTTCTTCGATATATATAAAAAATAAAAAAAAATTCTTTTAATTTTGCAAGATTGGAATGCAAAAATTATACCTTACGCATTAAGTGCAGTTAATTGACTGCACTTAATGACGCGTGCAAAGAACACGCTATGCAGGGGCATGGATCATCCCACGGGCAAGTTCTTTTTCTTTTCTTTTTTTTTTTGCCCTTTTTGGTTTACGTGGGGCCGTGGGGGATTTTGGCAGTTTTTTCTCTTTTCCTTTTTTTTGGGTTTACGGGGGAATTTTTTTTTTGGGGCGGGGGGGGGGTTTTGTTTTTTTTTTTTTTTGGTTATACTGGTTTTTTAATGCGCATGAATTTTTCTTTCTTTTTGTTTTGGTTTAAATTTTTTTTAATTATGATATTGTGCATTTATCTAGATATAATTAACTTCTATTTTGATTTTTTAACAATGAAAAATTTCATGTATTTTCTTTTTGCGATTTATTTGTTTTCACTGTAGTTTCAATTATTTACTTAATATAATTTTAAATTATACAATAAGACCATATAAAATATACTACACGACCTTTAAAATTATATAACAAGATCATAAAATGAATTACAATACATGAATTTTAAAATTATATATAGTAACTCAATAAAACAAATTAATATTGCATAACCTCTGAAATTATATAATAAAACCATAAAACAAATTATATAGAGGAACTAAGACCATTGCTACTAAGAAGTACTACAAGATTGTCTTTCTGGAAAACAAATGCAACTACTGTAAAACCTCTCTACATTAATAAACTTGGGCCTCCAATTTTTTTTTTTAATTTATAGATTTTTTAATTTATTAGTAAATTAATATTTATTAATTTATCGATAAATTAATATTATATTAATTTAAAGAGGTTTTTCAATCCTATTAGTAAGAAAATACAAAAATCTATTATTTTTATATCAAGAAAAATTCATTACAGCTCTAGCCATAAATTTATAATTTTTTAATGTAACAAAAATATGACAATTGTGAACATAAAGAAAAATACTTAAGTTAAAATCTAAGTGTAACATCAAATCTAATTTATTATTTTAGGTATTTATTAATTTATGAAATCATGGGGAGTGGACCTATATATACATAGAAGATTGTTGAAAATTATTATCTAATAAATTAATCAATTTTTTTTATTTTTTATACTGGTCCCAAGTTGGGGTCAGAGAAAAATATTATTTAATAGATGTTATTAATTTGTAAAGAATTAATTTAAGAAGGTTTTACTGTACTTACAATTCTATACACATGCTCGCTCTGAAATATACCCCCAAAAAACGATTCTAATATACAAATGGAGTGTCGCTCGAACGACCAAAACACAGTAGCCGCCGCGAGCATCTCCCGCTCCACACACACGCTCGCTCCTCACAAATGTTTGCTTTTCACACACGACTGCTCCAATATCTTCCCCGAAAAAGATTTTTAATTTATATCCGAAAGGCCGCGCAGGAGGTGGTAAAGCAGGCTTGCCGAAGGCTACGTGACCATCTGCCGCGAAGTATCCGTTGCTCCTCACACACACTCACTCTAATATCTCCCCCAAAAAGGTTTCCAATTTATATTTGAAGAGCCGCGCAGGCGGTCGAAAAGCACGCTAGCCGAAGGCTACGTGAGTATCCGCTGCGAAGTATCTGCCGTGACTCACACACGCCCACTCCTCACACACGTCTGCTCCTCACACACACCCACTCCGATATCTCCTCCGAAAAAATATTTCCAATTTATATTCGAAAGGCTGCGCAGGGGGTTGAAAAGTATGCTAACCGAAGTCTACGTGAACATCTGCCGCGTAGTATCCGCCGCGACTCACACACACCCACTCCGATATTTCGTCTAAAAAAATATTTTCAAGTTATATTCGAAGTGCCGCACATGCGGCCGAAAAGCACACTAGCCGAAGGCTACGTGAGCATCCGCCGCGAAGTATCCGCCGTGACTCACACACGTCCGCTTCTCAGACACACCCACTGCGATATCTCTCCCGAAAAAAAGTTTCCAATTTATATTCAAAGGGCCGCGCAAGCGGCCGAAAAGCACGCTAACCGAAGGCTACGTGACCATTTTCCGTGATGTATACGTTGCAACTCACACACGCTCGCTCCTCTCACACGCCCACTTCGATTTCTCCCGTGAAAAAATGTTTCTAATTTATATTCAAAGGGCTGCGCAGGCGGCCGAAAAGCTCGCTAGCCGCAGACTACGGGAACATCTGCCGCAAGTATCTGCCGCTCCTCACATATGCTCGCTCCTCACACACGCCCGCTCCAATATCTTATTCGTAAAAAGGTTTCCAATTTATATTATAAGGCGCCATCAAAAAGCTCGCTAGCCTACTGCCGCTCCTCATTACACACGCCCACTCCGACATCTTACTCGTAAAAAGGTTTCCAATTTAGATTCGAAAGGTCGTGCAGGCGGCCGAAAAGCTCGCTAGCCCCAGGCCAGGTGAGCATATGTCGCTCCTCATACACGCTCACTCCTCACACACGTCCACTCTGATATCTCAACCATAAAAAGGTTTACAATTTATATTTGAATGCGCGACTGAAAAACTCGCTAGTCACAGGTTACATGAGCATCTCCCGCTACTCACAAATGCTCACTCCAATATTTTTTTGAAAAATGATTCCAATTTGTATTGTGAGTGATTTTTAATATGTAAAACAGACCAAGACCTAGAGGAAAGGTAGGAAGACCAAAGGCCAAAGATAAAAAATAAATAAATAAATAAAAAATCAAAAACTAAAGACCGAATACCAGAGTGAAAATCGAGCGTATGTGAGGAGCAAATAGCAAAGACCAAAAAATTGAAGACCAAAGACCAAGGAACGAAGACTGGAGTGAAGTGCGAACGTGTATGAGGAACAACGACCAAGGACAAAAGGCCAAAGGCCAAAGACACAAAATCGAAGACGAAATACCAAAGTCCATAGACTAGAAAAAAGAGTGACAGTGTGTGAGCAATAATGACCAAAGACCAAAGGCCAATGACTACAGAGCAAAAACCAAAGGTTGAAGACCACAGGCCAAAGACAAAAAATTAAAAACGAAAGACCAAGGCCCAAGACCAAGAATCAAAGGCCAAAGACCATAGTGAAGTGCGAATGTGTATAAGGAGCAAAGACCGAGGACCAAAAGCTAATGGCCAAAGACACAAAATCGAAGATCAAATTCCAAATATCAAAGTCCAGAGACTAGAAAAAAGAGCGACAGTGCGTAGGAACAATGACCAAATACTACATGCCAAAGACAAAAAACCGAAGACCAAAAATCAAAGACCAAAGACCCAAGACCAAGAATCGAAGACCAAAAAATCAAAGATAAAAAAAAAAAAAAACCAAAGACCAAAGGCCGAAGAATAAAAACCATAGTGAAAATTGAGCGTGTGTGAGGACCAAAGACCAAAGACCGAAAAACCAAAGACCATAGTGAGGAGCGATCGTATGTGAAATGCAAAGATGAAAGACCAAATACCATAGTGAAAAGTGACAGCGTGTGAGGAGCAAAAACTGAAGACAAAAGGCCAATGACTAGAGTGAAAAGACCAAAGACCAAAAATACTTCGGAACAACAAGTAAGATCATAGTGTTTTTTTAAGAAGACCAAGGTCATTTAATAATTTTTTTAAGCTTTGAAAAACATATTCATGAGGGATCTTGTTGGACAGATCTCATCGAGTACTATCAAAATGATATAAGACACTTGGTCTAATTCTTTACAGATTATGAAATAAAATCATTTAAAAATTAAAAAAAAATTTAAAACCCAATTTCTAAAATTAAGGGATGCTTGTTTAAGACATGTGTACTACACGCAATAAAAAAAAAATTGGGTTTGGGAGAACATGAAATAACATATGCGCGTATCTTCACATTAAGTGCATGTATGCTCATGTTGTAATAACTCGGTTTTAGAGATATCTAAACTATTACAATATGAATAAAACTTACTACTCCTAAAACTGGAATCCATTCTTTTAGTCATATACTATTACACTACTAAGTTGAAGTATGTAAACTAGAGAGGCAATTTAAGGTTAGTTCTCATTAGGTTTGAAACCTGTCAACGGTGTAAACTGTATAGGACATGCTTAAAATTTTTTGACTAACTGGTTAAAGCATTGAGGTGACCGAAAAAAAACCTAGGGTTATTGCAGGCTATGATTGATCACCCGACAATGGTTGCCTAAAATTAAAAAAAATCCAAAAATGAAAAAAAGATTTCCAAGTGTTTGTTTATACGTAAACTTACATTTCATTTTATTACTTAAAAGTCAAAAGTGTTTCAAATTGAAAATTAAATGGGAAATAAAAATGTTGTTTGGATGTTGGTTTTGAAAAAAAGTATTCTGAACTACACTTTGAAATATCAAGTACAAGTCATCACTAAACAATTAAATACTATTAATTATAGTCACTGCAAAAAAAGAACTTTTCCAAAAACAATCACTCAACAACGGAATTCTACAAAATTTGTCACTGAACTATTTGTAGTTCTAAAATGGTCATTATACTAACAAAAAATGTTTCAAGTTAGAACTTAAATTGTAAATCAGAAAGTTATTTGGATGATATTTTCTTTTCCATTGAGTTTTGTGTTTAAGAAGTAAAATGAGTGAAAATGTAAAATGAACTATTGTTAAACAAAAATTTCTTATGTTCTATTTTTTAGTTATAAAAAAAGATTAAAAAAAAAAACCTAAATCAAAATTCTTAAAAGTAGACTTTTGATCTTTTTTCCAAATCGGTGGAAAGTGTGGCGGACCGTGATTGGTCAGGACTGGACTACCCATGACTGCTGTCGTGAGAAGCTGTGTTAAAACCCAACAATAAAAATAATAAAACCCGCATCCATTTCCGGGTTTTCCAATTCACCTCTTTCTTCTCAGATCAAGAAGGAAAACTGTAAAAACTAAAAAAAAAAATAATGAAGCAGTACTACTATACTAACATACGTATATTTTTTTTTTGAAGAACAAGACGACATCCTCCTATTTAAAAAAGGAATCCACAATTTCCCATCTTTATTGCTGCTTTCAGTTTCAGATCTTCTAACCTCAATTACTTTCGGTAATCACTTTGATGTTGTACTAATCCCACTTAACCGCCATTTCTTAAAGCTTACTCACACTGAATGAATTAGATAGAATTATACACAGTTTGGTTGCCCAGATCATCCATTCTCTTCACTGATTCCTGCTGTTCTTCAGAATCCATTTCCATAAAAAAAACGTGTACATCTGCATGTATAAATTGGGGGCTTAAATGGTGGGAGGTTTGAAAGGTAAATTAAGGTTGGCAGGTGCGGTATTATTAGGGTTATGTATAGGTTTTGCTGGGGTTTTCCACTTGCTCAAGCCCATTTCAAATGGATGTGTTATGACCTACATGTATCCCACGTACATCCCAATCTCCATTGTTAATGCTACTAGTGTTACCTCGTCATCATCGACATCTATCAAGTATGGATTGTTCTTGTACCATGAGGGATGGAAGCGCATTGATTTTAATGATCACTTGAAGAACCTTAATGGCATCCCTCTTCTTTTTATCCCTGGCAATGGCGGAAGCTACAAGCAGGCAAGTTTAATTCTTGGGGTTTTTTTTTTTTTTCTTTCTGCCTTTTGTTTCTGGTTTTGTGTTTTGGTGTTTTCTGTTGTTTTTCTTTTTCCAAATTATGCACTACCCGCATTTATTTTGAAGACCTTTTTTCCCCCCTCTAATACCAGCATAAACCGAAAAGAAAAGAAAGCAAAAGGTTGGGTATGCCGGAATTTAGTGACGTCTTTGAAACACCAGTATGATAGAGGTCATGGAAGAATTTAGGAATTTCCCAATCATATATGGACCCACCTGTGTTCACTTCAATTTTTTACATGTGGAAGAGAAAATCTCAGATGCAAGAACTGAGCTGAAGCTCCATCTTCCTTTTTTCTCGTTTCAAGTGGTTTATGAGGTAGCCAAGTGTGATGTTCTTATGGAGGTCTTTTATTACTTCCAGGTTAGGTCTCTGGCTGCGGAATCTGACAGGGCTTATCAAGGAGGTCCGTTTGAGCCTAATTACTACCAACAGGCAATCCACAATCTTGAAAAGGAAGGGGGAGCTGATGTCGATGTTCCCTTACCTTCCGAGTATTCACGCATGCTTGACTGGTTTGCAGTGGATCTTGAAGGTGAACATTCTGCAATGGATGCTCGTATACTTGAAGAACACAGCAATCATGTTGTATATGCAATTCACAGGGTATTGCCTTTGATCATTTTTCTTTTTGATTGCTGGAAGAGGCATTTATGGGTTTAACTTGCATGGCATGTTGTAGTTTTCCATTTGCAGCAAATCGAAAATCCTTGGGAATCATTTTGCGTTATGGTCTGACCTTTTTTATATAATACTGGAGTGAAAATCTTATGTTTTCTTCTCCATATAATTTGAGGTTCCCGGTTTTCTCGGTAACTGAAAAACTTTGTGTTCTGCAGTAGGATACGTTCCTTTTGTGTGACTTAATTTGAAAGAAATTTATTTTCCCCTTTTTTCTTATAAGTTGTTATGCCATTTTTTAAAAAACTTACTTTACGTCATCATTGCAGATATTGGATCTGTATAAAGAGTCTCATAATTCCCGAATAAAAGAAGGTGCAGCTTCCCCTTCAAGTCAGCCAAAAAGTGTTGTCTTAGTTGGTCACTCCATGGGTGGATTTGTTGCTAGAGCTGCAATTATCCACCCTGATTTGAGGAAGTCTGCTGTCGAGACAGTTCTTACACTTTCAACTCCACACCAGTAAGACTCCCAGGGCAGTTTTACATGCATTTTAGTTATTGCGTATACGGATATAGTTAACAATTTCCTTGATTGCTGTTCCATGTATAGGTCACCTCCTTTGCCATTACAGCCATCCCTTGGAAGGTTTTATGCAAGTGTGAATGACCAATGGAGGAGAGGGTATCTGCCTCAAACCTCTCAATCTGGACATTATCTGTCTGAACCTTTACTGTCTCGTGTTGTAGTTGTTTCGATTTCTGGAGGATACAATGACTATCAGGTATATGTCTTTTTTGGTTTTCGTCAACTGTAGTTTTTGTATATGTTTCTTTTTTTCCATTTTTTCACCTCTTATATCCAAGCATAGATTTCATATAGAGGGGATATGCTTGGTATTGCTTTTGAACTGTAGTCTGCTGCCTACTTTGTTTCACCTTAGATGTGGCAATATTACTTGGCTTTCCATCTCTGTCTGTTTTGAAGTCGTGCTTCTCCACTAGGGCTCTGATAGACATCAATTCGGCTGTACTATAAAGTGTGCTTGATAATTTCATGCTTGTTTTTCTTTGGTGGATGCAGAACATATTTTAATACTTTTTTCTAATTGTAGGTTCGGTCAAACTTAGAATCACTTGACGGCATTGTGCCTCCTACTCATGGCTTTACAATTAGCAGCACAGGAATGAAGAATGTCTGGTTGTCAATGGAGCACCAGGTTATACTGTGGTGCAATCAATTGGTTGTGCAAGTGAGTTGCTTCTCTTATAGTCCTCCAAATTCTACTATAGGAGTCTTGGCAAGTGACATATGTTATTCCCTTGTATGTTCTGTTCAGGTGTCGCACACCCTCCTTAGTTTGATAGATTATGAGTCAGGTCAACTGTTTTCGGACGTGCAAAGTAGACTGGCTGTATTCATTAAAATGCTTCATAGTGGGATATCACAAAATTTGAATTGGTCGGGTCAGTCACTATTGCCCAAGCAGTCGATTCGAGTTGATTCTGGTATGTCATTTGAGGCTCATTTCATTTCTATCATTCAACTTCCGGATATCTATTAATGAAAGTTAATTTTATTCCATTTAAAAAGCAGAAATAGTGCCAGAATAGTATTTGAATTAAGTTTCTATCTATTAGCATCTCAGCCTGGTGATTGATTCACGTTGAAACATGTATCACCTTGACCTGCTTTCTTACTTTAAGACCCTTTGGGGAAAAAAACTTATAAATAATGCTCATCGTACTCTTGTATGCGACCGGATGGAATGGAAGGTCAATAATCAATTTACCTTTTTTATTTCTTTGGTGATAAAGGATCGCAAATGCATCAGCGGTTTTCTTGTCCCAGTCATATTCACTGGAATGACGATGGGCTTGAAAAAGACTTGTATATTCAAACAACTAGCATTACTGTTTTAGCTATGGATGGAAGAAGGCGATGGTTGGACATCCAGAAACTGGTAATCTTCCTTACAGCTGGAGATTCATTTATAATGTTTGCTCAAGGCATGTTAATTGCATTACTGCATGAATTTTGTTTAACAGAAACTGCTTAACTTGTTTATTTGTGTTTCCTGGTTCGCCATACTTTGTTACTCAGAAGCTGTATCATCTTTTTTACTAAGTCTGATTGGAACACTTCGTATGTAGCGGTTCATTCTAGAACTGTTTGTACATATACAAAAACTGAAAAAATCCTATTTTCCCCCCCTTGTGATCAGGGTTCAAATGGAACAAATCATTTTGTTTTTGTCACCAATCTTGCTCCATGTTCCGGAGTAAGAATTCATCTTTGGCCTGAAAAGGAAGTGTCGAGTTCAGATACCACTCTCCATAGTCGGGTTGTGGAGGTTACATCGAAGATGATGCACATTCCATCGGGACCAGCTCCAAGGCAGGTAGTATATGTGACATTATTCCTTTTTGTGATGTCAGGCCTTTTGTAACTTGTTTGATGGTATACTAATTTTGTTGTTCTCTATTTAATTTTCTCAAAGACTGAACCAGGGAGTCAGACAGAGCAAGCACCTCCATCTGCTGTATTTTGGTTGGATCCTGATGACATGCGTGGCTTTAGATTTATCACAATTTCGGTAGCGCCTCGCCAGGTATTGGCTCTTGAAATGGGAACATTTGATCTTTGAACTTGTGTGACTTTTTTGGGACATCTTGAAACCAGCCATGTTCTTTCGCTCAAAGTTTCTAGTTGTTTCTCGGGTTCTAGTATTCTATACCCTTGTATAAAGTCATGTATGTTCACAAGTGGCGTCGTCCGGTTTATTAGGATCTTTTTCCTTATTATTCTTGAGCTACAATGTTCTTTATTCTATTTCCTTTTACTATGTTCTCAATGCATGCACAATATTGTGCTTAAAAGCTTTTGATGTGATTGGATAAGTTTATATTTTCTTGCTTGTGGTTTCTTGAAACACTAGACTCTTTACAGAAGTCTGAAATGGATAAAGTTCAGGTCTAGATGCAAGTATGTAGGGTTAGTGATTTCTTCCTACATTTAGTTGGCAAGGTATTAATTGTGCCTGAATGACGTTTGTACGTCATTTGCAGTGTGCATTAAATCTTTGTTTCTATAAACCCTTGGTTGAAATGTTTAATTGGAGCAATGTGCATACAGTGACTTTCCAGTGCTCAGACTCTTTCAGGACGACCTCCTCCAGCCACTTCAATGGGAGTTGGACATTTCTTTAGTACAAAGGAAGGAGAGAAAATTGTCTCGCCTTGGATGTTGCTTCATTCAATGTTCTCGGAGAAGGTCAACGTTCTTATGATGCATCTCAGTTTCTCAATGTCATTCATATATAAGCAGTTTAAACTCAATGTCTTTTGCCTAATTGTTTCAGGAATTGATATTGAAGGAAGATCATCCTCTCGCATTCAGTTTAACGTTTTCTGTGAGCTTAGGTCTTCTGCCTGTGATGTTTTCCATTAAAACTACCGGCTGTGGAATAAAAAAATTGGAGTTTCCTCTTGAAGATCCTGGAGAGTCTGAAACGAACAGTAATCATTTCAGTCCTTCCTCATTCATTCTCACCAATTACTTCTTTTGATGTACCATGTATGTATCTAGCTGTTAGATATGTGCATTTTAACTGACTGACCTATATAACGTTGTAGTTTATCTTGTCCTCTATGCAAAGTCTTGTTGTCCTCTGTGAAAGTATGAGCATCCAGCCTTTTCTTTTGAACATTGTTTGCCATACCTGAACAAGCTAATGAGCAGAATTTTTTTCGTGCTAGTTATGTTGCTGCTTTGCATAACTAATTGGCATCTGATTTTTTATTAATTATATAAGATATTGCCACAGGTTTTGGAGGGTCAATCCTCCAAAGGAAATCATTTTTATGTTTTTGAAGTCTTTGTTACTTTATTCATTATCTAATACATCAAAGGATCTCATTGATCTAAGCCAGAGATAAAGATTCTCTAATTGTAATTCCAACTTGCGGTTAATTCTCTTTCATTAGGTACTATGATTTACCCTTTTGGAGGATGGTTTTCTCCTGGGTCAACCTCATATGAACTTCAAGCTTCTGTTCTCTGTTGTTCCTTGGTTTTGGAAATACAGTCTAATATATCTAATAAAGTGGAGAATATTGTAGTAGTCTAGAGAATATTGTAGTAGTCTGCATTTTATGTGATTTACTGTGAAAAAAATATATGATTTTCATTTTTTTGTGTGTTTTTGCTATTTTCTCCTTTCATTAATCCCATCTTAAAAAATGCAGGACTCTGTAAGCTGAGATGCTTTCCTCCTGTGGGCCTTGCTTGGGACAGTACATCCGGTCTTCACATATTCCCTAATCTTTACTCTGAAACACTTGTTGTGGACTCCTCTCCAGCGCTTTGGACGTCCACTCAATGGTCTGAGAAGACATCTGTACTGTTACTGGTAAGCTTTTCTTTCAGCTGATGCCATAATAGTTGCACTTTTATTATTATTTGCTCTCCTGAATTTAACCTTTTTAAATGATTATAAAAAATGTTCTTGTGCAGGTAGATCCTCATTGTTCTTATAAAGCTCATTTGGCTGTCTCTGTCAGTGCTGCTGCTGGTAGATTTTTACTTTTATACTTCCCCCAGGTGAAAGCATAATTTCTCATTTTATATTTCACTGAAGGTTGTTTCTTTTTTTTCCAATTGTACATTGTCTTTTAGCTTATGTACTTTTCCATAATCCTTACTAAGGAATGATTATACTCCGGTACTAATGAATTGCTGATTTATACATCTAAACTGTTAATTCCTGAAAAGATGTTTGCTAATGTTCCCAAGTCATGGATTGGTTCGGAGATGTTGATGACTGAGCTTCTTCTTATGTGTTTTGACCACAGAATATAAATAGGTTTTTATATTGAAATTTACTGCCAAGTTCTTATGTTTGTATATGGAGTAACTTATTTTGTCGCTAAGTACAATTTTTCTGGAAAATGGACCCCCGAATCTGATGAAGCATTGGCGTTAAAAGAAGAGGTAGGAATATTAACAAATAAAAAATAAAATCAAAAATAAATTTAAAAAACCGTGAACAGCCTTGTCAAACCTTGAAATGGGAGGGGGTGGTCTTTTGTGGAGTCTTGGCTGAAAGTATTCTTCGGTTTCTCTTATATCTAATTGAATGCTAATTTTTTGTGCTTACCATACATCACTTTTTGTGACTGATGCAATGCAGATTGTTGGACTTACTTTTGCCGTTGCCTATTTTGCTATGATGCGGCAAGCGTATGCATCGGAACTCGATATGCCCATACCTACTGTCCTTTCAGCTGTAGAGTCAAATATGCGAATGCTGCTGCCATTTTTTTTCATGGCCATACTGCCTATTCTCGTTGCCTTTTTCTTTTCTAGTCTGAGTTCTTCTTCCATACCTCCATTTTGGAGTTTCGGCATTGTCTCAGTTATATGTTATCTCTTTGCCAATGGAGCCGTAATATTACTGGTATTGATTTCCACATTGGGCCTCTACACAACTGCGGCTGTGCACATTTTCATCAAAAAAAGGTTTGCCTAGTCCTTCTTTCTTTATCCTTTTCTTATTTGCCTCACATGTGCCCTAACAATAAGCTGAGCCTTTAGTTGACTGATCGACCATCTATTATATAGTGGGTTACCTTTCTTATTGTAAGCAACCGTAGCAATATGATGCCCTGTCAAATGGAGGAGAAAGAATCTTGCAACCTTTGATTGTTTCTATGATTTATTCTCTCCAATTAAGCAACGAGGAAAGTTTGGATCCCTTAATCTGGGTTGGGAATGTAAATGTGGGAGGTATGGCCAAAGATCTGCAGATATTCTGAGGGAACATTTGGGTCTATGTTTTGAGAAAATTTCATATCCATGATTGATCGTCTCTAATTCATTAATCTATCCTGCTAATCTTTCCACTGAAAACTTCTATGGATGACAAATTGCAGATGGCAAGCATGGGAACCGATTTTTCCCTTCTTCTTTCTGCATTGGTTCCTTAAGCTCTCCACTAATTTTTTGTCATTCAAGGTATCACATTGTTCATTCTGTAATTTTTCGTTGTTAAGTTTTTTTATTTTTTTTGGGTGTGTGTGTGTGTGTGTGGGGGTGGAAATATATCATGGCGTATTCAGTCAAAATCATGTGGCTTAAACTTATGTGCAGGTTGTGAGAATTATCAGGACAAACCCGTTGGCTATTTCGGCTCTGGTTTCGTGTACACTGATCTGCTTCATGCATCCAGCCCTGGGCCTTATTGTGTTACTATGTTCACAGGCTATCTGTTGCCACAACTCACTTTGCAGGTTTCATTTTAATTTAACTCGCCCTGATTCACTTTCTCACGTCATAAATATGATTGCAGAATTTCATGTTTTCTGAACTGCTTCACTTTCATGGTTTATCATGATGCGAGCTACATAATAGTAATCTAATTTAAATGAGAGAGATTCTACGATCTACATTAGCAACTAAATGGAATTGACATTATGATGAATTATACTTAAAATTCACCTTCTATTTTTAAGTCGGGAATTTGCATGGCAGTACTTTGGCCTTGGAGCTATCTAGGGACCGTTGGTTTGCTTGGTTGTGATTGTATTTTGCAGTTAAGAAAATTGCTTTAAGACTGAAATAGAGGTAGTTTGCCTGACACATTTCTGCATCTTAGTGTTTACTTTAATGAGTAACCTTCTATTTTGCAAGACAGTTTATGTGACTGCCATTTTTCTCATTGCGCTTAATGACCTCAATTATCTGCTCTAATTTCTGTTGGCAAGGCTGCATTTTCTCTTCTGCATGGATTTCGTATTTCTGTAAACACTATCTGAGAGTTGGCTTCCTCTGCAAGCAGTTCTTTGATGGCTTCGTTTCGCAGCCATTCTGGAAGTAAGCAGTCAATAGAATCAAGCGCTGGACCTAATGGAGCTTCAATGCAGTTTATGTCAAAGTATGGTGGCAAAACTAAGCTATTGCCTCGGGACGAAAGTAATTGCAGCAGTCCCGATTCTGCAAGAAGCTTTGCAGAAACTCAATTGGAGATTTTCCACCATCGACATGGATTACTAACCTTGCATCTTCTAGCCTCGACAATGTTTGTACCCTCCATGGTAGCGTGGTTCCAGGTCAGCACTCCCCATTCTCTTGATGACAGCATTATTTCTTTTCTTTTTTTTTCTCTATGAGTACGTTTATCAGTACAATGGTTTCGGCATCACCCATTACAGCCGGTTGCCTGCATCCCTGATTTACCGTGCTTTTTCTTTTGCTTGCATATACTGTTGACCTGGGACATTAGAGGAAATCATCCATCTTCTTTGTTATTTGGCTTGTAATTTTATGGTATTCACATAAAATTTGACATCAGTGTGGTGGAGTTTAAGGCTTAGCTCTGATAACATACTTGTTTTGCACTTGCCTTTGATTAGTTTCTCTCTCAGTGATCAACATTAATCATTTTTCATCTCTTGATTAGATATTTTCCCCTATTTTCAGAGAATAGGCAGTGATCAGAATTTCCCGTGGTTTTGGGACTCTGCTCTATGCATTGGAGTTGTGCTGCATGGAATTTCCAACTCCAAGCCCGAGTTCAATTTCTTCTTTCCAGCTCCTGGAATCAGCGGTTGGGAAATCAGACTAAGCTTTGCCTATTTAGTCGCTGGATACCTCTCTTACTTTACCGGCCTGGCTTTGGCTCCATATAAAGTGTTCTATCCCATGGCTGCCATTGGAGTTGTGTCATTTGCTTTCAGGATTATCCAGAGGAGAAGTAATAGAGGGCGAAAGCATTCTCATCGGCACTAATCTTTGCCAGTACTCTTGTTCTGCTACGCTTGATAAAATATTTTTTCGAATTTCAGATGAAGGTGTCTTGTAAAATAGTAGGGCATTTTGTTAAGAAGCGTATGTTGAGTTGTTGTATCATGTATCGATCTGGCTTTGATGCCACGGCAATTTTGGCGTTTCAGATGTTAGACTATAGGAAATTGTAGAAATGAAAGCACCATATGAAATACATTTCAGTTTCATGGCCAAATTTTGTGTGTTGTATTCTACATTATTGTATCTTTGTAAACGTAACAAATAGTTACGACTTACGTGGAAAGTGAGAGACTGTAAACATGCAGTAACAAATAATTTCTATAAGGAGCGCATCAGCCAGCCATCTGAACTGGTGACAGGATGAATTAATTTCTATAACTTTAAGAGTCGACGTTGAAATAATTTCTATAACTTGACATGGTAAAAGTAACTCGTTTACTACATTCTGTAATTCATTTTCTTGTACAGAATTATGACAGTGCGAAGAGAGTATCAGAAATAGAAGTTAAAAACAATAAATGCACATGAAACCAAACACCAAATTGCTCAAACTAGAGACCTCTAATAGCCCTTGATGCCATAGCCCTCAAATTCGCCCTCGCCAATGCGAGGGAGCTTGTATATTCTTGATCGGATGATGGTCCCCTATGAACCATGAACTCTTCCCTCTGCAGCCTCAATGCTAATGCTGCATCCTCGTCTTGGCTTGGCAACTCGTTTCTTCTCCTCAACGATGTCCTGGAAGATTGCCTACCATTCCTTCTGGTAGGGCTGTCATTTCTCAATTCAGCTCCTCTACTACTTCTCGACTCTTGGACATGTCTATGTCTCACGTTACTGGGGTTTAGTCTCACTGAGCTCTGTTGTTGTTGCTGCTGCTGCTGAACTTGACGATCATTTGAAGCACTGGCTGCTGCTTCTGCATTTCTCACTTCAACTTCTTGTGGAAATAGCAGCTGTATCGTGTTCCAAAGAACTGTATTCACAGTGCAGGATCTTCCATTGCTGCAATCAGATAAAAGGCAAAGAAACTAGTAAAAGAACGAGGATTGAAGCCCTTTTCTCGATGAAGAAGAAATATTAGCAAACTCAGGAATCAAACTGGCAACAAAGCAAGTACCTTATGAGCTGCCTGCACTTTGGACATTTTTTCCCACATTTATCTGCGGCAGATCTCAAACATTTCTTGCAGAAACTAAAACAAAGAAAAACAAGGAAACAAAACTTAAACTTAATCGCCTGCTTTATCTTAAACTCTATAGATATTATTAGAATGAAATCAAAAGGTACCTATGACCACAAGGAGTGGTACTGGGTTCAAAACAGATTTCCAAGCAAATCTGCAAAATCAAATCAACAGCTCTCAGAACCGGGCAACTGTAGACTTATTAAAAAGACATTGGCTTTTTTTTATTATTATTGCTTAGACTAAGAGGGTGGTCCAAAAAAGACTATACAACTCTTACTGCGCAGGAAAGCTCTTCCCTAAGTCGATCCATACACAGGATAGTGGAACAATTGGAAGTGGAAGCCTCAGAGCCCTGCTCATCAGTTCCCTTTTCACTTGATGCCTTCTCTTCCTTCTTAGATTCTGCCACATCTTTCTGCACCTCTGTTCACCATAAACACAATCAAAGCAAAACTCTGTAGTCAAAATTAACAATCAAATCTCTCGTATCCAGAAATTCCAAAGGAAAAAAATAAGGTTATTCGAAAACCTCGTCCTCGTGGTCTTTCACTTTGGAAATGTCCCTCATTATCAGATCAAATGAGCTTAAAATGAATTGGATTCAAAATAAAGATTTTAGGTCCTGAAATTCCTCCAAAGTACAATATTTTTGGTCCATCACTACTAGAAATGTTAACATTAGGGTTATGTTTATATAGTCCAAAGCTAACAATTTAAAAATATTCCAATTTCTCTAGTAGAAAAAGAGCCTTAAAATACCTGATTCTTTTGGGGGTTGGACCTTATTAGCGGTATCCTCCTCCTCGAGATTAAGAATAACCACCGGCATTGAAGTAGGGCTCCTTCTCTGCACTCTACGCTTCCTGGGGAAACCACACCGCCAAAAATTTTTATGAGATCTAAAAGTTTCGTCCATAAGTTCATTTCCCCAAGATTCGAACATAGAACAAAATTGGAGGAAAAAAAAATCAAAACATTTCACCTTCTTGAATTGGTACTGGGGGGAGTCTTGAAAGTATTACGCTGGTTCTTGTGATGCTTCAAATGTGGTTGTCTATCAGGAGTATCTTCAACGACAAGAGAGGCAACCATGAGAGCCTCTTCGTCCCAACCAGCCATAGCCGCCACAGATCTAAACCCCGGGCTGAACAAACTGTCCTTGCTTTCCCCATTGACGGCGGCGCTGCTGCTATTTCGGACAAATTGACCCGATTCCTGATCCGGGTTCCCTGAGTTTTGGGGGCTGGTGGATACACCTTTGTCTTGATTCACCATCTCTACAATCCTCCTCCTCCTCCTCCTACTCCTCCGGCGCGCCTTGCTCTGGGAAGTTCTCAGATTGTTTCGGTTTTTTCAGAGAGAGAGAGAAACTTGTTGGGAGGGCTTCTTTCCTCCTAACGGTCGAGTTTTTCAATTACATTAGTGGTGGATAAAAAAAAATAATAATAAAAGAAAAACAAAAGATAATACTACTGTATGTGGATGTGGGCCCAACTTAAAAGGGAAAAAGTCCTTTGCTTCTTGCCAACATAATCTTATCACTAATAGTCACAAAATTTCAAAATACAACTAACTAATTTCTATGTTGAGAGACTCCAGTTTATCGAAAGTCAAGGAGGAATGATGTTTAATTTAATTACTTGAGAGGATAATGTGATAGTATTACTATGTCCTTCAATTGTTTTTTTTTTTTTGACAGTAATGTCCTTCGATTGTTATATTGTAACTAAAACAGAACTTGGTCACTTCTTTTCTTGTATCTATATAATCTATGGAGTACTAAGAGTATATAGGAAGTTCTGAACCCACAAAGAAGTTGCAGTTTGAGGTGCTTATGTGCATCCACATTTTTGTGACTCTCTCAATCAATCAGCTAAATTCATCTGTACAAAGCAAAAGGATTTTGGGCTAAACCATTCTCAATCAAACTGAGATGATTGCCATGGCAATCGGCCAGTTTTTGGGTCAGCAAATGTCTGCATCACCCGATCACGCAACCTGGTGTCTTTCACCTCACAGAATCGGCTGCTCCAATCTCTGGGCTCAACGGCTTTAGTTCCCAGCCCGGGCGTTCTGTCTTTCGAATGCGAATTTCGATCCTTTTGCCAATCGGACACGTAAGTGGCTACCCTCATTTGGAATTTCTCCTTGAAAACTTCCCACACTTGGTACTTGTAATGGTTGATTACCAAGGTTTTGGTACCCAAATTGACGTGCTTGTACCCTGATTTCAGGTGGAAATGGTGCACCAAACTCATCAACGTCTCGTTTACTGCCTCGGGCCTCAATAAGCTCTTGTGTCGCTCTGGATATCTCAACCTACATGTGTACCCCACGGTTACTCCCTGGGCTGGTATTTGCTTTTGCCCCGACGGGCCAAAGTTGAGACAATCAACCCGTATTTCACCAACCACACTCCCTCTCGAGCCATACTTCGCCAAGACGTCGTGGAGGGATGAGTTTACACTAGCCAAATGGAAAAACTCATCTACGTCGATGAACCCGACCCATTTGCAAGTGTCTCTCGCCCGCAAAGCGCAATGGGCGAACCCGGCCTCTTGGGTCTTGATCCACGGCCACACTTGGCGGGTGATCTTGTGGCCGGCGTTTACTAATGATTTGATCACGCTTTCTATATCGTCAGAACTATTGTTGTCGTAAATGAACCACCGGCCCACACCAATCCTGGAATGGTAAACCACCCATTCCCGTAGAAATTGGGCCTGGTTCCTCAACATGGTGCAAATGCACATCTCGTGTTCTTTATCAGCTGGGCCGGGACCGAATCTGCGTTCGAGCCTGGCAACTGACTTCACTGGGTTCCGCTTGCCAATCATTCGAACTGAAACCTTAAACAAATCATCCCATTTCTTATTCTCGTTCACCACCATATATAATACAGCCGGCGGGGTCTGGCACCGTACGATCTCCTGGGCAATGGATACAACGTCAGATTGGATAAAAAACTTGATGGGGCCACCGTGTGCGGAATCTGGGCCGTACACGCACTTAAACTTGGTGGGGTCAGAGAGCTTTCCTTGCCGTAGATGAAGGCCTTTCACGAAGACGATGGTTGTGTTGTCCCTATCGATCATAGCTTCGTAGGCTAAGGAGTCCCACCTGTAGTAGGTGGGGTCAGCCGGAAGGTTACCGTTGAATGAGGTGGAAAGCGAAACGATGGAGCCACGTGGACTGAGCGGGCACCGAACGATCTGGCGACCAAAGTAATCATCGTCGACGGAATTTGGCGGCAGCTGAAACCGGCGACGACGATCATCATCTCCGGCAGATGAATTTGGAGGAGCAGAGTAAACGCAGTAGATGGTGTCCCTGGTGAATAACGGAGTGGAAGGAGGGTATTTCAGGAACAACAGAACCTGGTCCGGAAATATAACGGTTTCTTGAACGGAGACGGCAGGAGAAGAGGGAGAAGATAACTCGCCGGCAATAGCTTCCATTTGGGCGGTTTGCAAGGAGGATGACGTCACCAGTTTAGGACGCAGCAGCGTTCCTGTAAATTTGAACCAGACATAAATCTTTTTTCTTCCCGAATTCATAACGCAGGGGAGATCGCAGAACATGAAAATAAATACTAGCAGAACTAGCAGCAGCAGTTAAGTACAGTAGTGGTACCTGTGAAGAAGAAGTGGAAGGAAATGACAGCGGAAAGGAAACAGAGCAGGAAAATCCATGGCAGCAAAAAGCGCCGCCTACTTTTCCGATGCTGGTGATCTTTCATGGTTGTCACAAATTAACCCCGAATATTCGCTATATTGTTCTTCTTCTTCTCCTTCTTCTTCTATTGATGAGGACGGGGGTCATTAATTCTGCTGGATCTTCATGATGCTAGTAGTCAAAGAAACAACAAATTAATTATAATAAGAAGAAGAAGTAGCTGGGGGCGAAGTTTTTTCTACAGGCACTCGAGTGCTTCAGCAGAAAGATGAAAACCCAATTGGAATCCTGAGTATGAGGGGCCAAAAAAAAACAAAAAAAAAACTGAAAAGTCGAGAGGAAATATAGAGGAAGCTGGGGGAAAACTCTACTAAGAAAGTCAAAAAACAGGAATGAAAGCAGGGGAGGGAGAAATTGGGGGAGTTTGTTACTACTGTATCTGTATTTGACGTGCGCATGGTAGAGAGAGACAAGGAAGAAGATTTGGATGGTTTGAACTTTGAAATTGGGATGATAGAAAATCTAGAGAAGAGACCAGAGACAAGAGAGAGAGAGTGTGTGTGTGTGGGAAAATTTAGAAAGAGACTTTGGGAGGATTTCATTCAACTCACGTACAGTTTCCTGCTTTCTATTAATCCTTTCCTGCTCTTCAGACTTCACCTGGCCTCAACGACCTAGGAAGGTTTGTTATGACAGTTCACTCTTTATACCATTCCACAGCTTTCATTTCCCTCTAGGCCCCATTATATATGCCTTTTATGTGGAGAGATAAATTTACTTGTCAGTCATCTATCCACCTGAACAAGAAACAGAAAGACAAGCAGCATATGTTGTCCCAAAAGGCAAAATGCATGTATTGCAAAAAAAAGCCATAACGTTGTCTTTGCTCTCTTATCCTCGTCCCGTCTCAAAATAATTGTCTAATTAAAAGTGAAAATTCAAACGAGATAATAATTTTAGGATAAATGAAGTATCTTGAAAGGATAAGAGTTAGTCATTTCTACAAACCGTAACTGATTGACAACCAAATTAATGAATACGCTAGTAAGACTATGGAGCTACCACTTGAAAAGCCCTCAATTTTTTATTTATTTATTTCTTTTTTGGTTTAAAAAAAGCCCTCAATTTCGTCATTCGAGCTATGAGGTACATTTCACTTGGAAATATAGTCATTTTCTAGATTTTTTTTTTTTTTTCCCTCGCAGAAAATAAAAAGGGATAGAAAAAAGAGGAGGAATAGTCAGCAGAGAGACAAGTCCATAGAAAGGTAGTAATCAGATACTAAAAGATAAAATGCGGGAAAAAGATGACACAGAAAAAATGGGAGTGAACGGCGTTTCGTCTGGTTAAGAGTTAGTTGCTAACACGCAACGTAAGTATATAACCTTCTTTCTAGCAGCTCCTCCACTTAATTTGATTTTGGACATCATCACTTCAAATTCAGTACGTACTTATATCTCTGAATGCAGCTGATATTTTGGTGAAATTAGGTTTCTCATGCTCTCCCTAAAGGGTATATCTTTTTGTCAATACCGTCATCACAAGTTATACCAGTTTTGCTAGCTAGATGACTGCATGCTTTCTCAATCCTAAGTTCCTAACTCAGTGGTTGAGTAAGTAAATAGTAAAATTTTGCTCCCTCTCAAATTTAAATAAAATTAATAAAAATTCCAGAGATTAGCCTATCAATTATGTATTTATGTATTACGTGTACCATGCATATCGTTCTTATTTTAACCCAAAAAAAAAATAAAAATCATAAGTCTCATTTTAGTAATCAATTTTGTTAAATTGAAAACATATACGAGTACAATAAAAACCTGAAATGGGAGCTAGGTGTTACTGATTAGGAATAAAGATGTCACCAAAGGCATATATGCCCCCAACATAAGAAATTTGCGTAGGCAAAAAAACAGGCAAAGCCACACTGTCTCCCATCAAGATTCCTACCAAGTTGGGTTTTACCTACCACTAATAATAATTATAAGACCTTAGTGAGAAAATATCGTAATTAATCAACCAAAAAATTAGCCTATCCCATCACCTTGTTTGATTTTTCCCAAATTCTAAGTTGATTTCTAACAAACGAGCTTTTGTTCATTTCCTTACCAACCATGCTCAGAACTTATGAATGATTTGCATGAGTCAATTAAAATACAGTTTACTATATGCGGGGTCCTAAATTATAAAGTTTAAATAATCATATTGCTGAAATAGATAAAACTTGTTTAAGTTAGTTATTTGTCTCGAAAATAGACCATGTTGCCCCAATTGAAATATTCTTCCTCTCCAAATAATAATCTCTAATTAACTGTAATAATACAAATCTTAAAGCTCAATTTATATTTTTTTGAAAGGAGCGAGGCAAAGTTTCTTGGGAGTACAAATGTCTTATCGACACTTTTTTGACTGAATTTATATGTATATATCTATTTTCAGTCGCTAAAGAACCTTTTTAATAATTTACTTATTTGTTGAGGGATATTTTTGATATATTTTCAAATAGTAAAAATATTTTAGAAAATCAAGCCCCCCAAAAAAAAACCCAAAAAATAAAAATAACAAAAACAGAACCGATTTTTCCCGCCCCACTAAATGGGCTGTCAGTTGAGTCGGGCTACTAATACGGCCCAACTATCAACTTGATTTTTCTTTCCAGTAGAAAAAGCCCACAAAACATATGCTATTCGAGTGCACGCTGAAGGCGGAGTGACCGTCGGAGAACCACCACACCATGTCGGCGATTCACAGGACCATTAGGACAATCCAAACAGCCGCCGGTGCCGGCCAATATCCTCGTCTCACGAAGTTTCGTCTCAAAGCGCCTAATAGCGTAAGTATTTTCTCGTCGCTGCTGCCTTTTCTTTTCGTTTCTATTTTATGTTACAATTTGGCCCGAGTTAACAGCTGAAGGTAGGCGTTTGAGCCGTCAATTATTCATTAGAGTATACGTTTTAGTATATTCAATAATTATGCTACACTTCTAATCAAATATTGACAAATCACTGGAACAAACTCTCGATCACAAAGCTGCATCAATTTTACTCCGGACCCACTAGCATTAAGTGTGGATATCTCAATTGATTTGTGTTATGTTGGAACTTGGAGATGCTACATGATTAATAGGTAATTAGTCCAGCTTGTAAGAGATGGGATCGTAATTGTTGAGTGAATCTTCGTCATTTACTTTGTGTGAACTGTGATTTTATTTCTGTTCATATTATTGTTCTAGATTATGGATTTGGACCTGAAAAATGGTCCCCATATGATTTTGTAGCCGAGCTTTCATTGTGCAATAAAGCTTTAGTGGTAACACTTGACGTTTTTGTGATTTGAGTGGTGTTATTTCATATGATTTTGTCTTGATTCTTTCTGACGCGTGAAGATGAAATCTCACTATCTTAGGTAGAGGTTGAATTTGAGAATGGAAGCCTGTACACATTGCCTGCTGAGTATTTGAGGATTAATAGCCCATCAGTTGACAGCAAGATTAGATCAGTGGGAGGTGAAAAGGTAACAGTTCCAGAGTTCATTTTCTATGAGCAATGTCATTAGAACGCATTGTTTTTCGCCTTTTCTTTGCTTAATATTGGAGATGTTTTGGAACAGAGGTGGTAATCCTAGCCATATTTTTCCATGTCTGATTATTTCGCAATGTGTAGGACTTGAGTCACTGGGTTCATAATCATTGATCGGAGCGAAAATCACTGAAATAATAGATGCTGCAGCACTTTTTCATTAAAGCCCTAACTGGGTGGTTTTCCATTGGATCCAGGTAATATATGGCCGTCGCCACGTGGGAATCATGTCCGCTGAACCTGTGGGGAACTATGGTGTAAGGTACGGATGTGTCAGAATAATAACATGCGACCATTTTCTGTTGTAGGTTACCATTTGATATAAGTTTCCAAGTTTGTTTTGGTCTAAATACTCCTGTATTGGATTTTTTAGATTGCTCTTCGATGATTTACATAAGACGGGGATATTTACATGGGACTACTTATACCACCTGGGGAGTAACAAGTTTACCATGATGAGAAACTACATCAGAACTCTACGTAAGCATGGATTGAGCAGAGATCCCCAAAGAAGAAAGTCACAGTAAAGTTTTCCAAATCTATAGACCTTTCGTTGAGTAAAGTTGCTCAGCAATGTCAGACGTAGCCTGCCCTAATATGGTATGGGTATCAGTTATGTCTTGTTTTGTAGTTCATTTTTTTAAGTCCAAGGCTCTTGAGCAGTTAATCAGTGTAAACAGCTCCATGGAAGAATCATGAGGGGTCGCAACTTGTCTTATATAAACAGGAGAATGTCTCTGGGAAGCTAAAGAAAAAGAGGATACTAAAATGTCTCTGAGATTATCATGTTGAGCATTTTTCCTCGTGTACTCTGCGCTTATTGCTTGCTATTCATTCCCTGCAATGCTTCCTATTGACTACAAGCCGATTCAGATCAAGTGCAGACTAAACATCATTGAAACAGTGAGGACAGATTCCTGGAGAGCCAGTGGTGCAAACCTACATCTTTGATAGTGGTTTTCATGACATTGTCTGTGCGCGTGGATTGCTAAATTATCTTTCAAAGTCCTGGTTATGTTGATGATATTGTCACGTTTGATTGGTGTGAGTTTGTGCTGAAATGATTTGTTTCTTCCATTAGGGAGAATGACATTCATTGTTGATTTTCAGTTTTGTACAAAAAGCTTTCAACTTTCTTAACCAGGAAATTTCTACTTCTAATTGTCAATACTCAATGGCTGCCAGCTACATGATGAATAAAAATTGGGCTGGTGATGACCATTCGTTTAGCCAACAACTCCCATTAATATAATTGGAAGTTGTCCATTTCAGTCGGAATCTGTCCAATTTCAAGCCGAGCCTTGCTTATTTAAATATCTGGTTGATTTTGGGTTCTTTTGTTTTTGAGCTTTAAGTTATGGTATAATCAATAATGTAGTCTAGGAAGGAAAAAAAAAATGCTACTCCAAAACAAAAGGTAAAAAAAAAATGTAGGCAATGTGAAATGAATGAAGTTTACTTTAAATGGGGATGTGTGTGTTTCAAAGTTTAGGCAGGCTGTACAAAGAGAAGAAGTCAATTCACCAAAATCACGCATTACTGAACATATGAATTTGTTAGCACTTAGCAGTATTAAATGCAGAAGCCGCCATTGTATGTGTCCAGTCCAGTGTGCCTAACCCTAGAGAACGAATTAATTTTAGTTATGCTTCAAAGATTTTAGCTCATCATAAAACAGGAAATTAGTATAATTCGTCAACGACTAAACTAGATAGAAACTTTACTGTAACTACTAAACTAATAAAAAAGGTCAGATTTTAGATACATACAGAAAGATAATCGCATTAGTACGACCAACTCCGGTCTGCCCTACGTAATTAACCCACAAATTATTAGCATCATCGTCGTCACCATCTCCCTAGCTCCATTGCCGCAATAATTTTTCTGTTTCTTTTTCTCTCACAAAAAAGAAAAATGGAATCTTGGTAGCCGTGTAAGATAACGAGTTCAATCGCAAGACCGTAATATAATCACATCACATGCATAGCCCTGCTACTCATTAACAACTTCAAAATAAGAGAGTCAAAGGATCGGTTTTTCCCCATAGAAAGATAAATAAATAAAATAAGCTCGATCTTTACTTTACTGAAAGGTCCGCGCCCCTGATTTGTGTAGTTCGGAGATTAATTGATTTTTGTGAGGGAAAAATAGTCAGACCCATTTGGGGAATGCGATTCAGATCTTTCTCGGAGGAGGAGTGGCAGCAGCTCGAGTGATGTGGTGGTGGTGGTGGAGGAGTGTTGTATTGGCGGTGACGGTGGCGGTGGCGATCGTCGGTGGAAGTGGCCAGAGGAGTGGGGGACATGATCACCATCGTCAGCAGGCGCCTTGGAGGATTCACACGCTCTTCTCCGTTGAATGCCAGAACTACTTCGATTGGCAAACGGTTGGGCTTATGCACAGCTTCAGGAAAGCCCGCCAGCCCGGCCCTATTACCCGGCTGCTCAGCTGCACCGATGAGCAGAAGAAGAGTTACAGAGGCATGGACTTGGCTCCCACTCTTGAGGTCCCCTCCATGAGCAGACACCCCAAGACTGGTGACTGGTATTACTCCCTATCCCACCCCCATAATTATCTACTTTCTGTTTTTCCTTCTTTTTTGTTTAATGATTTTGGTAGTCTCATTTCATTTGATGAACTATTTTAATCTGTGAATTCCCCTAATATAGCATCCACGATTAATATATGATCTTCAATTTCCATCAACATGCTATTGATCTGTCAGTCAGTTACAGCTACACAAACAGTGTTTAATGAATTTCTAATTATTGTATTTTCCATTTGTATCTCTTTCTATGTTCAATGCAGTTGGTTCGTAATAATCTATACAGTTATTGTACTTATATTGCTTCAATTTGCTTGTAACTCACAGGTATCCTGCAATCAACAAGCCAGCTGGAATAGTCCACTGGCTTAAGCACAGTAAAGATGCTGAAAATGTCGATTGGGTTGTGATTTTAGATGCAGACATGATCATACGAGGTCCAATAATTCCCTGGGAACTTGGCGCTGAGAAGGGAAAGGCAGTTGCTGCATATTACGGGTACAGCTTGTTACTCATCTTGTTTTTTTTTTTATTCGATTCATACTCATTCAGTTTATCTGTGTAGTTCCTCCGAATTTTCTTTCCCCGCGATGTTTGTTTAAAAAAACATTAGGTTATCTCCGTATTTTCTTGAAAATGATGATTTTTTAAATTGTCTCTTGTGCATTGTGCAAGCTTGTAATTTGAGAGCTTTGACTTGCAAATTGACTGAAACATCAAACCTAAACTGCTCAAAATTTATTGGTGCCTTGATTGGTGAAGGGAACCATCTTAATTAACCAGATAAGAATGGAACTATCTTAATTAACCAGATAACCAATTTGAAACCAGAATGTTTGTGACTACAATATTGAATGTTAATGTGAGGGACGTAAATTCAAGTAAGTCCAAATATACGAAATAAACCTGGCCGATCCATGAAACTGAACAATTTTGGATGTAATTTTAATGGAATCTCATGTTAAAAGATTGCGAAGCTGATTCTTTTGTCTAATGCTTTTAAGACTTCATTTGAAAATACACCTTTTTTGATGGCAGTGTGATAGTGACGTTTTGCATTCCAGATTTTACTGCATTAGATTTTTTTCATCCATAAATACCCATATTTCTTATTAGGTATTTAGTTGGTTGCGACAATATTCTTGCGAAATTGCATACCAAGCATCCCGAACTTTGTGACAAAGTTGGTGGGCTTTTAGTCATGCATATAGATGATCTCCGAGCTTTGGCCCCCATGTGGTTGTCGAAAACTGAAGAAGTTAGAGAAGATAGAGCTCATTGGGGAACCAATTATACTGGAGATATATATGAAAAAGGATGGATCAGTGAAATGTATGGATATTCCTTTGGTGCTGCTGAGGTATGTATTTATAACTTCCATGCCCTTTGATGATTGCATAGTTCATTTCTATGTATAATCATCCGTGTTGATCATCATCAGGTTGGTCTTCGACATAAAATAAACAATAACTTGATGATCTATCCGGGCTATATTCCACAAGAGGGTGTTGAGCCCATTCTTATGCACTATGGATTGCCTTTTAGTGTCGGGAATTGGTCATTCAGTAAATTAGAGCACCACGAGGACATCATTGTGTATGATTGTGGACGGCTTTTTCCCGAACCTCCATATCCAAGAGAGGTATTAATTAATTGATGTAAACTGCCTTTGATTTGAAGATCAAGCGCATGCCATGTATTCTCTCCCTTTATTGTTTCCCTATCAGAACAAAAGGCGAAACCCACTTTTTCTTGTACCTTGTAGGTAAATCAAATTGAAACAGCTCCGGAGAAGAGAAGGGCACTATTCCTAAATATAGAATGTATAAACGTTCTCAATGAAGGTCTTCTATTGCAGCATGCGGCTTATGGCTGTCCAAAACCTGCATGGTCAAAATATTTAAGCTTCCTAAGGAGCAAAGCATTCGCTGAACTTACTAGACCAAAACTTTTGACTCCCAAAACTCTTCAGATGATGAACGAAGAACCGAATGATCAGGTGGTTGACAAGTCTCATGTTCAGATTGCTGAAAAGGCTAATGTTCAGGTTGTTAATGAGCCTCGTGTCCAAGTTGTTGACGATCCCGCAAAGCCGCATCCCAAAATCCACACCATCTTTTCCACCGAATGTTCGTCCTACTTTGATTGGCAGACTGTGGGTTTAGTCCATAGTTTTCACCAGAGTGGCCAGCCTGGAAATATAACTCGCCTACTTAGCTGCACGGATGAGGATTTGAAGAATTATAAAGGGCACCATTTGGCTCCTACTCATTATGTTCCATCCATGAGCAGGCATCCATTGACAGGAGATTGGTACACTCTTCTGCTTTGTGTCAATTTTTAAATCGCAATATGTGAAATTTATTCAAATAGCTCTGGCCTTAAGAGGCATTATAAAGCTTAAATTTTCTAGTCGAGGTCATCTTGTTGATGGACACGATTGTGTGTCTGCTAGATAAAGTAACTCCAGGAACTTGTTTTTCTAAAACAGGTACCCTGCAATCAACAAACCTGCTGCAGTTCTTCATTGGCTGAATCACGTACGCACCGATGCAGAATATATTGTAATCCTTGATGCTGACATGATCATGAGAGGACCAATCACCCCGTGGGAGTTCAAAGCTGCGAAAGGCAGACCAGTTTCGACACCCTATGGGTACGTTGTTATATTTATATTATTTTTTGAGAATTGGATTTAGGGTCCATCACCATTTGTTTTCACAGAGTTTGCTGTTGTTGGATGGCCATGCGCATTTTTACTGAAGTCTTATCTGGTTAATTTTCTTGTCAGCTATCTGATTGGATGTGATAACGAGCTTGCAAAGCTCCACACTCGTCACCCTGAAGCTTGTGACAAGGTTGGAGGTGTGATCATAATGCACATAAATGACCTTCGGAAATTTGCTCTGTTGTGGCTTCACAAAACTGAGGAGGTTCGAGCCGACAGATCTCACTGGTCCAGAAATATAACTGGGGATGTTTATGAATCTGGATGGATAAGTGAAATGTATGGTTATTCTTTTGGTGCAGCCGAGGTACCTCCATTTTGGCTTATTCTAGAAATTATGTTGTATCTTTTCATTTTCACAATCGCTCATATGGAGGAAAGATACTCGATTTTGTCTTCTATATATTTAGTTTGTTGCTGTTATGATCAAACCTTTGATTACTATATAATTTGAAGCTTTCATGAATTGACGTTTACTATTGCTTCTTGTGCAGTTGAATCTGAGGCATAACATAAACAATGAGATTTTGATATACCCAGGTTATGTTCCGGTGCCTGGTGTTAACTACCGGATATTCCACTATGGATTGGAATTTAGAGTTGGTAGTAACTGGAGCTTCGATAAAGCAAATTGGATCCATACTGACATGGTGAATAACTGCTGGGCTAAGTTTCCTGACCCACCTGATCCATCAACCCTCGACCAATCTGACCCTGATTCTCGGGCCCGTGATTTGCTTAGTATAGAATGTGTAAGGAAACTGAATGAAGCTCTACAACTGCACCATGAGAGGAGCAGATGCGGTGATCCCAAGTTGTTGTCAACTCCGAAGCAGGATACCGTTAAAAAGGATCCTGATATTGATACAGTAACTGCTACAGTATCGAGGAAAATTGGAAAGATTGAGGAGAAACACAATATCCATGAATCAAGAGTTATCAACAGAACAGCTGAGAATGAGTCTCGGGAGTTGCTATCACCTCCTGTAGGTGGAGCGAGCCAAACCTTCAGCTCCATGAGGCTTTGGATAATAGCTTTGTGGGCATTTTCAATCCTGGGGTTTATGATTATCATGTCTGTGATGCTTTCCGGGCGTAAAGGGCCTAAAAAACGAGGCAAGGGGGGATTCAAGGCTAAAAGAAGATCCTCACATCCAGGATTTTGGGATATTGATGGGGGGCATGATAGGCACCTTCGAAATGCTGACTTATCATGAAAGGAAAGATCCTTCAGAGATCGACCTAAACTGTGATTGTTCCCTGCATATGCTCTGTTTCCCAAAACCAAGAAACAGCTGAAGTATTATGACATGTGATGTGAATGCAGAATGCAATTTTGGCTTGTTAGATAAGTGATATCTTAAGATGAAGTGCCTAATTAAGTGGAAGAATCAGTATAGGGAGCATCAGGATGGAGGAGGGGTTGGAAAATGGGAAGATGTAGCTCTGGATCATGCCGGATTCTGATGCGGCAGCTTATCCTGAGTTCTTTTTTGGGGGGGTGGTATAATTGTGAGGTGGTAGTAGTCATGTGTAGGTTTGGAGTTTAATTTCTTTCCCTGAGTTCCAAATGTAATTTTCCATGAACAAATGAGCACAGGTGTTCTGATAGTTGATAAATTGGTTGGTTAGTATACAATAGGAGAAAGAAATAAATACAGCTTCCATACAGAATTTTTAGTTGTAATAAACACCCATCAGAGACTTACAAGTGTAGATTTGTGTCCAGACTTCGTCATTCATTCTTAAAGAGTTTTACATCTCTCTTCTTTTTCTTATTCTTTTTTTTTCGGCTACAATGAATTCCAAATTTCAGTTTCAATTGTAGAACGACTAACTTAGAAACTGAAAAAAAAAATTGAAAATTGAGGAACAAAGTATCCTTTTAAAGAAAACAAGAAAATTCAGGCGAAAAGTATAAGAGGATGGAAAGATGGCCTGTATCTGCAAGGAAGTAGACGAAGTAATGTGTCAGCAGCTGGTGGTTTCCACAACTCGCATCAATATAGTCAACTTTCGGAACTTATATCAGATGCCAATTTTTAGTTTTATCTTTGGAATCGTAAAAATTAAACAATAGTAGTATTAATAGTAATCGGTATAAAAATATTTTCTGAAAATCCTCCACAAGATTCCTTACATTGTACTCCTTCCGTTTCAATTTGTAAGTCGTTTTAGGTTTGGAGAGATTTTTCAAAATATAGGTCGTTTTACAAATTCTAAATAAATTAATGACTATTTTTCCAACTTTATCCTTAATCTTATCTATTTTTATTTAGTCTTGTTTCTAGTTTCAATGTAATTAATGAATGGTAAAACAAATATTAATTGAGGGGTAAAATACATATTAATTGTTGGATGATTGTCTCCCTAATTTTCTTGTAAAGTCAAAAATGACTTACGTTTTGAAATACATGAGTAATTTATTACTAATATGGTATCATCAAGAATTTTGATGAAGAGACCAAGTCCAAAAATCAACCGTCATCGATCTCAACAGCTTCTTTGATACTCTCATCAAGATTGCTTCATTGAGGTCTGCGTTAATAATAATTCTGCAAACCCTCCGGGTGGGTAATCAGTGTAATTTTCAAAAGTTTAGAGGAGGAAAAAACAAAAAGCAAAATTCAAACGGTCTACAAAAACTAAAAAGGGAGTTCAATTAATTTGAAACACTCTAATAGGGGTGGGGTCCACATAGGAAAATGAAAAGGACGCATGATCTTCTTCCATGTTTGAGATCAATGCCTGTCTTAGAAGTGAGTCAGACGAACTTACAGGAAAAAGAAACCCCAACAGTTTCTTTCTTTCTTCTTTCTTTTTTTTGGTACTATATATATACTAATAATAAAATAGCGATTCGTAGGAAATAAAAATCATATAGGAAAAAAACCAGATGCCTCATCCCCTATCACTAATAAAAAGATTTTTTAAAAAAAAAAAGAGAGAGAGAAAAGAAAAATGCCACTTTTGCAGAGTCTCACAAAATCTTTGTCCCTTAATGGACTAAAAATTGTCAATTTCCAGGGTTGATATGATATGGCTACACCTGTGGTTTACTTTCCTCAACGTATCCTTTTTCCTTTTCCATTTGAATTTCAAATTTTTAAGTGCTTCACAGTTTTTCAAACGCCCCCATCCCCCCCACCCAAAAAAATAATAAATAATAAAAATAAAAAATAAAAATCAGGCAAATTTATAACGTTGTTACAAACAAATCTTCCAGAAAACAACAAACCCAGAGAAATCAGGAAGCCAAACATTCCAATTTCAGTATATCTTCTGGCCTTCTGGGTTCTTCAGCTCAACGACTAGCTAATCCAATGGGAGATTCAACTTGTGTTCTGCAACCTTTTTCCTACACTTCTTCTGCCATATCCCATGAGTCCAAACAGGTAAAATTTCATTCTATATTACTGTAATCTCTTGACTGTGTGGCTTGTGTGATGAATGCAGAGTTTGATTCCGTTTTTTTCTTCTTTCCAATTCCAAAAATTGAAGTTGCAAGCTCACAATTCATGCTTGTTTTTCCGGGGTTTACAGGGGAATCCGTTATTAATGCATGGACTGGGGGATTCGGTTTCGTTCGGTCGTTTTATGACGGAATCGTTAGCATGGGAGAAATGGTCTACCTTTTCTTCTTCTTCTTCGTCTTCGTCCCACAACCGATACGTTGAGGAAGCGGAGAGGTATGCTCAGCCAGGTTCAGTTGCCCAGAAGAAAGCTTTCTTTGAAGCTCACTACAAGCGAATTGCTGCTGCTAAAAAGGCCGCCGCTGATGCCGCCGCCGCCGCCGCCGCTACTACTACTGACTCTACTCATGCCGCCACCGCTGAACCCGCTGCAGCTGTTACTAATCACCCGGCACCACCGCTACCCCCGCCGCCGCCCCCACCGGCGGCTGCAGTATCGGAGGTTGAGATTAATGGTGTGGATTCGAAGCTTGAAAATTCAGGCCTCGTGGGGGCGGAGGCGAAAGTGGAGATGGCTCTGGACGCCAAGGAGGATTCAACAGAAACTTCAACGCTCATCCCTGAAAGTTTGGAGAATCAGGGGATGATGGCTCCTGCAGGATCTGAGGAGAATCCCCAGATTATTGAGAAACCTCTGTTGCTGCTAGAGCAGGTGACTATTATGCCTTATTTATAACGGGTCTATGAATTTCAATGTTAAGAGTGATGTTCTTATTACTCGTGATAGAAACATGCCATTTTTTTGACGATTGAGTGATTTATCCTTTTAGATTAGATTCATAAAGTGTGTTTCAATCTATAGTGTAATGTTGTCTCACTGATTCGAGGGTTGTTTTTATCATCAACGGCAGAAACGCAGTTCTGATCAAGAAGCTCCACCATTGGTAAAGAGCAAGAAGAAGTCGGCATTTTCTACACTGAAATCATCAGTGTATCGTAAAACACCAAGAACCCCTGCCAAGCAACCCTCCACTACAACGCCTATTAACGAGAAACAGGACAACAGCAACGTGGTCAATTATAATGCCACCACTCCCATCCTCAGGAAGAAGCAGGCTTTAGATTTTACGGATAAGAAGCAGAATTGTACTCCCAAAAAATCGTCACCTGTCAAGCAACTTCGCAATCTTCTCAGCCCAGGAAGAAAGGCTAATAATAGTAGGAAGGCGGATAATTCTTCTTCCAGGATTGCTCCTGATTCCTCTTCATCCAAGATGTCTCAGAATTACGCTACTCCAAAGATGGTTTATTTCCAATCTTAGATGATTCTTCAGTTTCTGGTTTTTTCGAACCTTTTTAATTGCGGTTAAGATTGACGTTGTTGTTCCTTGTCCTCCAAATGCAGGAAAAGGCAGCCAAGTTGCCAAATTCTGATGCTTCAATGGCGACCCCTTGGTCAGCAAATACAAGGTTCTCCACCTTTATCCAAAATTCAAGTTCAAGGGCAACTTAAGTAATGCTTAACGGATTTGACTTTTTTAACAAATTGCAGGGCTAAAACACCGGGTGATGGAAGCAAAACCACAGGCCCCAAATGGAACATGTTTACTGCAGTGTAAGTTAAATCTGGGTGGAGTTTTGGGAAATCATTTCCCCCCCTGTATGAATGAATGACACGTTCACTATAGTGTTTGAAAGCAGTCAGTCTATCTTATTATGTAATGCAAATTTTGGCTGCAGTTATTCCAAGTCTTTGACTGCTTGCCGCAACAAACTACAGTCACCAACTCTGTCATCCACTCCGTTCCTATTAAGGACAGAAGAAAGAGCTGCAAGAAGAAAACAGGTAGGCCTCCCTGCATTGTATTTTTGATGTGATCAACATCAGTCTCACAGCTTTTTGTCACATGTTTTCAGAAGCTTGAAGACAAATTCAATTCCAAGGATGTTGAGAAGGTGCAGTTACAACAAACTTCACTTAAGGTATCATCCATCGCTCTTTTTTAACCTAATTAAGGACAACCAGTATTATTATTCCTTCGGAAATGTGTACACCGTGTTTAATTGTCATAGTGACATGCATAAAATTAACAATGATCGATGTGTGTGTTCCCTTTGTCTTTCTTGTGCAGGAGAAAGCAGAATTGGAGCTGAGAAAACTGCGTCAAAGCTTTTGCTTCAAAGCTCGACCTCTTCCAGATTTCTACAAGGAAAGAGAAGTGCAAGCGCAAAACAACCAAATCAAAAAGGTCTGTTCTTCTGTAGTGATTACTCTGCTTACATACGTTTAATCAAATCAAGATATGCTTCCCTTTTGAACCTTATTAACTTGGTTTCCTTTTCTTTTCTTTTTTTCTTCACTGGCAGAATAATCCAGTGAAAACGCAGGCAAAGTCACCTAAATTGGGAAGAAAGCCTAGTTTTAGAGCAATGCAACAAGGCGGCGCAGCCGCATCACTGCCATCATCAACAAATACACAGAACAAGAATGGAAGCATTCTCAAGCATATTTCATCTGGGAAGACGAAGAACGGTCCAGTAACAGCACCTGCTTCATCATCACTTCAGGACATGATCAATCATGAGAATGCATCACCAAACATACAACAACACCGAACCAACTGATATATTTGTTTTTTACTTTCTTTGCTGAGTGAATGTACCAGTTCATCTACCGCGATGTAGTTTAGAATTCTGTAAAATTCCATAGAAATCATCCAGTCCCTTCCCACCGGCCACTACCCGGCCCGACAAATGTCTAATGTGCACATACATTATATATATAATTTAATGTTGTTATTTGACTTGATGAAGCACAAGTACTTGCTGATACGATTCTTTGTCATGAAACAGGAGTAGTAGTAGTAGTAGTAAACATTAAACAATACTAATCAATTAGGATGCAATCGTGATATATTTGGATAGTTGAAGACGTGTGTCATAATCTTAGTACAAAGAGTCACGTTTTAGCTTTTTCGGTTCTCCATACCTTAAAGGTTGAAAAAGACAGAACCAAATGCAACCAAAATCGCATATTGAACTTGAACCAAAACATGATTGCGTGAAGAATTAACACCTTATCTGCTTCAATAAAGTAGAAAAGAGTAAACAAGGGATCAACCAATCCAGTGAGATTTCTATTACTCATCCAAAACGAACCAGTTAAGTAAAATGATCAGGCTAAGGGGTCACAGGTTTGATGCTAATTTCTGACCACCATATAATCAGGGTTTCAAATCCACCTTGTTTTAGTTTTAATGTAAGATCATTTGCTTTACAATGTAAGCAATAAGTCATCGGCTTAAGTTTCAAAGGGACAAGTTCACCAAAAAAAATCATTGTAAGGAAAATAAAAGAAAGGTCAAATTCATAAAAGGTTACACCAGAGCAAAACATTATGTGAAGTACTCCTTCTGGTTTATTCAAATCATATCCAGATCCATTCTTCCTCATATACCGGAGAGATTATCTGGATTTTTTACAATTCGTAACGATGTCGTAAGTCATAATAATCATACAATTGCATTTGGTACTAATGACAATAAAGGAATGATAATGTACAGGATCATCATGATCGGAGCAACTGATCAACATATAGCATTAACAATCAATCAATCATGGGGCTCAAATCTCCTCCACCAAATACCACTCACCACCGTCTTCTCCGTCCACATCTTCCCAGATGAATCCTACGTCACAAAAGCTCATTCTGTCGTCATCGCCATCAATTTCAACATCGGCCCCCTCTCCCTGATCATCAGCTAATTCGCCTTCAAATCCCTCCAGCCCATAGTCAAACCCGTAATCATAAACCGGGTCAGCATCATAACCGTAGCCCAAATGGTCACCGCCATCACCATCATCCTCAATTTCATCCAGGTAATAATCGTCATTAGCCAAATGGTCCAGAATCTCCGTGGCAGAAGACCCGGTCAACTTCAAGCCGGGCGGGCCGGGAGCTAGCCTTGAATCCACGACCCGCCACTTCACCAACTTGTGATTCGTAAGAACGTCAGAACATTTGAGCTTCTGAGTTCCTTTAGCTTTGTACCTCGACTTTTCGACCGGGTGGGTATGGCAGCCGGCACACCTGGGCCGGGAGCACTTTCCGGTGAACTTGGAATGGTTGGTGGGCTTTTGAGAAACCCTGGTAAATGGGGCGGCCGGTTCTGACTGAGCTGAATTTCTAGCCCGGACCCGGGATTGCACAAAACGATAGGTTTCCACCATGCCGTGTTGACGACCTTCCCTCTTCATTACTGGTTTTTTTTCCGGCGAGTTCTTGTTTATGGGCTTATATGATGGGAGAGATTAGGATTAACAGGGGAAAGGGAAAATGAGCCCTTTTTTAATTGGGGGCTTCCGAGGGAGGAATATATATATAAAAACTAAAAAGTGGGTGTTGGTTAATTAATTAATTATAAGTTGGGGGATTGGGAGGAAGAATATGGATGGATGGATGAATAGGAAAACTTGAGAAGCAAGGAGATGTGTTGTGGTTTAGTCAACTGTTTTGAAAATGGCGAATGATTCATTCATGGCTATGCGTGTAAGCCAAGACTTAGGCGGTCCACCAAACAAACAAGAAGGGGCACTTTGTCATTTCATTATGTTTATTCGTCGTGTTGTTTAGCCATAAAATATTGTGCTATTTTTTGAGGAGGAAAATCCTATCAAATCTACCAATTTGTATCCCTACAAATGATTCAAAACAACATTTTCCCTCTAATTTGGTCACGAATTACTTGTTTTTATGTCACATTTATAATGTATTGGGATTGGAGAGAGCGAATGAGAGACAAAACAAATAAACTAAGTGTAAAATTAGTCGGCATCGAGCTTGTTGAAATTAAAAATTTGGAATTAAACTTATTAAATTTGTATCATTAAATTTTCTTTTTTTAAAAAAATGATAAGTAGAGATGACAGTCTATTTAGATTTATATAATCAAAAGTTGCTGTTAAAAAATTGATTAGTAGAGAGATGACACCCTATTTAATTTTCCCATTTGAAAGGATAATGTTACTCCCTCGCTGATTCCGAAGGCGTGAGATGTGTGGGAGTAAAATATACAGAGAGATTTTTTTATTAATTTGACTGGGCTTCCACACAAGACCCTAAGCTGAATCCTCATAAAAGCCCGATAACTTGGACCACATTAAAGCCCAATTTTAAATGTACATTTATATTTGGTGAAGTAATAATAGTGTAATATTCGAACAGCTTAGGCGTTTATCAAAAAAAAAAAAAAAAAACAGCTTAGGCTTTGTTTGTTTCTTTTTTTTTTGTTTTTTTAGAATTTAATATTAATAATTGTCTTATCTCAATATAACTTTTTACATTTTCAATACACTTTTTTACATTCACAATCCAAAAAATACCTAAAAACACATAAAAACACACACACAAATCGTAATAATTTTTTTTTCTGTGACGAAGAGAGTAAAATCTAAACACACCGGAATACTCATGCATAAACTCCGGACTTAAATGGAAGGAACTTTTTTTTCCTAAGAATATTCGAATTCATTCTCTTATTTTATTTCAACATATATTATACGGTTTTTTTTTGGGAGGGAGGGGGGGTTACTGGAGTATTATTTGTTTAATGTTGGAACTAAGGTGAAATAGAATCGGAAGTACGTGACATGTTCATTTTAATTTACCAATTGTGAACTCAATATTGTAAACCCATTAAAATAAATAAATAAATACTGGTATCCTTGGGGGGGAAACACTGTAGATTGCTAGTGGGGAAAAACCAATAGAGTTATCCAAATTATATAAAATATTCTTGTGTGTTAGGTTGAGGTAACATTTTGGGATAAATGAACTTTAACGACACGCCTGGTTAAGAATTTCAGAATAAGAGATACCCAAACATGCATTGATCACTCGACAATGACTATTATTTGATCAAACAAATTATAATGAGTTAATTATCTGATAATCTTAATAATACATTTAACCCAACCCCATAGTCCTTTCCATTTTTATTTTTTTTAGTTTTTGTCTCTTGATTGGCGCAGTAAATATCTATACAACTCCCACGAAATTTGTGATGCCAAATTAATTAAGTTTCTTGTCCTTCGAGACGTTTCACACGTTGATCTCGCTCTTGTTTATAATCTTTTTAAGGGTTTTTTTTTTTTTTTGGTTTTTTGTTTTTGTTTTGTGCGTGTGTTTGTGATGGACCTTTTTGGCGGGTCTACATCTTATGGTTAAAGAATATGTATTTTTTCTATCTTAAAAAAAAAATCACCTTATTATTTTTTGACCCCTTTAGTTCTGTCACTTATTATAATATTTTAATTCAACAAAATGAATTATATTTTTTTAGACAGAGGGAATAAATTTAAATTCTTTCATACTTAGCCTCTCGCACTTGATTGATTGTTTTATAATTCGTTCACTTTTGTAAATTATAATGATTCAATCACCAGTGGCCCGATCAATCTATCCCTTTGAAAATCACTTTCGCAATATAACGGTTTCGTTACTGAAAGCACGAGATTAATGTTACAGTATCATCACAATTTCGTTTCACACGAGATTATCGACTATGCAGGTACGTTACTAAAATGATTTACATTTTCGAACCAGTTGTAAATGTGTTGCTCGCGTTACTCTCACGTTGAACTGTTGAGAAATTAGAACAATTTTTTTTCTTATCGCGTATTCTTTAAAATTAATGTATTACTATATTTGTGAGGCACAAAATGCTAATTTACAAGAACATAAAAAACATGATAACATACCTCACAAAATTTCTATGATTAGATAATCAAGCAATAACATACGAAAATGCCAAACTATAGTAAAATTTATTTGCAAGAAGTTATTACTAAAGATTGAAGTCCTGTAAAATTTAAAATAAAAATAGCCGTGGAGACAAAATAGCGCTACTAGAGAGAAAAAAAGGAAAAAAAAAAAGAATAGAATAGAAAAAGAAACAAAATCACACAATACAAGACGCACCTGTCTCTTCTCTCCCACCACGCGTCTCTCTCTCTTCTCAACAAAAACTAGCGATTTTCCCTTTTCCCTCAGACAACATCCTCCTCTCTCCATTGCAATACCTCTCTCTTTCTTCATTTTTTTCTATATATATCATCATCTTCCTTCCCATACGTAAAACTACTCAAAAACAACCAAACCGTGCTATTGCTGCGATCATCGATTCAACTTCGTCACCCAAAATCTGGAGAGAGAGAGAGAGAGGTGTATGTCTGTTGCTGGGTTTGATTTCCTATTTCTGTTTCTATACCAAACGAACATACATACATAGAGTTATTATTTATGAATGTGAGTGGTAATATAACTAGCTCGGGTGTTGAATATTTTTGCATAATGTGATGATGGGTTATCAATATTCCGATTGATTTTTTGATTAATTACCTTTCTGGGATTTTAGATTCTTTCGGCCCTTCTCCTTTTTCCTCTTCTTATTTGAATTTACTCCGTAGGATCGTCTATTATATTCCGTTTTTGTCTGCAAATGTTCGCAGCTGCGTTTTATTGCTCTGATTTTGGGTCCCAATCTCTGGGCATTTTCTATATTACCAACATTTTCAAAACCTGTCAATATCGGTGTTGATTTGATGTTTGGTTTGGTTTAGGTTTAGGGCAAAACTGAACCTAGGAAAATTTGTTGATATTGTCTGGACGGAAGAATCGGTTTTGGTTTCCCTGCTGTTTTATCGGAGGACTTTTTTCTTGTTGAGGGAATCCTTCAATGTTTATGGTGCTGTTTTTGTTTTGCCATCATGATATGGGGGGTCCTTCTCCTAGTTTGGTGTATTCTTCTGGTGATTCGCTAGGATTGTAATAGGAGCTTTATGAATGTTGATTGGCCTTTTGGATTTTCTGGGTAGGTTACATAAAAGGGAAAACAAATGGCTTTGGATCAAGGAGAGAGCTTTTTGTCTGGGATCAAATTTCGTAGCATGTTTGTTGAAAGGTCGTCTGATGAATTTGATAGTAGCCTTTGGGAGGATGTGAATTGTGGGAGTCACAATCAAGGAAAATCTGACAATGTAGTGACGGATGATGATATTGTCGATCAATTGCCTTTAGATCCTTTTGATATGGATATTAGTGCCAAGGTAACGGCTGCAATCACTGGTTGGATTGAGGATTTTGGCTTAAAAAATCTTGGATTCATTGAGTCTTGTAGTGAAGGAGAAGAAGAAGATGATCAGGATGATTATGAGGAGGTTGAGATTGAGGAGGAGGCGGATGATGATCGTGATCATGATCAATTACTTGCAGAAGTAAGTATTGTCTGGAACACTGTTGAGCATCCAGATTTGAATGGTGGAAAATCATATAAAGAATCAGACTGGGAGAAAGGGTTTTACAAGAACGACGATGGTAACCACCCTCTCTGCTTGGACCATAATATAGAGGCTTTTATGGGGTTCAGTTATGAAAAGTATTGGAACCCACGGGATGCTGCATATAAAAGGAAGGGATGGATGACAGTGAAAAGTAAAGGTGCTGATGTTCCTGCAGGACCTCCCCCGGATGCTTTGTTTTTTGCTCTTGGGTACCTGGATATGTGGGACCTTCTTTCAGTTGAAAGGGTCTGCAAATCGTTGCGGGATGCTGTGCGGAATGATCCTCTATTGTGGCGAAATTTTCATGCACTCTATCCTTTGTGTTGTAAGATCACCGATGATGCCCTATTGCGATTAACTAACAGGGCTCAGGGCAGTCTTTACAGCTTAAACATTGTGGGGTGCTTAAAGATCACTGATAGTGGCTTGCAGGGGGTGCTCGCACGCAATCCCGGATTGACTAAGGTTTGTGTTTTATTTCTTTGAGGGAATTATAAAGATCCTATGATTACTTTCTCTGTTGCATCTTGATGTGTTTATTTGAAGACTGTTACATCCATTATTGAAAGATTTGAGTCTAAGGTTTGTTATTGTCTTTCTTTATGGGAATCACAATTATCGTGTGATTACTTTTTCTGTTGCATCTTGATCCGTTTATTTGGACACTGTTACTTCCTTTATAAAATTACCTGTTTAGTAGTTAGTTTCTTGATTCCTAGCATATTGTTTTGGTATTTTTTTCCTATCCTATTGAGGTGTAGCCTGTTAAGGAAAGTCCTGGTCGATTCACATTCTTTAAGCCATAGGTAGACCCATATCACCTCAGGCAGGTTGTTTTTTCTGTTGGTAGTTCATATACTTTATTTTCTCTGAGAAATGTATTTCAGTGCTGAGGGTTCTTTTTTTGGTGGTGAAGTAATGAGATTTGTCCAGTCCATGATTCCAGAGTTAATTAGCTGACCTTTCCCTTTGTTTCTCTGTTGTAAGTATTGGCACATCGTCTATACACTGCTTCCAAGCTTCATCATGTCACGAGATTATTTATTGGTTAATGCTTTTAGTCCCTAAGAAGTTAGAATGTCAGGTAGATGATCCAGTTGGAGGTGTAGAATTCATATGCATGGCTTATAAGGTTATGACCTCATAATGCCTCCATGCAAGGATTTATCTTTTGATGTAATATATTGAATTATGAATCAATTTACTGGCTAAAATGTGATAGGGAACTTGATTACTGGATTTGAGAAAGCTTTGACTCTGGAACTGATTTTACGAAGGGCCATTTTCTGAGCATGTTTTGTTTCCCTGGAGATACATACATGAGTTTCATTATTCACTTTCTATTCTTGACTGTTCTTCTTTTCTTGTGTAGTTAAGTGTTGCTGGATGTCAGGGGCTAACCATTGAAGGGACACTGCAAAACATGAGGTTCTTCAAGTCTATTGGAAAACCTGGAATAAAGAAATTAAGGATTGGTTCACCTTTTGGTTTAACCGATCAGCATTTTGAACAGTTAAAGTGCTTATTAGGGGCTGAGAAGATGACTCAGGTCAATGAACAGAAGCTGCGATTCTTCCGAGCTGATCAGTTGTACTTGCCCTTTGATGATGAACGTGTATTAGACATTGAATTTTGCCCAAGATGTGGTCAACTTAGACAAGTCTATGACTGTCCAGCTGATAGTTGTCGAGTAAAACAGCACACTCCTCAGGTTTGCAAAGGTTGCACAGTTTGCATAACTCGCTGTATAAACTGTGGGCGCTGCTTGATCAATTGTGATTTTGAGGAGACATTCTTTCTGGACTTTCTTTGTTCCGATTGTTTGAAGCAGGTGTTTCATTGCCCAGATGCGCAGAAGAGAGTGGCGATTCCCCCCAAAAATGCGTATCTTCATCAACAGGCAAGTTACCATTTCATCCTCTACGGTTAGTGGTTTTTAATAGGAGATGAGGTTGCTGTTAGATTTGATTTAGAATGTCTTGGGGAGGCATAAGGTTAATGTGGGTATACAAGATTGCATATCTTTTGTTCTTGGTGACGTTGAGCACATATCGTGCATTATTTGGCTGTTGTGCGGTAAGATACTGGGCTGAGATTTGTCTGTTGGTGCTGGAAGCAAGAGAAAGAGCCAGCTCATGCAATGTGGTAAAGGTCATATTGTGTTTGACCATGCTTTAAAGGTTTCTGCTTTCTATGTTTGGCAGAAAGATGGAAAAGAAGCAAAAGAGAATGACGCTGAACTAGTTATAGTGATTCTGAACTTATGTGCTCCTGGATCAAAGGAAATGAACCCCCAAAAGGAAAAGGTTATTGAAGTTGAAGCTGTGCATCAGAAGAGATGTTTGAGGCCCTACCGACTCTTTGCTCTATTATAGTTCTTCTTTTCTATCCTGGTAATGTGATGATACTCGAGCGAAGTCACTGCAGTTTGTGATAATAGGATGACATGCAAGAATGGAGGTAATTTGGCTGTATAGTGCCGCTGAAGGAGTCGCTGTTTTTGTGCTGGAGGGGGAGAATATGCAGAAGGGTGGGAAGAAGAATGGGATGTCTAATGAGGCGGATGGAATCGTGGAATGCTCAATGCAGGCAGGGTGAAGTGGATCCCATATTCTGTTGGAAACCATCTCATCTGTATACTTGGGTTTGGAAACTATTATTGTTATTTGTTAAGTTGGTGATGTAGTGGGATAACAATGTTGGTTCATAGATTAAGCTGAGAATTGTATCAATAATTGATGGAGTGATGAAGTTATGACAAATCGGTCTGTCTGACCAATTTACGTTTGTTGTGGATACATTTAACTCTACGGTCACTCTTTCGAGTTACCAACAAATTTCTTTTTGTTTTTTTCTTGTGAATAATTGTACATACTTTGCTGAATTACAAATAATGTAGTACCTCATCCACCTCACATATGCGAATGCTTTCTGTAGAAGTAGCAATTTCTAATGTCTACAACTTTCCAATTCCTCTGCCTTTCATTTTCTTGGTCATTAGTAGCATTTTTCATAAGCATAGTTCCTTGCAAGTGTTTTTCTTTTAATCTTTTAATAAAAAATTTTATTATCAATTTTTATCATACTTCATCCGATCTAGAAAAATAATTCACATTAACATTTAATAAAATTAAAATATGTTTATTATAATTCACAAATTTTGATGGGTCAAAGGAGATATACCATTTCTTAACGACAAAATTTGAAAAATGAAGAAGCCATATATAATAGAGAAGATTACAAAATTCAGCTTGAAAAAAGTAATCTCTCATGAGAGGTTACTCTATTATGGTTTTCTTTACCAAATTTATTAGAGATTTAACAAAAATGAACTGTGTCACAAAGGCGTGATTGAGAATACTAGTGAAATAGAGTCGTCGTTTTTCCTCGGGTATTTTACCAAGAAAAGAAGCATGCTTTGCTTGCTACCAGAAAGGTAACTGTGCAGCATTTCATCCAACACCAACTTATACAACTCTTTCGACTATTTGACCAAAGGCCCAAACTCCGATCACCAAAGACGCCGGAACCCGCTGACTATGCGCTGCGTGTATAATAATAATGTACCTGTCGGTGTCGGAAAGGCCTCGCCCCATCGATTTCTATAAAGGATCGCCGGAATTGGTGATGGACGTCACTTCCACCGTGGACCACCTCCAACATCCGCCGGCGCCACAGCAGCAGCACCACCAGATGATTTTGGCGGAGAGTAGTGGGGAGGACCACGAAGCCAGTCGGGCTCCGAAGAAACGGGCCGAGACATGGGTCCAAGATGAGACCCGGTGCCTGATTAGCTTCCGGCGTGAGGTGGACTCGCTCTTTAATACCTCTAAATCGAATAAGCATTTGTGGGAGCAAATCTCTAACAAGATGAGGGAAAAGGGTTTCGATCGTTCTCCCACCATGTGCACTGATAAGTGGAGGAATCTCCTCAAGGAATTTAAGAAAATGAAGCAGCAGGATAGAGGGAGCTGTGCTACTGGCGGTTCATCGGCGGCAACGGCTGCGGCGGCTGGAAAGATGTGGTATTATAAGGAGATTGAGGAATTGCTGAGAGAGAGGACTAAGAATGGTTCCCAAAAGAGCCCTCCTTGTCCCCAACCAACCTCTACTTCTTCCAAGGTGGATGCTTTCATTCACTTCTCAGACAAAGGTAGGATTTCTATCTTGACCATTTTTTCCCAGTTTCAATTTATCTTTTATTTTTTGGTTGTTTTTTTGTAAACTCATCAATGCTGTTAGGGAAAGAGGTTTAAGCAACATTTATCCTATCAACCATGACGCCATAAACATGTGTTTGCTCCTGATTAATATGTAATGCGGATTCATTTGTCCAATTTGAGGCGTCTTGTGGGTAGAATTCCTTGTTTCATTTGTTTCGGCAATTTGTTTCCTCATCATAGTTTCAATTATTTCGCCAATTGGTTGGGGGAAGTGAGAGTTTAGCTAATTAAGATACCCGCAACTCTTTTGGTTAATGGTTTTGGAAGCAAAAAGTCACTAGTATTCTACTACTCCATATTGTGCAACTAAAGAGTCAGGACATGTTTAAGTTGTTTATTAACTTCCCCTGTTAACTTTCTACCATCTACAGGCTATTATATAACTTCCGATACTTGCAACTTTGTGTTTTCAGGTCTTGAGGATGGAGGTATTCCATTTGGCGTGGAAGGTAAACGTGCTGACAGAATATGACTTCCTAAAAGTTTGGATGAATATTATGTTATTCATGTGGTAGAGATGCTGCACTTGGGATCTACCTACACTTTTTGGCAAGTACATGGGGAAAAGCCTTGAAAATAATCGGAAAATCTGTCTTATTTAGTTTTACTACTGGATTTCAGATAAACATTGATAAGTTTGCAAAAAGCTACAACTATGACTACTATCTGTGATCGATGAAAAGTGAAACTACAGTACTTTAACTCGTATATCTTAGACTTATTCAGTTGAGAAGTGGAAATAGCTGAATTCTTGAAACCTTTTGAATTGCATGTGTTTTAATGTTATAAACCCTTCATATTTTGCTTGCCGCCTTGACCATAAATGTACGAAATTTTGACCCTTACGCTAGCTGGTCCTGTCTTGTAAAACTTATCAAGGAATTTTCTCTCACTTCGTTACGCTGAAGACTTTTTTCTACCATCATTGTTCTTTATCTGATGCTTTTGTCTTTTGGTTCTTTGTGTCTTTGCTAGCCTTTTCTTGAATTTGTGAGGGAAACTTCCGTCCATCTTAGTTACAATATAGTGTGGCCCAAGAGAGTAAGTTTTGTTGCACGTGTAGTTTTGTTTCTGTTTATTACAATGACACATTGCTTTGTAATATGTTGAAATAGCGGTAAATGCTAGATAGGAATTGATCATGTATGGTCCACTCCAGTTGAATATTCTACAATGTGTATAAGTTTTCCTACAAAAGTCACGTGACATGTCTGTTCTTGTCATTTATGGACCATCTGAACAGCTAATGGAAGATCAGCCGTGAACCTCGAGACACCCTTAGATAACGACGGGGATCCTCTTGCTATAACTGCTGCTGATGCAGTTACAACCAATGGGGTTCCTCCATGGAACTGGAGGGAAAGCCCTGGAAGTGGTAAGAATTTATTGTTCACTAATGGCAAATATCAATAGCATAGACTCCTCATATAGTGTTGTAATGTGTTTCGAGATTGGCTGCGAGGCTTAATTTGTTTGTATATATTTTCTTAATAGATACTTTGCATCTTTGGATAATGGCATTGTAATGTGTTTCGTTATTGGCTATGAGAGTGAAACGCCTAATAAACTTTCTTTCGTTGACAAGTGGACAGAAGGTTCACATTGGTTTGTGAGTTTCTGATGTTTTTGCCTGTAATATTTTTGCTTTTTCTTCAAGACTGTGTTGTTAATCGTGACAAGAGTCGGTAGTTAATCGTGACAAGAATCAGGAATACTTAACTAATTCGATTTGTATCAAAAGTCTTTATAAGTGAATAATCTCTCCAAATCATACATTGAGAAATCTCCTTTTTCTCTTGAATTGCGTGTGCTATAGTATAATAATGAGAAATTTGTCGTTGGGCATTTAAGGTATGTCAAATTGAGTTTCCAAATTTGTAAGGAAATTTTGTTCATTCACAAAGCCACATAATGTGTAACCCCAGCATGAGGCCTGTGGCTAATATCTCTTCAGCTTTTGGTGTTGTCTTCTATCCAACTGGTTGTTTATTGGTAATGCCATGATAAAGTGCAGGTGGCGAGGGACACCCTTCGTGTGGAGGGAGGGTTATAACAGTGAAGTGGGGGGAATACAGAAGAAGAATTGGTATAGATGGATCCAGTGATGCCATTAAGGAAGCAATCAAATCTGCTTTTCGTTTGCGTACTAAAAGGGCATTTTGGTTGGAGGATGAGGACAATGTTATCCGGAGTCTTGATAGAGACATGCCTCTGGGAAATTACACTCTCCACCTTGATGAAGGTACCATAAAAATGAAAACCTAACATTTGTTGTGCTCTCTATGACCCATAGTAATGGCTCCTTTTTTTTGTGCCATTCATATATGTGTAGGTATTTCTTTCAAGGTCTGCCTATACGATGATTCTGCAGTTCATACGGAAGACAAGACATTGTATACGGAAGAAGAGTTTCGCGACTTCTTGACTCGGCGTGGCTTGATTGGTTTGAGAGAGATCAATGGCTATAGATGCTTTAGCAATATAGATGATCTTCGGCCAGGAGGAATGTATCAAGGGGTGAGATTACTAGGGGACTAGAATTGCTCCTACAATTGAAATGGTATAGAACCAATTGCTCAATAACATTGTTAGAACTTTAGCATTGGGGATATATACATTTCTTGTTTGTATATTGTAATATGCCGTACACCCAATTTTTAGATTTTATTATTGTGGATTACTCTGAGAGTTTCTCACTTTGTAAAGTTGTGTTGTGATCAATTTTTAAGCATTTTGATTACGTTTACATAGTCACCAAGCCTGTATCGTTTTGATAGTTTCCTTAAGTTTTCGGGCGAAATTACAGATTACGAATAAATGTGAAGGGGGAGGTAGACATAATTAAGCCAAAGTTAAGAACAAGGGAATAAGGAGGCGGTTAGTTTAGTGTAAGCTAGATCTTGACTGGTGCCGTGATGCGGCCACCACCACAAACAATGCGACATTCACGACCAATTAACTAAAATATAGTGGCCTTTATCAAATTAATTGATACTAATCATATAATTAGTAATGGACGGCCGATCTTACACCTTTGGCTACACTTGCATCCATCGAAACCGTTCATCGCTCCTTTCAAACCCCCCGAAAATCCCGCCCCTGCATAGATCTTATCGCCCACCCAGTCTCTCTCTATATATATATACTAAAAACTTACGCTCCCTTCTCTCTCAGTTGTGCTGTAACCCTACTCTTTTCTATCACTCTCTACGAAGCAATTTTATTTCTCTTTCGCTTGTTCTTCTGCTTTGCTATCTTCGCCATGGGAAAAATCAAGATCGGAATCAACGGTTTGTTCACATCCTCTGATTGAATTTTTGCGTGGATTTTTCTTTCTCCGATCGAACTTTCTATTTTCTACGATTGAATTTGCATCTCTCGTTTCTTACTGTATTGTTCTCTCCCGCTGATATCTCTACCTGTTTTCTTTTTGTGATTTGTGTTTGAATACCTAGGTTTCGGAAGGATCGGACGTTTGGTGGCTAGAGTAGCACTCCAGAGCGATGACATCGAACTCGTCGCCGTCAATGATCCGTTCATCACCACCGACTACATGGTCAGTGAACACTAATCTTCTCTGTTTTCTTTCGTTGCGTTGAGTACATTTTTTGGTGCTGAAATTGATTTATTAGTGTCTCTGTTTTTTTTTTGTTAATAATTGAATGTTGCGAGTCATGATGCGTGATGCTTTATCTGCATCGTTTGGGATCTGATTTTTTGGACACTTAAAACGCCCAAGCTTATGTATTAATTCTCCTGCCATAGTTGATCTGCATGTTGTGTTTTGAACTTATGTGATCTATTTTCGGAGTGCCTGCGTATTTTGCTTTGTTGCAAATGTCAAGTAGTAAACAGAAGTGAAGTTTTCTTTTTAGGCGCTCAATTTGGTTGTACACTTTCTGCTTCCTAATACTTGTTCCTTTGGGACAGTGAGTTTGCCATATTTGTTTGTTTGATGGTGTGACGTATTGTTGAAGTTTTTCAAGGCTTTGCATCCTTTCCGTATTATACACAATTTCTTGATCTGCTTTTAGTATTTCTTGATTCATTCTGAAATGTGTTTTTGACAACGTTTTTTTATTTTTTTCCCTGTAGACCTACATGTTCAAGTATGATAGTGTCCATGGTCAATGGAAACATCATGAGCTCAAGGTTAAGGATTCCAAGACACTTCTCTTTGGTGAGAGGCCTGTCTCCGTGTTTGGCTTCAGGTACATTACACATGATCATGTTACACACGTTGCTTTCCAGCAAACATCAACTCTTTAGTGTTTAATCAGTTTTATATTCTTTACATTGGCAGGAACCCTGAGGAGATTCCATGGGGTGAGGCTGGAGCTGACTTTGTTGTTGAATCAACTGGAGTCTTCACTGATAAGGACAAAGCTGCCGCTCACTTGAAGGTCTTTTCATCTTTTTATGTTTTTACTTATTTGTTGAGTGAGATAATAATTTTTGCTTAAAATACTATTGTTCTGATCTTAGCAGGGAGGAGCTAAAAAAGTTGTAATATCTGCCCCAAGTAAGGATGCACCCATGTTTGTTGTTGGTGTCAATGAGAAGGAGTACAAGTCTGATGTCAACATTGTATCCAATGCTAGTTGCACTACCAACTGTCTTGCTCCTTTGGCTAAGGTTATCTTTTCCACAATTTCAGAAAGTTCATTGTTCCTCAGATCCCGGATCTTACACTAATTGTACTAATCAAATCACTTTGCAGGTTCTGAATGACAGGTTTGGCATCGTTGAGGCTCTTATGACAACTGTTCATTCTATAACTGGTACAGTCCCTGACTTTTACGTGTATCTGTCTTTTGTATTTAAATGTTGATGAATTGATGCTAAGCACTTTCCTGTAAAATGCCAGCCACTCAAAAGACAGTGGATGGTCCATCAATGAAGGATTGGAGAGGTGGTAGAGCTGCTTCATTTAACATTATTCCTAGCAGTACTGGGGCTGCAAAGGTATTTTTGGATGCTTTTACATGATTATTTTTTGAACATCTGAAAAATAATCATTTAGCCTTCAACGTTTCTGAATATCGTTGATTGTAAGCTGGAAATTGTTTATTGAGATGTCGAGGCTTAAAAGGTAGTTTTTTGTTTGGAAAAGGTGTGTACAAGTTTTATTTACATTTTAGTCCATGAGGGTTCCTTTAACTTTCAAATTGGTCCTTGGACAATTATAGTTTGCCGATTGCGGCCCAAAAGTTGGTATGCGTTTTTTTATAGCGAAAACTAAATAAATGAAGACTTTATGTATTGCTAATATCTCAATTGAAATTAAATCTACTTAAAAAAATTTATATAAGCAGCCAATAAACAGAGAGGTTTTAACCATGAAACTCTTATATGTGCAGGCTGTTGGCAAAGTTCTGCCAGCATTGAATGGGAAGCTTACTGGGATGGCTTTCCGCGTTCCAACTGTTGATGTCTCAGTGGTTGATCTGACAGCAAGACTCGAAAAGTCTGCTACATATGATGAAATCAAAGCTGCCATCAAGTAAGATTTGTAAAATTCTCCATCTTTGTGTCACCTTTTTCTTTGTGGAGAAACTCATTGCCTTCATTCATGCTTTTGCATTTAAAGGGAGGAGTCACAGGGCAGCCTGAAAGGAATCCTGGGGTACACAGAGGATGATGTTGTGTCAACTGACTTTATTGGGGACAGCAGGTAATGCGACTTTGCTGTGGTTTTCAAAAGTTTTCCAGCTACAGTTTCTTATGACATTCTTGCCATAATTTGGTTACATGGTATGTTTGACACAACAGTTTAACTTACTGGCTGGCTTTTAATGCTGAGCAGGTCAAGCATTTTTGACGCCAAGGCAGGAATAGCCTTGAGTGGGACTTTCGTTAAGGTTGTCTCTTGGTACGACAATGAATGGGGTTACAGGTGAGTACACATAGTTGTGTCATTTTGTTCTTTTGACTTAAGCAGTCGGAGAAACTTTTCTTGATCAAGATTGAGAAAAATTTGGACAATCCATCCCTTTTGAACGTGCACTCCTTAATCCTTATCAAGTTTTTTTATAAACTTGAATTTCTCACAATTTGTTTCCTCAATGACAGTGAAATTTGGTTTTACCTGTTTTTTGTTTTCAAAGTATTGTTATGTGTTGGTGGATAAGGAATTCTGATACTAAGTTGTTGTGCCTTTTACAGTAACCGGGTGATTGATTTGGTTCGACATATGGCATCTGTCAACTAAGCAAGCTGCATTCTGCCACAAGGCTTTTTAGCTGGTTTCAGTTTTCCTACTGTTATAGTTGGTCTTTCTTCCTTAGGGAATTTTATGTTTTTGGCAACACTGAAATAACTAAAGCTGTGTGGACCAATATCAGGTTTTGCTGATGACCTGAATCGGAAATCAGATTTTGTTATGTTTTTCAATTTCGTAGAGTTCAGCTCGAGTTCGGTCAACTTGAGTCGAGTCAAGTTTTGACCGAGCCGGCTTGCGAGTAGTTTGCGAGAAGCTGGACTCATTTCACCCCTAGTTATAATGGACAAATTAACCTAAATAATTATTACTTATAATTTCATTTTTTAAAACTTATATATCTTATTATAATTTAATACTAATTTCCCGCACAATGTGAATGGAATTGAATTTTTTAATGATTAGCCATTCATCATCATTATGGTTGTTTCATGTCACAATACAAAAAAAAAAAAAAGATTATTTATTGGTAAGTTTTTCTTTCTGGATTACATTCCTTCTTGTTCTGTTTTATTTATATTTCTGGACTAGTAGAGCGCAAGTATCCTAAACTACAAGCTCAGTCATTGCCTTCCTATAGATCCCGCCATGAGAATAAAAGAAAAAACACGAAGGCGCACATGTACATCAAAGAATTTGTTCCTATAGCCTACGTCTTCCATAAGATATCTAAACTGACAGTGTTTAAGTCAAACCCTCGCCTAGAAAACGTTGCTATCGTGTAGAAACACTCCCCTCCCAAACCTCACACACCGTTAAACTGAATAGTTTCTGAAGGAACAGGGTGAGTAATATATTAAACTGAATAGTTTTTGGGGGAACAGGTTGAGTAATATAATTACAAAGCTGATGCCAATTGGCTCTCACTACAAATTTTACTTTTTACTTTTTTTTTTGGAATAGAGGAAATAATAATATTCCCAAATAGGATGACACTACTACTGATCGAAAAGTAGTATAAAACCAAACAGGTGATTTAAAAAGGGTTTTATCCTTAAGGTTACTGTCAAAGCAGAGGATTCTCACTACAAAATTTACTTTTTACTAGTCTTTTTTTTTTTTTTTTCCTGGAATAGAAGAAGTAATGATATTCCCAAACAGGATGACACCACTACTGATCGAAAAGTAGCATAAAACCAAACAGGTGATTTAAAAAGGGTTTTATCCTTAATGTTACTGTCAAAGCAGAGGATTCTAGTAAAGGTTTAGGTTCAAAGTATAGCAGCGTCCTCCATCTGTAAACAAATCAAGAGGAAAGGCACACTGCCACACTGCAGCAGGGTGACAAAGAATACAGAAAGTAACAAAAGGAGCTATAAGAGTAAATCCACATCAAAGGCGAAAAGCTAGTATTGCACACAGATGATTGATGCTCAATAACGATGAATATGCAAAATACCGTGCTTGGAGAAATAACAAGAGTTATACAACCAAATTTCCCTACTGCTTCACTATCCAAGTTTCTGTAGTATTGCCAACAACAGAGGAGAATTAGTGGCAGTAGCTCCAAAACATAAAAGTTCAATGAGCATTAGATTAGGAATATCCACTTAATCTACTATTTAAGATGACAAACATTGTCCATAAAGAGAGAGACAGGTAACTACGAGTTGCAAAAATCCAATCCGAAAACTGCACAACCACCCCAGTAGAGTCCTGCAAACAAGACAAACAAGGAAATCAGTATAAAACAGGCAAAATACATAACAAGAAGCCAACAGCATTGTTCACAATTCATATGTCATCTTCAATTCATAAAAGCAAAAATTGCTGAAGTCCAAGCCCTTTGAGCAAAAGATGCAACATTTCAAAACCTAACTGCTGGGTAAAATAAATACAAGTGAGCAACTAGATAAAGATCTCTCAGAGGAAAAACTTGAAGCATACTGAGTAACATAACACATTCCTAATGATTAACTTGATTTCTGAGCTTAAGTATTTGTGAAACTTGAATGAGAGAAAGGTATGTGTACAACCATGTCTTGCTGATTCATTAACTGAGCAGACATTATGATATCAAAGGATCAAAAGACAGAAAGAAAACCGAATTTGAATTAGTTAAAATACCAAAGACATATCATCCCCATATATAATTCAGATGAGAATATAATGTCTAACCAAACCATGACACATCAGTCTCCAAAATAACAGGAAATTCAAGGCATAACATTAAGGGCAACAACTATGGAGTATGTAAAATAGAGCTTTTAAGACATAAACAGGACCACGTGGAGAAAATCATAACAAAGAAGAACAAACTCAACCTATGTATCAACAGGGCATCTACAAGAAAGAGCTAAAGGAGTAATCAGGAAAAAGCTTAGACCAAAACAGGAGAATCAGGAAAACAGCCATACGCATCCTATGCATTCATATCAATTCCTTGAGATTTCATCAACCAAAAAAAAAAAATCGTAAATAAGATTCCCCTAATATTGGGGAATTAGGGGAAAAAGCTTAGACCAAAACAGGAGAATCAGGAAAACAGCCATCAGCATCCTATGCATTCATATCAATTCCTTGAGATTTCATCAACCAAAAAAAAAAAAAATCGTAAATAAGATTCCCCTAATATTGGGGAATTAGAATGAAACCAGTACCTGCTGATCAGCGACCAGGATTCAGACCCAGGATCATATTGTTATCCTTGGGAAGATACCAAACATTTCCACTCTTAGCCAATGTACCAGCGTTCTCCTTACAAGCCTCAATCCTCCTAAGCTCAATCAACCCAGTCCCGGCAGCCTCGGTCGCTTGAGAAATCAGCTTGGCAGCCTCGCTCTCACCTTCAGCCCTAATAATAGCAGCCCTCCTCTCCTGCTCCGCTTTCATGACAACAAACTTGGACCTCTCCGCCTCCTGCTGAGCCACTTGTTTCTGCTCCACAGCCTTGGAGAACTCAGCGCCGTAAGAGAGGTGAGTGATGGCCACGTCATCGAGCACAATGTTGAAATCCCTGGCCCTACGGATCAAACTTTCACGGACAAGAGCAGAGACGTGGGGCCTCTCGGTAAGCAACTGGTCGGCGTTGAACTGTGCCACCACCGCTTTCAGAACTTCATTCCCGATGGAAGGAAGGACTTTCTCGTCGTACTCCAGACCTAGGGTTTTGAAAATATCGGGAAGCCGGCCGGTTTCGGGACGGGAAAGGACACGGAGGGTGAGATTGACCATCTGGAGATCCTTGGTGCCGGAGATGGAGGAGAAGGCGTGGGGACGGGTGCGGATGTCGAAGATGTAAGGGGTTTGGAGCCAGGGGATACGGAAGTGGGTTCCTTCGCCGACGGTCTCGTCGATGACTCCCCGGAACCTGTCGAAGATGACGGCGCGCTGGCCGCCGTCGACGGTGTAGAGGGACGAATTCACGGCGGTGACGCCCAATCCAAGGCCGAAGGCAGCCCGGGCTAAGTTGGTGAGGAATGAAACGGCCGCTTGACTACCCATTTTTGGTTGCGAGAGAGAGAGAGAGATTCAATTCGAAGGAGATGGGAAAAAAATTGCAGTGAGGGTTTGGGAGAGTGAAGGATCAATTTTTGGGGGGTTTTTGTCCGGCTTGGCTTGGATTGTGGTTCAAGTCAATACCTTGGATCTAAAACCCTAACAGGGGCCCCGCCTTTCTAAAAAAGGCCTCCGAACATTTTTGGTTGACCTATGGGCTTCATCATCTAAGCCCACGGACACAGGGTTAATTATGATAAATGGAGGCCCAATTTCCTATCTCAGTGGCAGTCAATATGGTCCATTATCAAAATCACGCGTATTAATCACTGGCCGCGCCAGCAAAAGTGTTATCGAGCTATCCCGATTCCCTTCTCCGGAAACCACCTCCCAGAAGAACCCTAAACGCAAAAAGGTTCACCTGCTATCCTGTTTGTTTAATTTGAGCTGATTTGATTTCGATTCTGGGTTTTCTTTTTCGCTGCATTTCGTTCTTGTATGGATGATGGAAACTTGCGTGATTTTAGTTAGTGTTTGTATGCTTTCAAAAACAAAAAAAAAAAGAAAGTAAAATTAGTACTATATAGTTGTGTTCGGTTTCTGTTTCAAAATGTTTGCCCCTTTTCTGGTTGATTGTGTGTTATATTCTTGAATGTCTGTTGGTTTTGCTCTGGTGATTGAGCTAGGTTGGAGTATTTGCTCATTGAATGTGGTCCTTGGAAAAATTTTATCAATGTGTATAGCTCACCTGATAAAGTTGCTGTTAGAACAGGCTGAACAATGAGACGAATTGATCAAAGTTGCTGTAATCTAATTGTAAAATTGGTGGTATCATTAAACTGCTTATTCATATTACTTTGTACAGTGTTGGTTTAGGGTTTTTTGCCTGTGCTTTTTATTAACAAGAAACTTCTTATTTAATGGGTTAAGCATTGTCTCTGGTGACTGTGATATCAGGAAACTGTTGCAATTGTAAAACAAAGAGATGAGTGGGACAGTGGAGAAAAGCTCAGCATCAACAAAAACTCCTGCGGACTTTCTTAAATCCATTCGGGGTCGACCCGTCGTGGTGAAATTAAACTCCGGTGTCGATTATAGAGGTTGGTAGCCAAGTTTTATTGTTCTTATTGTTTCTTTTGGCTTTCAGTTGTTTTTAATGCTTCCTGGAGTTTATGTGCTGTTTGGTCTTAACAGAGTTGTAAGGGTGTTTAATTCCAACAACATGAGCCTTTTCCCCTCTGAATTCCTTGTTAAGGAAATGTGAACTTTTTAATCGGAAAACTAAACGATTTAAACAGTTTCTAACTTACCCTCAAATTCAAGCTTCAAAAGGTTGGAGAAAAGGTCCCCCTCACTTTCCAATCCACTTATTTTCCTCTAAAAATATGATCCCTTTAACCCTCCAGAAACCTTCCCTGCAGTGTTTTTCCCAAATATAATGGAAACAAAGAGGCTTTTCTTGTGCTATACATGAAAGTTTTTGGTGTATTGAAGCAGTAAAACTTGCATAGTACTTGTAAAACATGTAATATAGAACACTGGTTACCTATTAATGAACCCATGAACACTGGTTACCTATTAAATGAACCCATGCCCTTCACTCTTATGCCCCTACAGTCTCACTGTATCCTGATTTTAAGAATGGACAAATGTTTAACACTTAGTAGTTTAACGCCAAGTAGATGACACTGCTCTGTTGGTTCACATATATTGTCTCTGGCTGATTAATACAAGGTTGCAGGTTCAGGAATCCCTGCTTTCCATCAGCTCTCGCTTAACTGTTTTCAAGAGCATATGATACACAATATTAAACTGTGCTTTCCTTATTTTATCTCTGGTTCCGTATCTTTTTATCTTGTATATATTGATGGCCACCTATTTGAAACTTAAATTTGAATGTAGTAATGTGTAATGCGCACACAGAGGAAATAAAAGAACTAGTAAAAGTTTATTTCACAACTCTTTTTGTAGGCATTCTAGCCTGTTTGGATGGATACATGAATATCGCGATGGAACAAACAGAGGAGTATGTCAATGGACAGTTAAAGAACAAGTATGGGGATGCTTTTATTCGAGGAAACAATGGTAATCCTATCTCAAATTTCCTTTCTGTTGTGTATGAATGTCTTGTTAGGTTGGATCGTATGTACTATTTTCATCCTACTAACTTTTGACTCTTGACATGCAGTGCTCTATATCAGCACGTCAAAGAGAACCCTAGCGGAAGGAGCTTAGTTTGTTTATAGCATTAAAATCAACTAGACCGCTGAACCTCTGATTGTATTGTATTGGACCAAATTATCTGGAATATTTTGATGTAGAACTCCTCTGCTCTTTTCGAGGTGGATTGGCTGTATGTACCAATCCCGAGAGTACTCTTGGCTTGGCCCCTCTACTCGGGTGCTGCTGTTTTGAAAGAGTTGCGCAGAGATGTTTTTTAATTCGCTTCTGATTTGTGTTTGTAGTGTCTGGATACCAACGAATCTAATCTTATTTGTTGGCCTAAATTTCGCCTTTTTTTTTGGTTGAAATACAACATCATACGTAGTTAGAGTACTACCGATAAGTTACTTGTCGCATCTTCAACTATTAACAATCTAAACGATTAGGGACTCTATCACAAAACAAGAGTCCATCATATAGACTGAGTTTTAATGCTGTTTGGGCAAAAGTTGCTATCCCGGAAGGTATGTTCTAACTTAAACTTCCTCTCCGAATAAAAAATTCTTGGACTTTATTGAACCATGAATTTGCCCTAGGTTCTCTGACCAACCTTCTCAACTGAGTCAGACTCGAACACTACTTTCGAGATACCCAACTGCTTAGCAATTGATTAATGTATTTTAGATTAGACTATATAGAAGTGGCATCGTTTAGTAATAAAAACTCTTTTTTTTTTCTCTTTGAAAATTGAGGGCAACAAAGCAACTTCTTTTCGTGTTTATGGGAAAATGACTACTTCCTCCGTCCCATAATTATTGTTCAGTTTGAGTTTCATTTTTAATTCAATTTTCACTAAAAGTAAATTCTCAAACTTGGGACAGAGGCGGGGAAGTAGCATGTAAACATGTCTTCCAAATTATAAACGATGGATCTTCAATTTAGCTTAATTCAAATATATTTTCCTCGGCTTAATTGGAAAAAAAAAATGTGGTGTTTGAAAACGTTATTATTTATTTAATTAGTAGAAATTAAAACTAAATGGCTTAGTAGCCCATTGTAATTTGGGCTAGGCTTGATCCTTGGTAAACTGTTTCATAAGGCCCGATTCTGAATCCTTTTACGGTCGAACAAGAGGGCAAATGATTATTGATTATTTAATGGAAGTGAGTTTGGATTTTGTATACTGAGTGATAGAAGAATATTTGTGTTTGTTTGTGGATGACTTCTCTTTGCTCTTAAACTTTTAGTTACCGTGACAATCCGCAACCCCAGCTTACCGGAACCCTTGCTGCAAAAGGTACCAGTGGTTTTATTTTTACTTCCAACCGGGGTAGCTTCATTCATTTAACTGTAGGCTTGTGGGATCTTTTTCTTACTTCCTTCGTCCCAAAATTATTGCCCAGTTTATATTTTCGGGTTTTTGTGCAAATTAAACTAAAAATAAAATTTCATAATGGACAATAAATAATTTTGGAACGGAGCAAGTATTTCCTTTTAGTATATTAGAACAGATGCCGGTAAAGTGTAATCTTCTTTTCTTTTTTTCTCTTTTTTACTTTTGCCCTTAACTAGTTAAATCTAGTTAAATGTGTTTGATGCTGGAAATGCATCTTGGTCTTGCACTGATAATTGCACTGTAGTGGTGATTGTTTAGCTTTTCCGGTTAGCAATCATTTGAGCTAGGCATATGCGGTGGTTAGCTTGTTCTGATGGCAATCGATGGAGCTAGGCATATGCGGTCGTGTTTAATTGATGTTCAGTTAATTGATGAAGAAGATTTGTGATTTTTCATATGGTTTTTCTGCTGAGACTTATTTTCATATGGTTTTTCTGCTGCCACATTATTCCTTAGGTTGTTGTACTGGATGTTCAGTTAATTGATGAAGAAGATTTGTGATTAGCGTGTTTTAATTGTAAATTTTCAATGTTTAACCCGATGTGAGGGCACTGAAAATTAGCTGCATTCATGTTTTGGATCATCTGGGTTCTCGACAATCCTGAAAACTTTTGCCCAAAATGTTTAAAATGTGGTTGTTTAGATGGCAAGAAAGTGAACTAATGTCATTTTTAAATAGTATTTTCAGTCTAATTTCAGTGATTTATTCAGATGATGTCTCGTATTTTCTTAACCTCGTGTGGCTCGCTATACATACTTGAAACCGACGGAGTATGGTTCGCCTGATCTTTCTATGTTTTTGGGGCATTCCTGTGCTCTTTTTTATTCTTTTATTCTTTCTGGATTGGAAGAAAGTTAGTGGCATTGACAGTACTTATCCTTTTGTTGGTTAATCGACAATGTGGAAGCTTTAAACCAGTAAGAATGTGTATGCTAATTGGCATCTTTGATCTTGGTAATCATCATTGCTTCCTGGTGCCACAGGAAAAGGACATGCCACTACATTATATTAGATCATTGAGAAGCCCCTCAGTCACCAAGCAGGTACTTGGAGTGGGGGAATGGCGAAATTTTTCTGCTGGGGGAAAAAGAAGGGCTCTAAAGGTGGTGGGGCTGCCGATGCTCCAAAGGAATCCACTCTCAGTAAAGAGGTCAAATCCACTGCAGTTTTTGGTGCCAATATTCTCAAGGAAGGGTCAGACCCGAAAATATTGCCAGACTCTGAATACCCTGATTGGTTATTCCATCTGCTTGATAAGTGCCCGGCACTAAGTGAGCTAAGAAGGAAAGACCTGAAAACCTTACTTTACGAAGACCTAAAGCGATTTGTCAAACTGGACAATCGAGTAAGGATCAAAGAGAATAATTCCCTCACGGCCAAGAACTAATACGACTATTCAGGGTTTATCGTGCTGAATAGTTATTTTCATGAACTAAATTTACTTGTTTTGGGGATGAACAAAGGAGATGTGCAGGAATTGAGTGTTTACAAGATTGTTGGAGGCTTGTGCTGGTTAGTAAACCACTGATCTTGCCGTTCTCATTGTAATAGCATATAAGTTTCTTCTCTGGAACAATAAGCCGGGAAGAAAATTGATTTTTTCGGTATCCATTGATTTCTGAATCTGGTGTAATGCTTGTGGTTTTTGTGGGCTGTGAAGCAACCCTCACAATGTTGCATCTTTATCAATTATCATCATTAGTTGTAAATATACAGGGCTGTGAAATGGTGGCAAGACAGCACCGGCCGGGTGTTCCCTGGTAAGCAGGTGGTTGAGTTTGATAAACTTTTGGGTTTGCAATCAAAGTGTGTCTAAATTCTTGAAGAATTGAGCTGTCAATTCTTCAAGAATTATCTTGGAAGACACTGGTTTTCTGCTCACATTCATATGCATGATTTGATTGTACTTAATAGTTAGGCCTTAAGGTTAAAACTCTAGTACTGGTCATGATCATTGAGCAGAAGTGCGTAGGGGGGAACGTGAAAATGGCTTAACAAGTTTGTGAAAATTGGATCACGTGTGCTGTTTGTGGTAATGCTAAAAAGCCAGGATATGAATGCGACCATCCTCATCTATAAAGGCCCATCTCAAAAGTAGAAAGCTTGCTTTTCTTTACTCACATTGGCCTGCCTTTCCGATTTCTCCCCAGTTATCTTTTTCCTATTTTCACAAAAAAGTTTATATAATATACAGACAGTAGATAGTGTCGATAGTAGACTCTTCTATGAAGACCATCATAGTTGTTTTTAGGGAAAAAAGAAAAGAAAAAAGAAAAGAAAAGAAAAGTGATTGCATTTGCAACTAGGCGACGTGATTTTGATTCTCTGTTGTTTTGTCCAATAGTTTTTACCAATTTTCGTTGCTCTTAAACATTACTTTTTTTTTAATCACATAATGATTCCAAGAATCGATCACCTCTAATGATTGTAAGTGGAGAAGGCAGCTCATGAAGGATTTATTTTGTATTTTGTAAGGAAAATTGTAATTTGAACCTTCCACCAACGTAGGAACAGGAACTGCTTCTTATACCATTCCCACCTTCAAAATTAAATGAAAATACAGTATTGTCCAATAAACTCCTAACCTAACCAAAATTTGTCTGACATTTGCAATTTTAACAAAGGCAATCCTTTGATGATATTTTCCCTTTCTTCAAGTTTATTTAGCTTTCATGGAAAAGCATGAGTATCCCTAAATTCATGTAAAAGTTCTTTTGGAGGGGATTGAAAGGCGTAACGTAATAGAGTTGGATTAATCCATTTCCAAGGAAGGTAAAGTTGCAGACTTGGGAGGTAAAAGAAAAAGCATCATTTTCTCAAAGGAATCTACTCTTTTTCAGAAGTACTCGCTTTATTATTTGTTGTGGCCCGTGAAACCTACGATCTGTTCCTCTCTCTCTCCTTCCTTCTCAATTCACGCTCACACGTAGACCCTTTTGGTTCATTCGATGAGAACTTTGATTGTATTCAAGAATTGTAGTTTTGGCTGGTGCTGTTTCCCTTTTTATTACTAATATACTTACTAATGATGGGAAAATGAGAAGTCTTTGTGTATTTGAGCCTTTCTATTGAGATTTGAGAGTCTTGTTCTTATTCCCTTTTCCCCGGTATTGAGAATTAAAACTATTCCAATATACTGTCATTGTCATCATCAGCTCAACTTTGATGACTGAGCCTCTTTCTCATTGTTTATCATGTCATTATTCAGTGCTCTTGAATGACTGTATCATCTTTGTTGTCTAACCAACTTTTATTAATTACTGCAGGTTTTTGTCCAAACTCCCCCACCAAGTTTCTACTTTGTCTGCAGTGCTTACGGTGTTTTGCCCAAAAAAGCATGCTTTTCCAGTTGTCATCATCTTCTCTTGTATTGATCATGCCCCCACCTCCCACTCCTTCCCTCCCTTTTTATTTTTGGCGGTTTGGCCTTTAGCTATCCTTCTTTTTTTTTTTTTTATTGGTTGACCTGGTGTTGTTTTAGCGGTGTTTCAATGTATGAAATGCATAATTGGTTTACTTTTTCCCTGTTTTCTTCTCTAAGATTGTCTCCTGTTCCTGGTAAATTCATAAGTAGGCATATCGCATTTTGCTTTGAAGCTTGATGCTTTTCTACCAACTCCTTAATATTCCATCTTTTTCCTTTGAACTTTGAAGAGGTTTGCCCAACTTGGTGCAGCTCTGATAAAGAAATTACCTTTTTGAAATCCTTTTTCTGGATTTCTTTCTTTCTTTGTCGAATTTGTGAGGAAAGTCATTAAAAAAGAGAATTTTCACCATGCCTTCAACATACTTACCTCTTAGGTGGGAAAGCACAGGGGATCAATGGTGGTATGCTTCCCCAATTGATTGGGCAGCTGCCAATGGACACTTTGACTTGGTCAGAGAACTTCTGCGTCTGGATGGCAATCATCTCATTACCCTTACCTCTCTAAGAAGAATTCGCCGATTGGAGACCGTGTGGGATGATGAAAAACAGTTTGACGATGTTGCAAAATGCAGGTCTAATGTTGCCAAAAAACTGCTTGTTGAGTGTGAAAACAAGAAGGGGAAAAATACCCTTCTTGGAGCTGGATATGGAGGGTGGCTTTTGTACACTGCTGCCTCAGCTGGTGACCTGGGATTTGTTCAGGAATTGCTGGAAAGAGATCCACTTCTAGTGTTTGGGGAAGGTGAATATGGGGTTACTGATGTGCTCTATGCAGCTGCCAGGAGTAAGAATTGTGAGGTTTTCAGGGTTATTTTTGACTTTGCGGTTTCCCCAAGGTTTCCTTCTAGTAGTAACAACGGTGGGAGAGAACTGGAGGAACATATTGAGGATATCAATATCCCAGCTGCCTATAAGTTTGAAATGCTAAATAGAGCTGTTCATGCAGCTTCAAGAGGAGGAAACTTGAAGATATTGAAGGAGCTTATTCGTCAGGATTGTAGGGGTGTATTGAGTTATAGGGATATTCAGGGTGCTACAATTCTGCATGCTGCTGCTGGTAGAGGGCAAGTTGAGGTGAGATCCCCAATTTTTCGTCCTCCATGGTCTTAATTGTTTTCATAATTTACTTTTCTGATAAGGAGTTTCACAGTTTGGTAGTATTTTTAATGTTTAAGCCTGTAAACCTCACATTAAAATCGAGCCCATAACATCATGTTGTTTAATGAATCTATATGAACAAAACAGATTGGAGATCATTAGACCTTGTTCCAAAGGAAGTTTGACACCTTAGCTTCTGCTTCGAAATCTAAGTAACATATGAAATGTCTCTGTTGGTTGTCATGGAGTACATTGAAGTTGGAAATATACAGAACTTAGAAGTTTTGCTTGTTGAAGTTTCAGTTACGTTTCAAAATGTTGAAGCTTACTAATTCCATGGAAATGTCATTACTTCTGTTTTCTTATCTTTACTGATAATATTGGGATGTAGAGCTTGATGATGACATGTAATCCACATAGGTCTGCATATCGAGATAAATGCTCTGTTCTTTGTTGTTGTGCTTGTTTGTTTTGGATTATTCTGAGTGTCCTGATTTATGCTTTACGAACTGCAGGTAGTCAAAGATCTTATAGCTTCTTATGATGTTATCAATTCTGTTGACAACAATGGCAACACAGCATTACATACTGCTGCCAGCAGGGGTCAACTTGCTGTTGTTGAAGCTTTAATCCTTGCTTCACCGTCATTGGTTTGTTCCAGAAACCACGCTGGGGAAACATTTCTACATGTTGCTGTCACTGGTTTCCAGACTCCAGGTTTCCGGAGATTGGATCGCCAGATTGAGCTCATGAAGCAACTTATGTGTGGAAAGGTATTTGAGATTGAAGATATCATTAACACGAAAGACAATAATGGAAGGACTGCGCTTCACCTAGCCATCATTGGGAATATTCATTCTGATCTTGTAGAACTGCTTATGACCGCTCGCTTCATTAATGTCAATATTCGGGATGTGGATGGAATGACTCCTCTTGATATCCTGAAGCAACGGCCTCGCTCTGCATCTTCAGAGATACTGACGAAACAGTTGATGTCTGCGGGTGGAATCTTAAGTTGTCAGGATTACACAACAAGAAAAGCGATTGCTTCCCATCTGAGAATGCGAAGTATTGGCGGTAGTCCTGGAACCTCCTTCAGGACATCCGATACAGAAATATTCCTCTCTACAGGCATTGAGAATGTATCGGATGCAGGTGGAAGCATTGGGCAGAGTGCTTGTTCCCCAGAGAATTTCCCTCAGCCTAATGTGGGAGTACACTCCATGTCAGTAAGAAAAGAAAAGAAACTGCGTGCTTTAGATATTGCAGCTCAAAGGCTAAAACGTCTCCTTCACTGGCCTAAGACAAAAGACAGAAGCACTGGGCGCCGCAAACTTTCAGTGGCCGAAGCTGAGCATTCATTAAGCCCTTCAGAAGGTCCTCCGATCCCTCTTCGGGAGCGATTCTCAAGGCCCTCATCCATGCCGAACAACAAGCGAACTCTGGCTGTCAGGAGTAACCTTCCTAGTCCATCAGCAAAGAAGAAACTTGCTTCGGGTCTAGTGCATGGCGTGATGCAGGCAATTCCCACTGTTGGAGACGTATCTCGTCGCTCACGGTCAAGTTCATTTTCCAAATCATCATTGTCTTCTCCTAGCTCATTAGATAAACAGAAAGGTCTACAACTCGAGAAGGATATCACCAGAGCGTCTTGTTCCAGTCAAGTGGTTGACAACGATGGAACAATACCAAATTCAGTTCCCAGGCAAGAGTCGTCTATCAATAAGAAGTTGATGAATCAGTTTTTTTGTTTTAGCAGTGAAGCCAAAAAGTTGCCTTTTTCCAAGCCCTATGAGATCTATGAACGCGCTGTATTGTAAATCACTGGCTCAGAGTCCTGGTTCCTTCACATAAAACCTGCGATACAGCAACCTCATGATTACTGGAAATGGTTATTCTAGGGCTTGTTTGGTTAGCATTTTAAGAACATTGCTCTTGGGATGTGCAGATGGTAGCCCTTCCTAAGCCCTACTCCAGAAAGCAAATGTAAATTCCTCTTTTAAGTTTTGTAGCAAAACTATCTGAATTTGCTGATTGCTGATGAATAGTAATGTGCTAACTGTCTCTTTTCTATTTGAAATAGCTCGGTATGTAGTCTCTTTTTTTTTTTTTCATATGGCAGGGTGTGATGTAGTCTGTTACTGCCAAACACACAACCAATTAGCACGAATTATGCTGGTGGGTGGATGTACAGTTTTATTGCCATTGTTAACTCCCTAATTCAGAAAGAAGAGAACAAAACTCCCTGTAAGTTCTTTGACAATACTATCTCAGCTTTGTTAGAGAATCATGCTACAGATTGCTGATGATATCGATTGGTACTGTGTGGTTAAAGAAACTCTTTCTGAACTTATGATGAACTACGAACTATGTTCCAGTTTGGATCCTTTTTTAGGCGATGCATTGCTTTGTTTACCAACAACAGTTAGGAAAGTTTCCAAGCCTGTGATTTCATATTAGGAATCAGTTTCAGAGGCTGATCAAACATGTTTATTGCAGCTAATTTGCAACAATGAATGTATCTTTGTTGTACTCGTTGACGTTTCTGAACAACCTTCAAAATCATGAAAATGTATCTTCCAAAACAAAAACTATAGCGTAAAATTTGTATATTACATGTATGCACACACCACACTATGAAATCATATGTCGCCATCAAAACTTGTTTAAATGAATTTGGTTTTTCCTTCTCCATAAATACCTGTCATTACATCAGCTTCAGCTTTAGCCTCTCTAGTAATTTGTATTACTGTCTACTAAACTGTGCTTCTTCAATCCGAGTTACTGAAAATATTGGAGAAAAATAGAAAAAGCCTTCTTCCATCTAAATGATGAAGCCTAGCAGGCTCCCAAACATACTACAGCTGTTCTGCAATTTATCTTCTTTTTTTTTTGGGGGGGGTGTGGGTGGGTGGGGAGATTATTGCATGATGTGATGGAGCAGCTCTAAGAGTAGAATTTGTAAGTTTTAGCATTGATTATGATATTCCTTAGCCCTCCAATAGGTGCTATAATCATCAAAAGAACTCCGAGTATAATGCAAATCTGCAAAAAGTTGGTAACAGTAAACATGATCAGCTGGTGTTCTAAGAGACTGAAATCAAGAGTTTGGGAATGATTTAAAGTCGGTACATACCCAGTTGGCGCACCAAGACAAGCTGAATTTTCTTGGCTTGTAGATGGCAAGCCACATGATACAAGGAAGCTGCAAGAGTTAAGAGAAGATACACTTCATTAGAGATGAATCATCTGGTGACAGTATGTGATGCGATAAACCTTGATTGCGGAAAAGTACACTTACAAAGTATGTAGTTGGAGCAAAAGCAAATCCTCCGAAGAATCCAAGAAGTCCTCCAAAGAAAGGGAAGGTGATACCGACAAACATTGTGAATGCTGCAATCAATAAAAGCCGACTCCGGTTCAAATCCCTCACAGGACTAGAAAGAAGAACACTAGAGATAATTAAGAGCAGATGAATGAATGAAATGTAACTCACCAACATAAACATTTCTGGTAATGAATCTCAGATACCAACTAGGCTTGAACTTTAGCTTCTTGACAAGCACAGTTTCAAGCATGTCGAAAACTGGCATGGCGTATATCTACAACATTGTTGAGAGCAAAGTAAGTACCAAAACAATAGTGTTAGCTAGCAAGTGAAATTAAGCACCCCCGCCTGATTTGAATATTACCTGGTAGCTTCCGATGACGTGAACGACAACAAACATGTTGGCCATGGCAATAAGCCAGGTAGGTTTGTTTAGGGAGATGAGGATGTTGTCCTCAACACCATTGCCAAACATCCAATAGCCAATGAAAGCAACAGGGAAATAGCACAAGGCCACCACAATGTAGGCAACCACAACTCCTCTCCACATAGGTACCTTTGATGGCTTCTCAGGTGTGGAAGGAATGGTGGCCTGAATCTCCAGAACCACATTGTGACCTGCGTACGCAAAGGCAACATCTCCCAATGCATTGAAGAAGCTCAAAACAGTTCCGGCGGTGGTGGATGATTTGTATCCATATTGCACATCTGGTTGGACTCCCTTGTCCACTGATGCTCCCCATGCAATCGTGGAGTAACTAATTTCAAAATGAACACAATTTTAATTGAATGAGGATTAAGACAAGCAGGTCAAAAGATCAATTTTCTTTTTTTTTTTTTTGGTATCAAACAAATGCATTATATGTATGTACCTCAAAGACATGACAGCAGCAGCCAGGGAAACACCAGAGATGGAGTTGAAGTTGGGCAAGTGAGAAAGCACGAAATGGACAGAGGCAAAGATCATGATGAAATAGGTGAGTTTGATGTCTTTGCATGGGTGAGAGCAGACCAATTTGTGGAATTTCTGCAGTGATTTTCCACCAGTCACCATGTACACAATGTCCACCCCGACCTCGACGATCAGCTGCTGGGGAACCACGATCCAGAGTCCAAGCTTCTCCCCGAAAGCGTGCTGGCCTAATTCGTGGTACCTGTCGAAACGCTTGCCTGGAACCATCTCGTGCATTTCCACCATCTGCCACAGTGTGTATAAGGTGATGATCCATGAAATCACCATCACTGCCACCCCAGGTCCCCTGTAGTCAAGAGTAGCAGTAACATTATCTATTATTATTCACTTTGCTTTTTTATGGATCATAGAATCATATAATGTAATCAAGAGAGGGTTGAACTGGGAACCCAAATGAAGTAGCCGTGAAATTATTACCATCCAAGCTCAGACATGGCATAAGGGAGACTGAGGACACCAGCACCAACCATGGCGGTGACGTTGTGGAAAGCAGAGTACCACCATTTCGCATTCCTCGACGATGTGATTGGTAGCCAGTCGTCTATTGCTCTCTCTTCTTCCGTTCTGTTATCCACCTGCACCCCCAGTTTAATACTAATAGTTAGTACTCCACCTATTTTGTCTCAAACCATTGATTCGTTAGAATTTTTTTTCATCCCAGGATAATCAACCTATACATTCTACATACTAAAAAGAAGATGGACTAGCGAGAATCGAACCCTCGTTAATAACTATTATTATCATCCTAACCCCTTACAAATGTGATGATAATAATAAGGCGCCCCTGTTTTTCTCACTTAATTTCAAGGCCTCCTTTTGATTCAGAGGAACAAGAGAGATAGATCACCAATTAACAAAATTATTTCTCACATAAACACTTCAATCAACCAAAAAGGAAAAGACAAGAAAACTTTTTTCTCATAGAAAAAGTCCACCGGAGTTTCCGAGACTTTTGGAGGAGGTAGAAGAGTACAACAACATCCATTCACACACACACACACACACGCAAAATTATTGGGTCCATCTTTGACAATGATATCACACTTCAGACCATTCTGCACGTTATGACAACAGCTAAAACAAAAAGACTCAAAATCACAACTTTGACAAAATCGTCAACAATTTTTATGTATTAAAGAAAAAAAAATGTATGAACACAGATTAATTCAATGATTTTCCGCAAAGCTCTTCCAAATTATTCTATTGGAGTCAGAGATAGTTTTTTCGGTTGTTGTTGAATTATTCAATATATTTGGTACAGCGTGATTAAATGGTCACTTATTATCTATCACTGTAAGTGGCCACAAGGGGAGAAACTTAAAGAAACTGTACTGTAATTGGTGCTTGACAAAAATAATGTATGGTTTCATCCATCTCTCAAAAATATCTTCGGAATCAGCCAAATAGATGCTACATATAATTTATATCAACCCTCATTATTTTATCAGCGATATTGGTGATAAATTGGACTACCTTCAAATAAATAAATATTTACTCCTTATTAAAATAAGGAAAACTTGTGAGACGTACGTAAAGGTCAGAATCAGACGAAGAAAATAAAAGGAGGGGGAAGGGAGATATTTCCAAATTCCACTCCAAATTAAGGCTTGTGGACCTGCTGAGGGGTTATCAAGTTATAGGGGATATCGACTACTGCCGAGTAGTGAGAAGTAATTTGAAAAAGTCAAAAGGAACGCTCAAGTTGTAAAAGCAGTAGTGTGAAACTCCGTATAAAAAGAACTACCATGAACCACACTATGCCCATTGGCGACTAATTCATTCAATTACCCTTGTGATTTTGTTTTCTTCCTCAATCAAACTATTTAGTTTAATGTACTTACTATTAATCTATTCATCTAAAAATTATTGTTCAAAAATTATTGTTCAGATTGAAAAATTTTACAGATTTTTTTTTTAACAGAGGGAGTGCTAATATTACTACTACTGCTTCATAGGTTCATAGTACCACTTCACATGTATGGATTGGATACAAGAAGAAGTTTCTTGGAATTGACTTCTTCTCACGGGAACCTTAAGAGTCCCCCTTATGAATGTGATAAAACCAAAGTACAGCTGACCAGTTCATGAACCTTAACCATATTAATTTAATCTCACTCATCCAGTCTGATTAATTTATTTATTTATTTATTGCTTCTCTCCAGAGGTAATTCTTCTTCCATGTGTAGGACAATTGAGACTCTCGGGAAAGAAGGAAAAAAAAAAAAAAACCCTTCATTATGAAGAATAATCTTCACCAAGGATAATTTTATTGCGGTAATTTGAACATATCATGTACGTATCAAATGATGCACACAAACGTAACTAACTCAGGTGGGAAAGCCGCAAGGATCAACCTTGATGCATGTACATGCAAGTTTTGGGTCTTGTTTAACATTAAGAATTTCTTAGACCAGAAAAAAAAAAACCGAATGATACTACTACTAAACAAGAATTAATTAATTAATTAGAGAACAACTAATTGAGCGGTTAGTAAGAAGGGATATCATACCAGTATTCAAGAAAACTTACTTTATTGGAGTCATAATCAGCAGTGGTTCCCATGTTTAATGATGAAGATGAGCCCTCGCCGGCCGGCCGATAAGTAAAGCTAGGTTATGAAATACGCGTGAACTTAATTTGAACAAGTTATAGCTAGCTATAGCAAGGTCGTTGTTGCTGTTGACGTAATAATCAAGGTTCTTCTTCCCCCGGGGGCCGTCCGGGATTCTTTAACGACAAGAAAGAAAAATGGAAGAGAGGGAAAGGGAGGGAGAAATGATGAAATTTATGGGACAACTAAACTAAGGTGTGGTGTAGTACTAGTATTTATAAACAACAACGTCGTGGGAGAAGAGAATTAGTAGCGTTGTAATTTCTGTGGAGGAGTGAAATTGACGTTTTTGCTTTCGTTTGACTTCAAAAAGTCTTTGTTATCACTTACAACATGACAATGGGGACACAGCTTAATTAACCAGAGAAAGAATACGACTCCGTGATTTGATTATTCCTTCAGTTTATATATTGTAATTGATGAGAGAGAGAGAGAGAGAGAGAGGGAGGTTGATATCTTAGCTGTTTGTTCCTGTTTCCATCTTCCCCATTACTACGAAAATTCCTTCCTGAGATCGACATCGGAGCCTATAACTTTTAGTTTGGCCGGCGTTTCCTACTACATTCTTTTGCTAGCTGCTTATAACCGTTAGTACTTCCGTCACAAGAAATAATTCACATTTTTTATATTTATGTTTTTTTAAGTATAAATTTCAAAATCAATATTGATTATATTTTTGGGAATGGATATAGTATTGAGTTCCATTAAATTGGCATCTAACATTATCGTTTATGTGATTTTTATCAAAATGTAACATTCATTTAAAAAGAAAAAAGCATGGTCTATATTTACTACAAAAAAAAAAAATGTTTGACACAGATATAGAAGTTTAGATTACTGCAGCACTTGATCTCATTCAATCCTATATATTAAGAGAATAAGCTTTTCGGACATGTGTCATATAATGAGATATCCAATCAAACAATCATAAAAATCAAGCCTAATTAGATATAGTAAAAAAAATTAGTAACTATTTAATTTAACTTATTTACTCATATATATTTCATTAATCAAGGTAAATCAAAAACATAATAATTAGTTAACATTGAACATGGTCCGAACGTATGCCACATCAACCGTGATTTTGAAACGTTTCTAAACGCTTTCAGAGTTTTCAAAAAAGCACAATAAATATCATTTTCAAATATGACTTCCAAATTTATGGCACATCATGATATGATTTTAAAATTCGAAAATAATGAGATTTAAATTAATCACCTTAATTCCCTCCCACATCCGAAAATTAATAAATGAAATTTAATTTAAAAATTATGGGTAAATTAACCAGAATAATATTCTGTCCATATTCACAAACTCCCCAAATATGTTAATTAATTGCTCCAAATTCTATCAATAAAGTCTAAAGTTTTAACATATCCACAAAATTATATAATTACTCATATAAAATATTTACCAAAAATATCTCATAACATGTTAAACCCTACGACCATAGTTATCTTTTGTATTATAAATAACCCAAATTAAAGGTCGTGACAGCAGTCTGGTGTAAAAGCAAAGTCAATTTCCGTCCCGTTTGAAAGGTGAATTAGTCACTTCAGGTAGTTCATCTTTTTTTTTTTCTACAATAACTTTGTATTGCAGATTGATGAGATGACTGTATTGCTAAACGATGTATAAACGAGACCATACATCATAATAAAGATGTCGTGCCCTTTTATATGTTCTAACATATTACATATGTGTTACCACATTTAATCATAATAAAGAAAAAATGTCTGGCCATTACAGATTTCCGTATTTACTTACTATTTGAAATCTTTTTTTTCTAAAATTTTAAAGATATATGTGTCGTATTTTTATTATTCACTTTTTATCAAGTTTTTTTCCTGCACTAATTATGTCGAAATATTTCCACAATCCGGACAACGCACGGGCCCACAACTAGTATCATGAGATTAAATTTCCAGATTCTTATTTGCAAATGCATATCTGTCGACCTAATTGATACCCACTTGTCAGAAAACAAACGAAAATTAAATTAGGAAATTTATGACTAAATTAAAAATAAAATAACTAAATAAAACCCCTTGTAAGCAGGAAGTATGGCAATCAGATTAAGAGACAGCTAATCGAAGGGAGGTTCGTTCATGTAATGTAGCGTAATTTTAGTATTTTGGCCGACAGTACTATAATATACAGTACGTCCTTATTACTACAAAAGAAACGACAGGGAATTTGGAAATAATCACTTTTGGCGGGAACACAGAAGATGATAACAATGGTTATCCATGTTGTAAGCTGCATTGTACAGTTAAAAAAAAAAAGATTTGCCAGTTCACACAATTTTATACTTAAATCCAATATAGAAAAACATTAACCTCGGCATCATCATATCCATGAACGTGACTTTCAGTTTTATATATGGTAATAACTTTAGTCTCCCAACAAGATAACCATTAAGCAACAGCTCACACTCTCGGTAACAAAATTTCAACTCTAATAATTTTGTTTTCTTTTTCTTTTTGGTTTTTTGGTCCATCCAATAGTTAAGTTACTACCACACCACTGTTTAACCCTGACGTGAAATACTACGTTAACATCATTCATTGATTCTGGCACTTACTTGGCCACCATAATACTCCCTCCGTCCTATGAAAATAGCACACATTAAACTTTGAACTTTGTACTGTTTTTAGTATAAATTTGAAAATTCAATGTGGACTATTTTTTTGGGACGGATGTAGTAAAAGAGAAATTCTCGAATTAATTAGATCATGTTGTTCACTAAAATTTTGTCTATTTGTGTTTGTGCGTTTCAGTTTATTTCATAAGAAGACTTTCGGCGTGCATTCTGTTTTGTCCATTACTTTAATTTCCATATATATGAAGGAGATGAAAAATTCCATGGAATTAATGTGACAATAACCCTTGTTGGATCCGAGTGCGACCTTCTCTCTTTAATCAGATGACTTGCTAATTTCCAAGAAGTAACATTGTGACATACGATTGCTACTATTTAATTAATTAGGTGTAACTTGTTTTATATTTTTGTTAACGCTTCTCAATAATGATCCGATGGCGTGAGCGCCCAGTTGTAATGAGTTCGTTTTCACTGCTTGCAAAAATGCATGCAGTATTTCCCCAAAATTTCCCCGAAAACACCAATTAGTTAGCAGAATAGCCATCTTACAATAATTAAGGATCTCTATGGTACGTACGCAGTCTTTTCGTTCTGTATTTTCTAATACTTTCTTCTTTCCGATCTCAATTTCCTCCTTTTAATTAATAGTTGAGTACTAACTACATCACTTGTTATCAAATCACTAAAATTTGACTGGAGTTTGATCCGCCAACAAAAGTTTAACGAATGTGAATTGATATATGATCCAATAATATTCCAATTCATGTTAATGTGGTTGTTCTTAAGAGGTCAAAGTTTAACCAACACTTGCTTTGGCAAAGTGATAAGATATTTTGGTTCTCTTAAGAGAGGTTTCGGGTTCAAGTCTCGTAAATGAAAAGAGCAATGTTAGGAGAGCTTTCCCTCTGAAAGGAAATTGGCCCAGTTCGGTGCAGATTAGTCTGAGTGCAATATACTTAGGACACCGTGCGCAGTATGAAAAAAAAATATATATATATATATATATAGATATATATAATAATATTTCCGCCTCAAAATGAAATTATGTTTATCAAATTATTATAAATCAGTAGAACAAACAATGACTTCTACTTAAAAACGGAAATCGTAAATAAGATTGTAGTGCCATATCTACTGATCAACTTTCGCAAATTTTGCAATGAGTGCCGGCGGCAATCGTACATCTGCAATACGAATCGACTCATTTTCTCGAAATTATGAGAACCAATAGATTGCGTGTGACTCACGTCACACTAGTTGTCACATATATATTAGAGCATTATGATGTGTTATTGTGGAGGGCTATACACAAAGCAAGAATTTTATTAACTTATTTACTCTTGCTGTTTACGACCGTTAGAAGGGAAAAAAAAAAAAAAAAGTTGCAAGAGGAATAGATGGCAAATGTTAAACATTTGCGGCTTCATGGCATTTGCTGATATCATAATCTTTTGACCTTGACAACGTTTCAGTTGTGTACATTTTCGATCGGCTTGCTTTAGTGCTGATGAGGATCTAAATTTAGGTTTCAGACTGTTGACTCAACTCCAACCTTCTTTGACAACATCTTTAAGAAATGTTTTAGTGATTAAAATCCGAAAGTTGGATCTATATATATGATTTTATTGTAGAATTATTGTAAAATTAATTTTTTTCCAACAAATTTGACATTTATTTTAGAATAGCTAGATAATAATTATTTTTTACTTGCACCAGTAAGGGAGTTGAATTAGTTGGAATAATGATTTCAGATACTGACCGCGTAATATATATGTATTACGGGAAAAAAAAACAAAAGAGAGAGAAAGAGATAGAGGGAGGAGGTTGGATTTGTTTGGGCATGTCATTTTTTTGGATCATAGATATGATAAAAAGAATTCAAAACCATAATAAAATTGGCTTTGAGCGAAATTTCAAATTGCTGAGCTCGAATTTGTGGAATCAAACTTCAAAAAGTCCAACACCAAATTGCAAAGCATAAGCAAAGAAATATAAAGCAT